GCATGTGATGAAACACAAAAAAGGGATGAGAAGGATGGGAAGGTAAGAGTAGTGCCACGTAATAGGTAGTCTATTTGTATTTCTTTTAGAGAGGAAACAAAGAAATTCACTGGGAGGAGTCGGAAGGCAAGAGTAAGAAGACCGGATAAGAAAGAAAGCACATCCGTGCTTAGTGATAAATTTGCGTACTAAAGTTTGTTTGTGCATAATTTATTTATTGTGTGCAGGTTAACGACTTAGGGTTGCAATAGCTGGCGCTGAATGTGACTTCAACAGAGTGAACTAAAGGTATTTCTTGAAGCAAAAGATACTTGAGTGTTGTTGTAGGGAGGCAACAAGCGTATACCAGTACATTGGTCCAGTATATACAATTGTTTTTTGTAAGAAGACTGTTCGGGTTAAAGACTATTGGTCATAAAGGTGGAATAATTATTTTTACCCCAATTGATGGAATAATTTTGACAATGATGTATTCCTATTAGATCTAAATAATAGTATACATTCACAGATTTTAAAGAATAAACATTTGCGAGTGTTTGTTTTGCGTAACTGCTAAAGCTTGTTTGTGCTACTATGCTAATCAACTAGGGGACCTACGTCCTTAAGTCATTACTGACAGTAATGAGGATTAATGCCTCACAAAAAGGCACTAATATAGCTGATCAACACGGTTTTTATTCTGGGGGCTCACAGTAACGAGGCCATTACGTAGCCACTGAATCATGACTGTACGCGACGGGGGCTAGGGTACGTCGCCTCCCCCACAAATACAAAAAACAAACAAAATGTAATAAATTATCAATAATTCATTGCATTTTGCCCCGGTCCGGAATAGGAAAAATTCCTCTGTAGGGCCATGCATCATGGTTCAAGGCATGCCCACATAGAAGATTTGTTTGTATTGGGGTCGGGGCAAAATGCAATGAATTATTGATAATTAACTGCATTTTCTTTGGTTTTTGTATTTGAGGGGGGCGGCGACGTACCCTAGCCCCCGCTGAGTACAGTCATGATTCAGTGCATTAATCATCATTACTGTCTGTTATGATTTAAGGACGTATGTCCCCTAGTTAATTAGCATAGTAGCATACACATTCTTTAGCAGTCACGCAAAACAAACACTCGGAAATTATTTTCCAATAAAATCTGAGAATGTATACTATTATTTAGATCTATTAGGAATAAATCATTGTCAAAATAATAAATAATTATTCCACCATTATGACCAACATTGTACGAGCAAATTTGTTATATGGTCATGTATTATTCTCATCTTTGGAAGCACTGACTAACCATTGATTTTTTTTTCCTCATACGTGTCATGATAATCTAAAGGCTGGATACAGTTTTGGACAGCCTACCAGTGCTTGTAGTGGTAAGAATTTAATATGATTTTATTTGTTTTGTATATTTTAGTGCATTTTTTTAGACGTAATGAGAAAAGAAAAACAAGTAGGCCTTTTACACACAAGGCGCCACTGTGCTTACTATGATTGCGTCAGCAAGTGGCGTGGTCTGTGATGTGCCACGTGACAGTGAAATAAAAACCAGGGGAAGCAAACTGAACACTTCAAACGTTGCTTTGAATAGAAAACTGCCGTATGTGCTGTTTGCATTTACATGCTCAATTAGCGCAGTTAATAACATGTATAGAGTGGGGGAGTTGGAGGGGAGGAGAGGGCAGGTAAGATTTCCCCTTTTTTAATTTTCGTGTATACAATTCCATTAAAGTTCACAATTTTTTGTCATGTGATATTGTCTTGTCATGGTATATCTTTTCATGTTTTGTTATTTTGAAAAAGGAAGCAATAAAAAGAATCTTACCCAAAAATGTAACGTAATCGAAATAATTCTTCATGCACAACAATTATGGGAACATTGCATGACCGGTCGAATTGGAAATAAAATGTTGTAAGAAAAATAACCTTTGCAATGATCGTTGTCGCGGTTGAAATTGAGTCTAAAGTGGTGAAATTGTAAATAATAAACTATTTTTGTTGTATAGCTTCCTCTCAAGACTGATATTGCTTTATCTTTAAAACAATGTTTCTTGACAACAATTATCCGATTTGCTATTCCCGTTTGGTAATTATATATCAGAACCGCATATTCTGAGATTTTCGTGGTCGCAGCTACCATGAAATGGCCTTAGTCGCTATTTGAAATATTTGAAATTCGATTCGATTTCCGGAAAGCAGAAGTATTTCAGGGGCTAAATTTTCTAGTGCTAATAATACAACCACATGGGCATCCAAATATATCAAACTTTATCAAAAGATTTACTCTACATTCAGTTTTTAAAAATGTCAACAAAACACAACTTTGCACTACCTTTTAAAAGAAGAGGCTTAGGGATGGGATGCCTCATTTACCAACTAAACATTTACTTCTCACTTAAAAACATTAGAACTCTGTTAACGATTCGCTACCTTTAAAGGGCAAGTCCATCTAATATTAACTCGAGTAAGTAAAAGTTTGAGAAAAACTCGATTAAAAAAAAGAAACTTGTGATTTGTTAAGGGTACGATCAATCAAAGAAAAATTGGCAACTCTGTGACGTATCTTACGAGCTCCCCTGCCATTTGCCCCCTACTAACAAAAATCTAAAATTTGTATTTACCCTCAAGAAAATGTTCATTGTTATAATTATGCACCCTTAATATAGTTATTGCAAATCAGTTCTATACAAATCCTGTATGGATACACTCTGTCATCATGAACGAACAAACTGAAGTTCATGACATTGTCTGTACAGGGCAAATTGGAGAGGAGATCGCAACATACGTCACAGTGTTGACGATGTGTCTGATTGATCGCAACTTCAAATATTCAAAACTGTTTCACTTTTGATCGGCATTTTCTCAAACTTTCACTGACCTGTTCATCTCGTTCTTCTGTCAAAACCACCATAGTATCATGGTAGACTTCCCTTTTAAAACAAAGATCTGCATGTTTTTATAAGCAACACATAATGAGCATGGGTTAGAAATATAAAGTTTCATGTGAAAGCTTTATACTTTTAATTTACTTTCATAGCAGAAAATGATTGCGAATGTGATCCCAGAGGAATCAACTACAGGGGAACCATATCGCAGACGTGGTCGGGGCGTAAATGTAAAAGGTGGAACGCGAACCGCTTGGGCTTCCCTGATGAGACATGGAACCACAAATATTGCAGAAACCCAGACGGATTCGGGTTCACTGCTTGGTGCTACACCTCTGGCACTGGTCATAAAAAGCGATGGGGGTATTGTGCTGTCGGAATATTTGACCCTGCATGTACAAATTCTTCTATATCAGGAGGTACGTGAATGCATGTTAAAAAGATCTCCTTTGGGTTATGAAAAAATGCATGATAGAAAAGGAAGTAATCTCACCCTTACTCTCATAGAAACGGATCCAAGGTAGTCAAGAGGGGAGGGGGCGAAACAATATGTTCCCCCTCCCCTCCACCAGACATGATGATCTCATCTGAACTTACAGTTATAAACGGGTTGTAAAAAGAAGGAAGTGGAGTTAGGAGCTGAGCGACCAAGTTGTTCTCAAAATTGTAAAGACACTTTTTTAGGTTTTGTTGACACCCTTAACAACAAAAGAAGATTTTGGATGACAAAAAAGTCATATTTATCGTATGAGGAGGCCTCAAACCACATCCCCAACCACCAAACGTCCTTGATGCCCTATACCTATTTCCTCCTTTTGACGCCATTCAATAAGCCAGCCACCCCAGAGTCGTCCGATACGTGTGTGTGTTGATGTGCGTGTGTGTTTGTGTTTGTCCTGGGGGACAGAATATAGGAGCAGTTTTTTTCGAAGGAGGGTAGAGGTGTGGGGCTAGTATAGTATCTGGATCTGCCTAAGTCTTTCTCAATAATTTATATAAAACACAGTATATTACACGCAGGGGCGTACGCAGGATTTTTTCAAGGGGGGGGTTTTAAAATATTTTGCTCCCGAAAATTTGAAAATCGGACACATTTTTTTTTTTTTTTTGGTCTCGAAATTTCAAAATTTGACATTTTTTGTCTTTGGGGGGGGGGGGTAAGGTCACCTTATTTAGGTTAGCCGTTGGTATAATTTTTTTTTTTTTTTTTTTTTTTTTTTTTAAATAATAATAAAAATAAAAAAATAAAAAAAAAACCAAAGGGGGGGGGGGGGGGGGGGGTTTTTAGGTTTTTTTAGGGGGGGTTTACATACATAAAAATACCAAAGGGGGGGGGTTTGAACCCCCAAAACACCCCCCCTGCGTACGCCCCTGATTACACGTATTAGTATAGATTTTAAGATGGCTATCTAAAGTCCTGCTTGTTTGGTTCGAAGGTGATCGAGGACGGTAACATCACTTCACAAAACCTTTGGATGACTGTACAAGTCGTACCACATAACAGAATGTTGCCCTACCTTTCCGCCTTTTACAAACTTAGTTATTAACTCAACTGTTATTTTTTCCTTAATCTTAATTATCCTAACCTCATCTTTCTTGCCATCATCACTTAATGTTTTTTTAAAGTCAGAATGTACTATCAATTTGTGTATGACCCTCTCACTGTTTTTCTGTGGGTAAAAACAAATGGTCAAAAGTGTATTTACATCGGATATTTAATTAAATACGACATTTGGTACTTCGTGAAGAATTGAATGTTTTAAATCTGTTGAATTTACCCATATCAAACTTTATTTGTTTCCTCATATGAAAATATATATAATGCAAACAACAATAACAACCAGGGGCGGCGGGGCGTCTTCCAAGGTGGGCGGGGTGAGGCACCAACTAAAAGGGGCACTTTCTGCCAAAAAAGGGGCATCTACAAAATACAATTTTTAGACATTGGTATATTCCCCTACTTTGAGATTATATTATCAGGGTTGATATCAATATTTGTTTGTATATTCCTTTACACGGTCCAGGAATTTTACCAATGGAAATGGTAAAATTAAAGAGATTCTAATACTCCGTATCCGATAATGCTATCCAGTTGACTATATCAATTTCAGATAAGCAAGAGAAAACCTTTAAAGCGTTGGATTTGGTCCTAGAGGGAAATGACACTTCTTCTGTAACTACAAACGAGGTAATACAGGGAAAGATCAAACTGATCGCTGAGATTCTTGAAGATCTTCTGCTTTCTAATATTGGCACGCAACCCATCATAATTCAGCAAGAAGGCATTGGTAAGTTTGCTATCAATTATCATTGATGGTTATACAATGCCAGAGAATAATAACCTAGAGGATTACCATCAATATTATTAAATAAGACCGAAAGATCTTGAACCAATTTTTGGCATTACCTCGTCAGAAACATGACTGGAACCTAAATATCAGTCTGACGCCTTGTATCTAGTGTAAGAGACCTGAAATTCATAAGGTTTGCATTCTAATTGGTATTTATGATTTCCAATCGAACTAACGTTTATCCCCAGTTTGTGATGTCAGGTCGTAGGTCCCGTAATATCAATGTACGTGTTATTAAATTGGTTAAAATGCGATTCTTTTTTTAATTTACCATTTTGTTTGAATAATGTAGTTGACAAGACATTTTGAAAACGATTATGAGTTATGCATTTTCATCCGTCATTTTGCACTCGAACGGATGCATGTTTGCTGTGAAAGACTAGAAACAAACATTATTGTTTGATATTTCATGAAAATGGAAACAATGGAATGTTCAAGGATTAGGGTTAGGATAAGCCTAACCCTTATCCTAACCCTCGTCAATATTTTTCGTTAGTTAAAGTTTTTTTTCATATCTATGGTAGAAATCCTAGCTCAATCTTTTGACGGAGATGAGGAACAGGTAACTAAAGAATTTGGTCGAGCTCTTGCTGTTGACATCCCATTGGCTTCTATAATCTCAGGTAAGGAAAATAACACAATTGTAACGTGTGTGCCGTAAGGTACAAAAGGCGTCATTTGCTGACGTGGGACCGCGTCAACGACTGGTGTTGCCTGTGACGCACCATGATAGAAAACTATCTAACAAAATTAATTTTATAATCTAATGTCACTTCGTTGTAACATTAAAACAACAAAATCTTTTACAAGGGAATTCGCACAAATTTGACTCAATTCGTTTTCCTGCAAGCTATTATATTTCAATAATACCATTTGATTTTGCAGAAAATGTGTCTACCGCGATTTCTGGAGTATTTGCCGTGCTCTCAGGAGAAGTCTTCAACTTTACCAATGCATCTGTTGCTGGGAGAGAGGGGTAAGGCGCTACATTTTGCTTAAACTTCTTCAACTTTCGAATCTCAAATTTTAGAAAAAATTGTGATTCAATGTAGTCTGCAACATACAAAGTAGCATTATGTAGAACAATGCTGTTCTCAACTAGGATGTAACAGTTATTCCATCATATGGAAACGCTTGCTTGGATTTGTCTCATAAAAGAAGTTAACCACAAACTAACTCCCACACAGTGTGGAGTCAAGGGGTCACGGGCCACTGGCTTCATCTGGCAGGTAGTTCCATTATGAAAGTGGGTAAATTCCGACAATACAACCAATCGAAACGAGTTTAATACCGGAAGAAAGCTAACGTTTAGTATATCCATTAGTCGCTCATCCCAAAGCCGCCCGACCACCATGAAACGAGTAAGGGCTAGCGAGAGGGACCGGAGTGCAATTGAATCTCGCAAAAAGTGAAGACATTGTGCTGTATTACTATGATTTGTTAGATAAAAGTACAAAGAAAGTGCCATATTTTGTTTTATACAGTGCCTCCAAGAAAAATGAATCCGGGAATTATTGATGTTTTATCATAACTTTATCACAATAATAGAAGACGAAAGACTTGATGCATGACTGATCGACAACAACGAAACGAATTCAAGTCTTTTGTCAACTTTGTTTTTGGCCACGGCAGGCAGCCAGTGAAAACGAATTCGTTTAATCAAATTATGGAAATGCAGGCATTACTTTTAGCAAATAGAACTATGTTATTCCTGGATCATTTTTCCTGATTGAGTTGTCATATGAAAGGGTAAAAAATTAACTCTCTGGAAATGTGATTTTCTCTTTGAAATTCAGATACCGCCCGCCAAATGACTTTTGGTTTCCTCTCTTCAAATTGTTTTTAATCACTCATGCGTGAAATATGCATCATATGAGTTGCATCAGATAAAAGAAGAGGATCTAATCATTACAAATATGTGTCATTCAATAATGATTATTGTGATTAAGTCATGATAAAACATCGATAATTCTCTCGGTTTTGTTTCTTCTAGGACGCACTGTATTATACATTGTGTAGGGTTACTCAAGTGACTCTTTGATGCTTATTTGTTCTTTGCACGCAAGCCAGATTGAGCGGGTGATACATCGTTTCCATATGCATGATTAATAGCATTTGTCTTTAAATTCAATATCATCTTTCAATATTGAGCTTGAACGCATGGGATGTATTCATGTATATCAATAAATATGCAGTTCTTAGCAAGACAATGATTAAGTCAACGATTAAGTCAACAGGCAGCTTATTGTTATATTTATTCTGTTCATTGCATTTATTTTATTTTTTGTAGTTAACTTTTTCTGGGAAACATGCTGCAGTTTCTAACACTATTGCGGTTTACAATGATCATTTTTTTTTTAAAAGCAAGATGGATTTATGTAATATAACATTTAAATAGAGAAGGGTTAAAATAATTCTTTAAAAAAAAACCTATTCTACTGTAAATAGAATCCGAATGGCAGATTTTATCTTTTTACGTTTCATTAGGAAATACATGTACTAAACTATTAAACACTCCTAACCTTTCTGCGTGTTTATTGCAGGATTGCATAATACCATTAATTAATTTCTTTGTCAGATTTCATATTCCTGATTTTCTCTTCTTTATACGAAATGTCGAACACGGCATGAACACCTGAATAGTTTCAATTTTCCTCAACTGAATATTTCCTGATCAGGTGATCACGATTATGATTATCGTCAGCACCCTGGCCGGTATTAAGGTTCTTATTTTGGAGCGGAGGATATTCTACATTTACATTTTTTGTTTTTGTTTCTTAATCAAAGGATTGAATCTAAAGTGAATGGGGTTATTTTTCTTTTCTCACTCTGATTTTGAAGCTTTGGAGAACTGAACTCAGATATTTTCGTCATTTTGATCTCTGGACTAACCACGACCCCCTTCAAGGAAAATGTCACGTTGAAATTGCCTTTGTTGAAGGTACGTTAATCTAGTGCATTTTCTTAAATTTTCTTAAAATTACCAAACACATGAACATCGAAATTTATTCTCAAAAGAATCGATTGACTTAGATGTTAGAAGATTGTCCGCATCACGCGGCTCGCTCTGATGAACATTTTCGCTGTTGCTTTATAGGTCATTAAATTTAGAATAAACGGTCCATGACTAAGCTTTCCTGGATTCAAACCTTTCCAATAAATATAAGGAGGAAGAAAGGAGTTGGGGTAGGAGGAGGAGGAGGTGGTGGAGGGGGAAATTGGAGAAAGAAGAAGAGGTGGATGCGGAGGAAGAGAGCAAAAGAGAGAGAGAGATAAAAGCAAGTGAAATATGGGGTTTCCTCAGTCATACCAATAACACTAACACAAGACCGACAACAGACTGAATAAGAGATTAACTTATTCATTAATGGCCAAACGTGTGCATTGAAAAAGATCTTGTATCGTGGTATACATAGAATGGTATGAATATATTGCTCTATATGACATATCACATATATTATATTACATATATTATTCATGCTTTGAAAATCATTTTGATCAGTTTCACTTGTTACGGCTCCAATAATTTTCACTTGCCCTAATTCAATTATACATGTCTACAATACGTGTGTGTTGTTTAGCAGTATAGAGCCTTTTCTTTTCTCTGCGAAGGCTATGGATTAATGGATGCATTTTCTAATCACCTTTTCCGCCACAATTTATCTGGCAAACAAAAGTACTCAAATCCAATTTCATTTTTGTTCGGCTGGTAACTGATGAATATCAAAGTGTCTGTTGATGTTTAACATCAATCTGCGAATGAAAGGAAATAAAATGCAATTATCGACTTAACAGCCGTCCTACAATATGCGATGAATGAATTAGATTGAAGGTTGTGTTATTATGAAGCATAGGAAATTTGTCATGTGTATGTGTGTAATGTAACTTGTGGTAAAATAGAACTTAAGTTGTACAAAGGTGCTCACGAACGGCCAAAAACAAGTTTTTAGGGTATAATAGGCCTGCCTCAAGATTAAAATAAATGTTTAAATTGCATTTTATCCAAATTCAAATTTCTTTTAAAATTACCTAACTAATGAACATCAAAATAAAAGGGGGGAACAGCCAGATGTCTATAAGGTGGTACAAATATTAAGCTTCCTCCCTCCAATCCCTTCTCATCTTCTTACTCTCCCATCCCTTTAATTCTAAAATAATTTATTACTTAGATGTTAGAAGATTGTCAGCATCATGTGGCTCGCTCTGATGAACATTTTTGATGTTGTTTATAGGTCATGGAATGCCGAAAAAAGGTCCATGACTGAACTTCCCTGTATTCAAACCTTTTTCCTAAATATATGGAGGAAGAGAGGAGGTGGGGTAGGAGGAGGAGGAGGGTATTAGAGGAGGAGAAGGAATGGGAGGAAGAAGAAGAAGTGTAGGCGGAGGAGAAGAGCAAGAGAGAGAGTCCTAGACTCCCCAAACATAGACATCTAGCGTGACAGCCATGATAACCTCTCTCCAGTGGACTGACGTCGAGACCAGACGAAAGATAGCCCGACTCAATATGATGTACAAAATCAACGCAAACCTCGTAGACGTTGACTGGAACCCCTACTTAACCAGACCATCTCGCCAACTGAGACGCACACACCCATCATCCTTCCAGAGACCTAGAACCAACTCAACAATTTACTCGAATAGCTTCTTCCCGTGGACTGTAAAATACTGGAACGACCTGCCTCATGACATCCTAGACGCCCCAAACATAGACATTTTTAAGAAAAGGCTCTGCGATTTTTTCACAAACACCAATCGGAAATAATTCCACCAGGTCAACCCCCAGGTCAGCCCTCTGACGCGATGCGGGATCCCGCTTTGTCGGAGTAAAATCCAGAACCAGAACCAGAACCAGAGAGAGAGAGAAATAAAAGAGAGTGAAATATGGGGCTTTCTAAGTCATACCATCGACACTAAAACAAGACCGACAACAGACTGAACAAGAAATCGAATTAACACGAATGGCCAAATATGTGCATTTTAAAAGATAGTGTATCCTGGTGTTTAAAGAATTGTATGAATATTTTGCTCTATATGATATATCACATATATTATTCATGCTTTGAAAATCATTTTGAACAGTTGCACTTTTTACGGCTTCAATACCTGTCACTTACCGTAATTGAATTTTACATGTCTACAATACGTGTGTGTGGTTTTACAATATGAAGCCTTTTTTCTTCTCTGCGAAGGCTATGGACGAATGGATGCATTTTCTAATCACCTTTTCTGCCGCAATTTATCTTGCAAACATAAGTACTCAAATCCAATTTCATTTTTTCTTCGGCTGGTAACTGATGGATATCCTGAATCTAGATACTGATAGAACATCGTGCATGGTATTCCACACCAAAAACAAATTTTTTGATATAAATCACATGAATGTAAAATTTGCTGGCTTGATATTACAGTTGTAAATACAACTAAATTCTTAGGAGTAATATTAGATAATCATTTGACATGGAAATATCAAGTCGATGACATATGTTGTAAAATGTCATGAGCAATTGGTGCAATTAGTAGAATAAGTGCAATTGTACCAACACATATCCTTTTTAATTTATATTTTACTATGATCTTGCCTCACCTTATGTATTGCAACATCGTATGGGGAAATTGTGCAAAATATCTTTTAAATCGTATTCACATTCTACAAAAACGTGCAATCAGGATAATTACATAGTCTAAGCCTTACTCTCATTCACATCCTTTATTTTTTTTAATGACATCATTAACTATATATGATATTTACAAATTTGTAACCTGCACATTTATGTATCAATATATCAACAATACCTTGCCGAAATTTCTAGAAAATGGTTTCATAAAGAACAAATATATGTACAATATAAGACAGAAAAATAATGTGTATATGTCCCTAATTATAGATATAATGTCTCTAGATGTACTATTAAATGCTCAGGGCCAATCATGTGAAATAATCTCTCGAATACCTTAAAATGTGCCAAAAGTCTTCCAGTTTTTAAACGAACATATACAAATCATCTTTTAAATTCATGTTAATTTGCCTTCTCCCTTCCTCTGCCATTCCTTTTACCCATTCGTTTTGTTTTGTTATTGTAGTTGGTGTTGTTGTATTGTTAGTTACTTAGTTCATGTGTTTTGTTAAATTGACTTTCATGTATAAACTTAAGGGGTTGACCACAGACAAGCCTGTAGGCCTATTTTCGATCCCACCATTATCTGTCATGTTATATGTATTGACTTGTATTCTTGCTTATCTTTTGATATTTTCTATTATTTTTTTTATTTTTTTTTATTTGTTTTGATTTTTTTTTTAAAATCAGATTTTGGAAATAAACTTGAATTGAATTGTATTCAAACCTTTCCCCTAAATATATGAAGGAAGAGAGGAGGTGGGGTAGGAGGAGGAGGAGGTGGTGACGGGGGGACGGGGGACGGGGGAAAGAAGAAGAGGTGGAGGCGGAGGAAGAGAGCAAAAGAGAGAGAGAGATAAAAGAGTGAAATATGGGGTTTCCTCAGTCATACCAATAACACTAACACAAGACCGACAACAGACTGAACACGAAATTAACTTATTCATGAATGGCCAAATATGTCCTTTGAAAAAGTTTTCTGTATCCTGGTGTTTAAAGAATTGTATGAATATTTTGCTCTATATGATATATTACATATATTATTCATGCTTTAAAAATCATTTTGATCAGTTCCGCTTGTTACGGCTTCAATACCTGCACTTACCCTAATTGAATTTTACATGTCTACAATACGTGTGTGTGGTTTTACAATATGAAGCCTTTTTTCTTCTCTGCGAAGGCTATGGACGAATGGATGCATTTTCTAATCACCTTTTCTGCCGCAATTTATCTTGCAAACAAAAGTACTCAAATCCAATTTCATTTTTTTTTCCCGCTGGTAACTGATGAATATCAAAATGTCTTTTGATATACCATCAGTCAACAAATGGGAGGAACTAAAAATGTTATTATCGATTTAACAGCCGTCCTATAATATGCGACGAATGAATAAGATAAAGTTTGTGTTAATATGTAGCATTTAAAATATGTAATGTGTATGTGTTTAAGGTTATCTGTGGTAAAATAAAATTCGAGTTGTACAAATGTACTCACGAACGGCCAATATTAAGTTTCTATGTTATAATAGGCCTCCCCTCAAGATGAAAATAGATGTTTAAATTACATATTAGACTGGTCTTCAACAGCCGTGATCCACAATTGTAATCAATGCAAAGGTTTAAAGAATTACTTAACGTGAATTTCTATCTGATATTTTACTTCATGAATATGTAACATTAGAGCTATTTATAAAGGATTAAGTCAACCTTGAAAGTGTGCTCACAATATGACATGCGAGGTACGTTCTGTATCTATGAAAGTGCTCAATAAGTATTGGGGATTTGCTAATTGGTAAATTTGTTAGGCTTTCAGAATAATAAAAACACTTGTCATCAATCATTTTTGACAAACTGCGTTTCACCCACAAAAGCTGTAATGTCTAATCAACTAAGTGCAGTAGCGTTCGAAATAGGGAGGGGGGCTGAGGTGCACAGGCGCACAGGCGCAGAATAATGGGGGCCGACGGGCCCGGGACTCTCCTGGCAAAAAACAGGTAAAAAAAAATATTTTTAATTTTACATTCTTCAAACAAAAAATGAAAATAAACACCCCCCTCCCGCCCTGGGAAAAAAGATTTGTTTTTTCTTGGTGCTCAAGGGGAGGGGGTGTTAAGAATAAGAATAAAAAGAAGGAGTGTTCACTTCACCCTCTCCCCCCTCTCCCTTCGTTGAGCCACAACAAAATCACTGCTTAACATCACCAACCCCCCCCCCCCCCACCCCCGCTTATTCGCCGGCTAGCTGCTTCGCCGCTAAAAAAATTATCACGAGTTGGGCAAAAAGAATTGTGCTCTTTAACCCACCCGCCCCCTCCCACTGAGCAAAAAATCGGTCAGCGCGATTTTCAAATTCAGCCCCCCCCCCCCCCCCTTTATTGGAAAATCCTGGATCCGCCCCTCGAGGTGCATGGCAGCGCTGTAGGCTATCAATATTTTGGAATTATGCAAAATAATTAATTCTCTGTCAAACGTCGCTCCATAGTCGGAAAACAAGATTTTTCTGTATCAATTTGTTGACGAAATTACATTCACGGTATAAATAAGGGTTACCACTTTTGCTCGATTCCACGAAGAAGGAGCGATTGAGGCATGAACCCCTTTCGGCTTAGTGAGTTTCCACCATTTTATATTAAATTGGATAGGAGGTAATGACATCAAAAGTGAACCAGATTACTATGATATTATGACTATATAGTGCCCCCAAAAAATGAGAAAGATGGGTGGTGCCCTCTCAAAATATTGCAAACATTCATTGTTGAAAACATGAAAAAGATGATTTGTATCTACCTCTCTACCTTCTGTTCTCCATTTTCTGTTTTGTTGTGTCCAAGATTTTTAATCTGCATTGATATAATATGTGTATATATGTATATATGTAATTATATACTCTTTGTTAACATTAAGCAGCAGTTCAAAAGACCCAACTTTCATGTTTTTCTCACTGTCTTCTTCTACTTATCATACTTAGCCTCCTGATGAAGACTACCAACCGACATGTGCATTCATGATAGAAAGGTAGCTTAAACATTTTCTTTCCCTTACTCTTTCACCTTCCTATACCCTTTGCCTTTCTGTCAGTAATCCTTTTTCGTATTCACACCTCAGTTATGCACACCGTCGGACTGACTCCAAACCGAAGTTTATGGAAAGAAATGATTAATAATCGTAATAATAATAATAACAATAATAATATCAATATTAATACTGATAATAATTAGGACAATATTTATGACATCAATGACAACAAATATAATAATGATATTAATAATAATGATGATGATAATAATAATAATAATAATAATAATAATAATAATAATATTAATAAGAAGAACAAGAAGTAGAAGAAAGAAAAAAAAGATGAAGAAGAAGACGAAGAAGAAGAAGAAGAAAAAAGAGAAGAAGAAGAACTAAAACAACTACAACGAAAACAATGATAATGCAAATAATTGTACAAATTTCAAATCGAACACTATTTCAATCTTTTGTTATTTTAGTGAAGGACGTTTGGCATGGTCAACCGATGGCTGTACCAGGAAAGATGGGGGTTATGATAATGAGGATAACGAGGATGATGACGTCATTATCTGCTCCTGTAACCACCTTACCAACTTCGCCATCTTAATGTTAACCGATGACGTAGTAAGAACTTCTAGTATAGATTAATAGGATAGATAAAACTAAATGTGTATTGAAACTTAGTTTGAGGAAATGCAAACAAATTACATTAAAATGAAGGCAAACTGTGAACAAAAATGTCATGACTTTAGTTTGATTGCATATTCGTCTCCGCCATTTACACCCTACCTCTCTGAGTATGCTGGTCAAATCATGTCTAAAAAGGTCATACAGCTGAAATCGACTTATAATAAGCAACACGAATTCTACAAAACATGTTCGGAAGCTTGATGGAGACATTGCAGCGGGAAAATAACCCATCCCAGGAATCAATCGATCTGCATATAAATAATCGTGCAGAATTATGCCACTACTATATTTTGAGATTACTTGTTATAATTTTTGTTTGCTGTAAAACTTAGATTCATGAAAACCCAAAATCAAACACAAGCAATGTTGAATGCTAAGCATGACAATTAGATATTAAGTACATGACTGATTTATAAGTGACCCCTATTGCAAGACGAGCAATGAAGGGTATTTTCATTTTTTTTAAATAGAATGTATGAAGGTCTTCGTCTCTTCATTCTCTTTGAAAATATCAAGTTTGTTAAATATGTATCTTTGTGTTTTCTTTTAAACAGAACTCAGCTAACCACGACAAACGCCTGTCGATCATCACATACATTGGGACCTCCATCTCAATCGTATCTCTTATCATTGCATTGATTATCCTTTTCTCTGTCAGGTATGTACAGGACCCAGTCAAATCAATTAAGGTGATATTTTTAAAAGTCTGAACAAAAGAAGGGAGGCGGGATGGCTCAGTGGTAGACCAGTGGTCTCGTAACCGGGATGTCCCAGGCTCGAAACCAAGTTGAAGCGTTATTGCCCTTTGGTAGATATTAATCCTTATTAGCAAGTCACTTGGAGAGATTTTAAAACCGTCGATCCCTTGTTGCTTACTTACAAGCATACACGTGGTTTCTTAGTAGTCAGGTGAACCAAAACAAACAAACAAACAATTCTTTTGAAACTATTCAGGTCACATATCGTGTCGATGAGTGGGGTGTGCTGTCGGCGAGACGCTGTGTGTGTCCCCGACGTAGGCGGCGTTGTAGTCTGTTGTCGTCTGCTGTGTATTGTAGCTGTGAGGCTGGCGGCTGCTTTGAGGGTTCGGCGGATGGCGGTGGTTGATGTACGGGTGTCTGTTGGGGTGGTGAGGGCGGTGCTGGAGGCGGTGGTGACAGCACACTCCACTCATCGACTCGAAACTCTCCTAAGTCCGCAACCCGGAGACCCTAGCCCAGACGGACAGTCAGACGTACCAGCCGACCATCCATGCCCACTCCCCGATGATTCAAGCCAACCCGGTCACCTACTTTTCCCTGACGTCCGCACCCTGGTGACTTAAGCTCACGCACGCCAGCCATTCTCCACTCCTGACGACGGATAGTCAACCTGTTCGAAACGTCGAGCCACTCATCCTCTCCAAGCGCTATAGTTCTCCTTAGAACCATATGCTAAGAAAGATAACAAACAGTCCTTTCCAGGACTACCACACCCCCAAGAAAGATTACTGAGTCAGAGTCCTTTTCAGGACTCCTCAACCCTCTCTCCCTCTCTCTCTCACATGGTGCACCCGCAAACCTACTGTATAAACCTTGTATGGTTTTGTAAAATTACGAACCTTAGGAGTATGCACCCTTTCTCATATGATTGATTAGTTGAAGTAAGGATTATATGCAACCTGATTATTTGATAGATTCCGCAATTTTAAAGCAACTGCGTTGACATATAGATATTCTTTTTATTTATCCTTGATACTCTTTAAAAACTAGGTAATAAGAAAATTATTCTATTCTTTAATTTCTTATCGTTAACTTTGTTTTTCAGGATTTTAAGTACTCGAATTTTCTTGATCAAGAACCAATGCATCGCCATCTTTATAGCTCAAGTTCTCTTCATCTCTGGAGTTGAGCATGCGAGAAATATCAAGGTATACATTTGATTCTGATATTTAATCTTTATATGAAAAAGCGCATGATCAATGACTTTTATCAATTTAAGATTCAATAGTATTAACAAAACAAAAAAAAATGATGGTCATGTTGTGGTCGAACGTCTCGTTGGAATGTAATTCATATTTCTTCACTGATCAATTAGTTTTACCCCGAAAAGCTTTTCTATATATTTTTTTTTCAGTTGAAAATAATAAACAAGTTTGTCAATTCTAAAGAATGATAATATATCATTCTGTTTTGTATTATTCTATTTGTCTCATTGTTATACAATGTTCATTGTTATTATATGCGTTCGAAATGGTTTGAGAAAATAATTACGCCAGCACTTTAGCACTGATAACCAATACCAGCACACAATGCATTTTACGGTATAGATTACGTCAGAAACTCCTGTCAGGTGGAAGTAAAACATATGCCCCGTTTTGTAGAACTTGTTTTTTATCAACTACATGTCAGTTACCATAACCTGATAACTGTTAAGAGCTACTGAAATCATTGTATTTTATTAATGTGTTATAGAAATGTGACAGTTGTTATTGATAATAGGTTTTATGAAAGAAAGCCCAGAACATGTAAGATCAGAATTAAGCATGAAGGTCAAACAGCGGTTTGATATATATCTTGTTCAATCTTTATCAGGTACTGTGCGGTCTTGTAGCAGGATTCACCCACTATGCGTTCCTGTCTGTGTTCTGTTGGATGTTAGGTCAGGGTATCTACATTCTTCTGCAACTAGGATATCAGATGCTCTCTAAAGTTCGAGTGGGAAAGTGGCACTATGCCCTCTTTGGATGGGGTGAGCTTTGCATGTAAACCATCACCTTACTCCAAGCAGGGATATCACATATCCCTGCTCCAAGCATTTGTAGGGACATTGTGATGTATTGGTGAAGAAGTCCCTGGTCAAGGTTAAACAGCATTTTCTCCTGCGGCAATTGCTCAGCATAAATTTCTTACACAAACCTAATTCTCGACTTCAACTGTGGACAAAACACTATAACGACCTATGACCGTTATCCTTCCCTAAACCTAACCTAAAATGATTTTGCAACCCTAAGCCTAACCCCATACTTTTGCCAAAATAAAGCCCGGAGCATTTGTCGGGTTACCGGGTTCGATCTTGGGTGCTCACATGCTCGGACGAGGAGCTTTTATACCCACATTCCCTCTCCACTCAGATGGACTCAATGGATATTCAATTCAATTCAATTCAATTCATTTATTTGTTCAACTATCAAAATATGTAAACAATCAGAATAAGTAACATCAAACAACATATTATAAAACAATGAGGGTGTTGACCCCGGAGAGAGCAGGGCTTATAAACAGGGCCACCAAATTTAAATACATACAAAAATCAACAATACTTATAGGAAAAAAATTGCCATCGAACATTAATATAAACAAGGAAAAGAGAGAAGTGCACTTCTTGCAGCAGCAGCAAAAATCTATATCTACATACATACATATTTACCTGCAGTAGAAAAGAAGAGCGAACAAGAATATCAAGAACATTTTAAAAGAAGATAAGGTTTCCCTGCTTAGCTTTTTGAATCTGGAAAGGGTTGAACTGTTTTTAATATCTGGCCATGTGAGAGAATAACAATCTTTATTGGAGTGTCTCAGGCATTGATAAGACTGTATTACATTTGCTTGAACATAATCATTCAAATTCGTATACATACATAAATACAATAACGTTGAATTACTTATGACTCAAACAGATCTTCATATCCCAATACAAATATAAACAAATAATTGGCTTTCCCTGTTTTCTTCGTTTTTCTTAGGAATTCCTGCAGTGATTGTTGGACTGACAGCCGCTATTAAGAGTGGATTGTATACAAATGGATCCTAGTGAGAATGTCTTTTTTTTAAATCATTCTACCCAATTTTGTAGCATACTAACTAAATTACATACATTTGGATGTTCTCTGTCATAATCCTCATCATTGTACAATGTTTTGTAGAAGGAAACGATCCGTATTTGAAAGTTTAGTTGGATCTTATAGAAATAATTCCCTCTAAAGGTAATATTTAAAGAAACAAAGAAGCACAAATCATTCATATAAGATATATAACATTGTGCGAATAGGCATGGCTTGTTTTTAATGTACATTGGCTAAAGTGGCGTTTAGAGTGTTTTTATCTTTGGTAAAGCGGTCCTTATCCTAAATTTCGGAGCAAATTTTGCCGCGCTTTGTAGCCACAGAAGGAAAGGGCGATAAACATACAAGGATATACTCTGTGGAATGGATTTATGTTATCCTAAATCTCGGAGCAAATTTGACGCGCCTTGTAGCCACAGAAGGAAAGGGCGATAAACAAAAAGGATTTTACTATTTAAACCAAAATGGAAATGATGAACACTTTTCCTGAATCAGTGGCGTCTCATGTATCCATATATTAAGGGGACACCTCAATTACGAGGGATGGTCAATCTTACTCGACGGATAAAATGCGATCAGCGAAACTGTGGATTAGGGAATGGATGTGAGAGTCATTCATGTGGAAATCTCTTCACGTTACCTCCACCTTCCTCTTTTCCATTCTTTTCCTTTAGTCGTCCCTTTTCGCCATGTGATTGGGGTACGTACCCCGTGCCCCTCTTAGCTACGCCACCGACCAGAATAACATCTTCTCCCTGTCTATTTTTGTTTCCAGCTGTTGGTTGTCCACAGAGCAGGGAGGCGTCTGGGCATCTATCGGTCCTGTCATCGCCATTCTTGTGGTTTGTGTTTACATTAACAAAACGCAAAAAATGTAGAAAATCGAATGCATAATCCTTAATCTTGACAAATCTTGCATGGCAATTAACAGTCAGAAAGCATTAGGATGGGATTTAGAATTCTGCTCTATTCAAGCTTTGCTTAACCTTAAAGGCCACCTGTACTAGTTTAGCAAGGAGGGATTAGATCACCTAGCTAGGTCATTGACAGGTGGCTATCTCATCAACTCAGCTCTGAGTTAAAGGTAATACAAAGTTTTGGTAAATTTTAAAAATTGGCTGGATAGTGATTTGTTACAATTTTGAGATATTTGGATGCCTATGTAGATGTATTATAAGCACTAAAAAAATTAGCTCCTAAACCACTTTTGCTTTCGAGAAAAATTGAATATCAAAATTTACCGGTGCTCCCGGTAAATTTTGATAAATTTTAAATACCACCTACGGCCATACAATGGTAGATGGGACCGCGAAAATCTCAGAATATGTAGTTGTGATATATAATTTCCAAACGGAATTGCCAATCGGTCGATTATAGTCAAGAAACATTGTTTTATAGTTAAATTAATATCTTGACCGTGAGAGGGAGCTATACAAAATAAAGAGTTAATTATTTACAATTTCATTTGCAGGCCAAAAAATGAAAAGGTTAGATTCAAATGGCATTTGAAAGATAATACTAATTTAGAACTCCCCTTAAAATAAAGGGGGCTTGAAAATGTCTTCAAGTGGGAAAATTATGACTATTAGTTGTCAAATCGACTTGATTTTCAGACCATTGTACCGCATGGTCGTACGTTTTATGCTGTGCAAAGATTCAACAGTTTACTTTTGGCCATTACAAGAAGTGGGTTATTGATGTAGACAAGTCCTTTACAGCTCATTTTATGTATGTTATTACCAAAGAAGAGAAAAGGTCAGTCAGTCACTCAATACTGACAATAGTGTTTGACAGTGAAGTCTAGCAAGTAAACGGGTTTCCTTGCATAATTTGAATATTAGGACACTGCTTACGTTTAAATTTCACAGATAGGACATACATGACATATTCATAATTCCTGCAAAGTTCTACAGAATTTGAGGTTGGCTGCGAAAGGGACATAGTATCTTTAAGACTCCATTTCAACCGCGACAACGATCATTAAATATTGTAGGATCGCATATGCTTCCAATATGTTCATTTAAACAAAATTCACGACCCCTTACCAAAACTTTGTATTACCTTTAACATAAGAAAAAGAGGATCATGGGGGACTAATGATCACCGAGTATGCATTGTTTGCTATATAGAGGGAACAAGTAGCTACAAGTAGACAGTGTGGCTTTAAAACTGAAAAAAATGAACACTATACTTGTCATTTTAAGAGAAATGTTTAATATTCATTTCCAAGTTTGTTTGAAATTAAAGCAACAACTTTTATATTTTGATTTAGCCACTTGTAGACTAGAAAATGACAGAACATTTGCAATTGTGCATTAAATTAATCTGAGTTGGTTGAAGTGTAGCCTATCCGGTTATGCGTCGGGCTTTACAAGTATTCTAATCGCGTTAAATATGGAGAGTGACATCAGCGCGGGCGTCAGACCGAGCTGACACCCGTGCCGATGTCAGTCTCCATAACGCGATTAGTACACTTGCCATTTAGCCCGACGCCTATCGGATAGGCTAGTTGCAGTGTCATAAAACATCTCAATAGTTAAAGGGCAAGTCCACTCCAAAAATAACTTACTTTCAATAGAAGCGGAAAAATCAGGCAAACCAATCAAAAAGAAATTGAGCACAATCGGATAACTAACAAGAGAGTTATGAATTTTTACAGACATGAAAAACTCTGAAATCACTAGACGAATTGGCAACTGATGAGTCTGGGGCGTCATTGCTTTACCATCCACTAAATGTTTTCTTTATATTGATAATATACATTTTGAATAATTCACCCTAAAAATCCTTTTTCCTCACACCAGCATCCAACTTATATTGATAGTAATAGGCCCTATGTTTTCGCGTGGATGCACTCATATAACTCATGTATTTTGTTTTATTCTATTAAATTATGAATAATGTGAATTTTGATAAACTATTTTTAAAAAATCAATGATTATGAATATACCATATTCAGAAAATAGTATAAAATCTTTTGAGTGCATACAAAGATTTTGTTGAAAGTCATGCACGCAACATGATACAAATCATAAAACCTAGCCAAAGCCATTAAAAAAATGAAGTTTTGGGGAATAAAAAGGGAAATTGATGAGACAAGAATATATAGAGCAATTGATAAATAGTGAGGCAATGACGTCACAAACGGATTACAAAGTTGGCAATTTGTGTAGTGACTTTCCACAGTTTTGTTCATACTTTGAAAAAAAATTATGGTTAACTTCCTTATTAGATATCCGATTTTACTCAAATTTGTTTTGTTCTGTTTCTCTTGTTTTTCTGCATCTATTAAAAGCAAATTATTTTTGGAGTGGACTTGGCCTTTGATTTATTGTTATCACTTTTATAGCTTATGATACTTGCAAATATATCTTATATAATACATAATAATTATGTTCCTTTTCATCTCCTGATTTGGAACAGGTGAGCATTAGTGCGTTCTTCTGTGCGATGCGGTCGTTCTCATCTGTAAAGGCTTTCAAGAATAAATCCGAGATGAATAAGCTATGGTATGAATAAATATCACATACGTGAGATACATAGAAACATACACGCACGCACTCATAGTGTATCTCTTTATTGGTCGAAATTTCGATTTGCGTGACCTTCTTGATTCATACATAAAAATATACAAATGAATATACAGATAAATATGAACATTTATGCAGTCAAACCTGCATATTAAGCCCACCCAATTATTGAAGGGAAACGGGACAAGTGGCCACTGTAGACAGGTTGTCTTTCTAGAAAGGTTCTACAACATATATTTCTTTCTCAAGGTAGACAAAATAGATGGCCACTATGGACAGGTGGCCTTTATAAAGAAGTCGCCCCTAAGACATATACATGTGTATATGTATACGTATATTCACCAAGCCACATCCGAGCCAATGGTGATACATGGATTTACTTTCCCTTATTTGCGCTTAAGGGTGCGGCGGTGCAGTTCTCTCTCCATTGCAACTATGATTTATATTGACCCGAATTCACAAAGAAGGTTTGTCAACGAACCTTGGTTTTCGTACGTCATATGACGCGTTTTTACGCGTTTTCCTGGTTAGTAAAAACGCTTCGAAACGCGTCATATGACGCACGAAAACTAAGGTTTGTCGACAAACCTCCTTTGTGAATTCGGGCCATTGTGTACGACAAAGGAAGATAATTCTATGCATAAGCGTTTACAATATATTTCTCTCCTTTTCATTTTAAAGATCACATATTACGGTCATGAGTAAATTCAACTACCTATGCAGGAAGATCTAAATAATCTGAGATATCCGACAACATATCGCCAGTTGAATGCCAAACCAAATGCGCATACTTTGTGTATGTTTGATGAGCTAAACGTTACCCTGTATACAGGCGCGTACGCAGGATTTTTTCAAGGGGGGGGGGGTTTTAACATTTATAAATCGGTCCGAAAATTTCGCAACGACTCAGCCAGCCGCTGAATAAGCGGGGGGGGGGGGGGGGGGGTAAGAGGACACATTTTTTTTTTTTTTTGGTCCCAAAAAAATCGCAACGACTCAGCCGACCGCTGAATAAGCGGGGGGGGGGGGGGGGGGGGTAAGAGGACACTTTTTTTTTTTTTTTTTGGTATCGAAATTTGGAAATTTGACATTTTGCTCCGTTGGGGGGTCACCTTTTTTAGGTCGGCCATGGGAATAATTTTTTTTTTTTTTTTTTTTTTTAATAATTAAAAAAAAAAAAAAAAAAAAAAAAAAAAAAAATCCAAAAGGGGGGGGTTTTAGGTTTTTTTTAGGGGGGTTTACACACAAAAAATTTCCAAAGGGGGGGGGTTTAACCCCCCAACCCCCCCCCCCCCCCCCCCCCCCCCCCTGCGTACGCGCCTGCCTGTATATTTAAGAAAGCCTTGATGGTCCTTTTTTAATCTTGCCTTATCTGATTGTCATTTATGTAGGTCCAGTCTGCGAGCCGTCGCGATCTTGGCACCTACCATTGGTCTGACATGGCTTTTCGGAATCTTTGTGAATCTTCATGTCAGTTTCCAGTATATATTTGCCATTCTCAACTCGCTTCAGGTAACAGTAATTAATTCTCATCCCCTATATTTTATGTTATCAATTGAATAATACATAACATTGTGTTGGACTGAGTCTGTAGTACATGTAGTAAGTGGTATATCTTGACCCTGGCGTCGGAGGGGAGAAGCGGAACATCCGAACCAATGATTATATATTACTAGTAATTTGTTTCCCTAATTTGCGTGGATGGGTATAGCGATGCATGTTCCCTTTCCATTGTAACTATTCTAAAAAAAAAATAATATGATATTATTTGCAAATTTAATGACAGTCCTGTTTATCAGCTTATAAATTACAGTGATTTTCGAGCGAGCAAAACTATAAAACTAATATTGTCATCATTTCTTTCTGTCCTAGGGTTTTTTTCTTCTCGTGTTTCAAGTTGCAGCAAATGAAGAAGTAAGCTAATTGTTTTTATTTGTTTAGCAGATGTTTTTCCATTTATTGAAAAAAAATCAAATACGAATGTTTAACTTTACTGATAGTACATAATTAATTAATTTACATAAAATACATGAAATATGACAGCTGAAATACAAAAATAGATATAATTGAGAACTCGAAAGTATGGAGGTATATCAAAGAATCAAGATAAATGCAGAGGCCAAATGTTATAAGCATTAATGCTTGAGTGGATAGCAGCTGGGAGAATGGGGATGTCACGTATAAAACACTGTTTTTCTAGAAATTATCTAAATAAAAAGGTGGAAGAAGGAAAAGAAAAGGAAAAAATTGCAAGTGCATTCATGTGGGTGTGTGCAGGTGAAGAAATTGGTCATCTTAAAGCCCCTCTAAAGTATTCGGGAGCCCAAATTTGCCAACAATTTGACGGCAAAAAGCTTTCGATATTATCAAGTAAATCATTTCAAAATATCCGGACCATGGTGTCTTTTCAATTTATAGGGCATAATGAGTTTTGGATTAGTTAAATGAATATCAGATGAATGTCGTGTAGGGGTAAAAATGTTTATTACTATTGCACACAATCATTTTTCGAAATGTTTGTGGTATAGTATTTATCCAACATCTGTACTCAAAGATTCCATTTTGAAAAACGTGAATATCAGCGATTTGTGATGTTTTTAGTTCATGAAATATTGGATCAGTATAGGCCATACAATGTGAACGTGTACAAATAAGGAGCGTTTTCTTTTGGAGGCAATATGATAAGATAATTGAAATTTTATTGCATGAGACACTATAATTGGCGCCATCATGCAGCGCGTACTACCCCTACTTGCAAGCCACGGTCCAGGCCACGAACCGCCATGGAATCAGTCCAGCGGGTGAGGGCCGCTGAGTAACAAACCGTATTCATGTAATCTCTCTTCTAAGGTTCTAAAAGCAGAAAGAAAAAAAACTATCAATCAAACAATAATACACTGATACAGAAAACTTTCATCAGTTGGAGATAATAATAACATTTAGTTTGTTTCTACCAACCTTAAATTTGTTATGCAAGCTTTTATCCACTCCTATGGACTTTCTCAAGCTTAGTGATCAGTCTGAGTTACACGTTTTCTTCGCTGCACTGCCTGGTGTCCTGCTGAATCCTGGCTCTTAATACATATGCACTTTTTCACCTTTCTTGACCAGAAGTTGCTTTCAAAGTCTAAAATGAGGGCATCCTTCCATCACTAGTGTTCCTGCCAAACAAGTTGTGGATACTGTGATAGAAAGGTTGCAGGAGGACCAAACTCTTGATGATAGAACAGGTTTAAGCCAAAATGAAATCGGCAATCTGTTGAGACTTTGCCTTAGTAACACTTTTTTTATTTACAATGGCAACCTTTACCAGTAAACACATGGAACACCTACGGGCTCACCTATCTCCCCAGTTGTTTTGAACTTATATCTAGAACATCTGGAAGAAGAAATTTTCTCTCATGCCCCTCACCCCCAGGATTTGGTGGAGATACGTTGACGACACCTTTCCTTTGTTATCATTGATTATGAGCATATTGACGAATTCACTAATTACATCAATACCATCGACCAACACATAAAGTTCACTGTTAAGGAAGAGCTTCAAAGTTCACTGAACCTCCTGGACACAAAGGTTTTTGTGAATGATGACCTTTCAGTATCCACAGTGTGTGCAGGAAACCGATCCACACCTATTCTTATTCGAACGTTGAATCAGATCGCCTCCTCAGCACAAAGGTGGGAGATGCTAGCTTATTGTATCTGGGAGCTGAAAATGTAACCTAGGACAATGATGCACTCCAGAGTGGATTCCAACATATTGACAAGGCGCTTATGTCATGTGGATACCCAGCATGGATGAGAAAAAGAGCGAATGACAGAATAAGAACTAAGGCTTCCCCCCCCCCCACCCCCAAGGCAAAGGAAGAAGTAAACAACATAATAGTCCATCCTTTTGTTAACCCTATATCCTCTCGCCTGAAACGAGCATTCCAAGACACGGACATCAGTGTTGCCTTCAAAAGCCCTAACACACTAAGAAGTAGATGGTCCACCCAAAAGACAAAATTCCTAGAGAGAGAAAAACAGGTACTGTGTACAAGATTACGTGCACATATTGTAACAATTCATATGTTGGGGAAACTTACAGAACTTTCAAAGAACACAAAAGAGCCCTCGGATTGAACAACCTATCCCATTCAGCGTTAGCTGAACACGCCTTTAACACAGGATATAACATTGGATGGGAAGATGCCCTGATTATAGACTTTGAAAGCAACTTCTGGTCAAGAAAGTTGAAAGAGTCCACATGGATTAAGAGGATTAAGCCATGGTTAAACAGGGGATCTGGATACCTATTGTCACCTAGCTTTGGTCCAGTGATCGCAGGACACCAGGCAGTGCAGCGAAGCAAATGTGTAACTCAGATTGATCATTTAGCTTGAGAAGGTCCAAAGGACTGGATGAAAGCTTGCATAACAAATTTAAGGTTGGTAGAAGCTTAAAAACTACATTTTAATAATACACTGGTTTCGTTAATTCGACAATAAGATATATGTTCTGTGTGCACTGAGCATGGTATAGATAAAAGCATTACATAAAAGTAACGAATACAATCCAGTCAAAACTCGGTCAGGCAGTTCGAGAGCAGTTTTTATGATTATAGAAATCAATGTCCATTTGCATAGTTATTCAAAGTAAAAATAATCATTTTAAAAAAAGCAAGACTAAAGATTCCATACTAATGACGCAATTGACCTTTAATTTTTTTGTTGGATTTATATATTCTCCGAATTAACAATAAAAACCTTATATATATATATATATATATATATATCCCAGTGGCGGATCCAGGGGGGCCCGGGGATCCCGGCCCCACCCCCACACCCCCCCCCCCCCATCCCCTGGGAAAAAACGTGGAAAAACAAGTTAATTTTAACTTTTTGTGGAGATGCCCCCCCCCCCCGGTGCCAAAGGGGGGGGGGGTTGCGATTTAACACATTTTCGAGGGCCAAACAAAAAATTAGTGCTCACTATCTGATAGCTTCCTAAAGAACTTCTTGCCTTATCGAATCGAATGCCTTTTCGGAGTCTATATAACAACAAAACAAGCTTCTGTTCTTTTTAAGTTGTTTCTCTGCAATTTGTCGTAGAGTAAAACAGTTGGACTACGGTTGACCTCCCTGACTAAGCTGATCCCCCGTCATTTTCTTGATATTTGGATTCCACGTGATTTTCTTGATTGTTGAGTAGACCTCTCTGGACTAAGCCGCATGGTGCTTTTTTTACATAGATCTTGGATCCATTTGTCCTTACACCCTTCAGTCTCTCTCTTTAATTCCCTGTTTAGGATATTATAGCGGGCTCCTTTGGTGGGATCACTTATTACTTCTCCTGCTGAACTTTTTTCCCTCTGATCACTAAGTTGGAGCATCTCGTCGCTTATCCAAGTGTCCTGGGGTTTTATCCTTCTGTTTCCGAGAAGTTTGGTCGATGTCTCGCTGTATGCTGACTTCATGCCTTCCCAGACCATTCCAGATGTAAGAATTGTAAAATTTATCATGCTGCTTGTACAAGACCGGTCATTTGTCCTTGAAACATCAAACGGTGAATGCAGTAGGAAGAGGAAACTCCGCAATGGTGTGCCGCAAGGCTCTGTCCTCGCTCCGATACTTTTCAACATCTATGTCTCTGATATGCCCAAGGGGGGATGCATGCAGTATTCCTACGCAGACGACACCGCACTAGGGTTCAACAACCACTCCTTCGAGGCAATCGAGACATAACTGGAGAAGGACCTGAAGATGCTACCCGATTTCTTTAACAGATGGCATCTCAAGATAAGCATACCAAAGACTGTATCCTCCGTCTTCCACCTGGCTAACCGATGCGCCAACCGAGAGCTGAATATCTCACTAGATGGGTCTAGGCTGAAATTCGTCTCAACACCAAAGTACCTCGGTGTCACTCTTGACCGAAGCCACACCTTCCACGAGCATGCCAAAGCCACAGCTCATAAGACCGAAACCAGAGTGTCTCTCCTAAAGAAGCTTGCAAGGAATCGGATGGGGAGCTAATTTCACCACCCTTCGCACCTCCCCTCTAGCTCTTGCCTTCTCCACTGCCGAATATGCTGCACCTGCATGGAGCCACAGCACCCATGTACACAAGGTTGATGCTGTCCTCAATGATGCTATGAGACTAATCAGCGGAACACTCACTGCAACACCCGTCAGCAACCTGCCAATATTATCTGAAATACCACCAGCTCAGCTCAGACGAGATGCGCAGTACACTAAGCTTGCCCAAAAGCATGGCAGTGATAAATGCCTTCTTCCTGCCCCCTCTGCCTTTGTAGGACAGCGTCTCCCTAGAAGACACTTTGCAACACAGGCTGCTGAGCTGCGGCCTGAGAAGCCCTCCTCCACCTTAGCCACTTGGATAGCAAAACGCTGGTCAGACCAGTGGAATTCGTCCACTACCAACCTGAAGGAGTTCATCACAAAGCCCTGTGCAAAACCAAGTGGCAGCGACCTCCCAAGTAAAGCCTGGGTCAACCTAAACCGTATCAGAGCTGGAGTTGGCCGTACACAATATTTCCTACATAAAATTGGAGCCGAATCATCACCAAATTGCGCATGTGGAGAGATCCAAACTATGGATCATGTCATTGATGATTGTCCGATCTACAAATCCCCCCACGGCGCTTCCGGGCTTCGTGAGCTCGATGATGAGACAATCTTTTGGCTTAACAAGGGTCTTCCTATCTAGATAATGTACTCCCTGATGTTCTTTGCACGAACGAACGAATGATGCCTTCCCATAGATTTTCCACATCTGTGTTTTTATCTTTGAGAAGTGGGCCAAACCCGCTGTTACTATAGTAGCTTCTCGAGTTTGCGAAAACTCCCTAATATCAGAAATGTTGCAGTGCATGGCGTTTGTTTCGTCCCGAATACCTTCAATTTACGGTATGGCGATAATTTTAAGCTGTTCAAAGTCGTTCAAAAATCAAGATAAATCTCGTGAGAATGCACAAAATATGCTCTTCAATTGTCACAATAAGATGTTCACATGCAGATTGACGCAAATTCCCCATATATTTTGTATCAGTTATATGTAGAACAACAGTGACATTCGTTTGTTCCAGTCTGTATCTTTTAGATAACACTTGCTTACAAAACGACGTTCATGTACTTGTTTTGCAACATCAAAACTAATAATTTATCTGTTTCAAATTAACATTTTTGTTTTCTCTTTTTCATAGCCAATAAAAAAACATTGCTATGATTTGACGATATGATTATCATTACAGAAGGACTACATTTGAGTCGCACACAAATTAGCAAGACAAAACAAAACAAGGACCCATGAAAGTAGAAATCACAATTGCAAAAGCTAAAAACTAAATTACCTGAGGCACTTTTAATGGCTTATCGCGTCACTTATAAGAACGTGAAAATAATACAATTACACATTACATAATCCAAAACCTGATATCTACAGACAATGGATAAGGTATTGAATCTGTCCGTGACTTGATTTCTTGAAGTCTTTGCGGGCATTTGCTTTACTGTGGGACTCCACCACAATTCTTAAATCCTGTCCAGTACAGCTAATTAATGCACTGCGCATATGCAGTATGCCGTCAACATAGTCTCACAGTGCAGGCACAGTTACGCACATCAACTAACAAATGTTTTGTGCCTGTAAAGTGTAGCATACGACCATCTGACTTTCTTAATAGATGTAAATTGAGCCTATACGATGCATTTTTTTAACTTTCACTCAGATCCGAACCAAACTCAAACTGCGAGTGCGTCGCGTAGTGGCAACAGACATTGTGTTGACCAGTGAGAGACCATCGGCCCCTGCACAGGTACTATCCCGTTATAGGCTATCACTTTAATTACTCTAATTATCGTGAGGGCGGTGATTTCTGGGTGCGCCAGGTACCCCCTGATTATTCCTGCCGTTCTACATTGGCTTTGCCATGAAAAAATATTGTTCCCTTTGACTGATTGATTTAACAGCTAGAGTACATTTACTTTATTCCCACATAGTAAAATGGGTCCATAATAAAGAGGTTAAAAAAAGTTGTTATAGGTAATGAATAATTCACATTCTTTTATATAATACATTCATTTGAAATATTTCTGTACATTTAACTTTAAATACATTGAAGCACCCTACAAGTAAACATCTTTTAAGAAATATTTTAATTTTTTTACAACCCTTTCCCCACACACTAATTTGAAACGTTTCATAAAATACTATGATTAAAAGTATTTCAACGCATATGGAGGTTTAGATATTATTTATGCACAGTAAATTCAACTGTATTACATTCGCAGGCTATTATTAACTATTCATTTCTTCATTTGTATCTCTTTGTAGCCTGGCTGTTCTCGCACTGAAAAGGATAAGCACCTGCCAATGAGGGTGTTCGTCACGACAACTGCAACAACCGAAATACAAAGTAAAACAATTGGCGAAGTCGCCAACTTTATGCCATAAACATTACATGAAGTATTTAGGTTGCTTTGGAAAGATTGGAACCACACTTAATTACAAATGATATTTGGTAAAGAATTATACCGCCTTTGGCAGGTGACGAGTGGAGTGAATTTTGCATAGGATCTCATAGTTTCGGGAATTGAGAATTATTAACAGATTGAGTTTGACGGAAATAAAGACTAGTATGTACAGGAAACATATCAATAAGATTAGGAGGGAGGAATCGAGTACCACATTTGCAGCTTCGAAGTTCTAGTTTGTAGCTGCATAATAGCATTCATGTCTGATATATTAAGCTTAAATAACAAAAAAGCAAAACCTATCCCCCCCCCAAAAAAAAGGTGCTCTAATAGAACCTTGGAGTTAACTTAAAAGTTCGAATCTCAGTTTATTCATTTTGTTTGCCTTTATAAATAGTGAGGCAAAGCAATAAATAATCAAAGTCTAATTGTTTGTGACCTCTTTGAAAGCGTTCATTGCTTGTTATGTATAAAGATTTCATACTGGAATCTGGGATCGCTGTGGTACGAAAATATAAGACGCATGTCGCGCTATCAAAATAGGCATGAAGTTCAAAGGTCGATAGGAAAAATTAAAATATCATCCTAATTCATACCACAGCATGCCATGCGTGGTATTACAAAAAAAGAATTGCGTTAATTATTTGTTCATATAATTTTTCTTTTTCGGGGGGGGAGGACAACTTGTGAAATTAAGCATCTAGTTCTTTTACACATTTATCGACGATGTCGACGATGATTTTAGATGTAAGCCGCAATTATTATCGGCAAGATACTGTAGTGGTTTGCCATAACATTATGCAGCTTCCCCATGGTTATATGTCAACCTGTATGTGCCAATTACTTGATGGTAAGAAAGCATAGAAAAATGTTGCATTGTTCTCCAGCAATTTAGGAAGATGGAAATCCAGCTGACGTTATTCATAAGTTAGAGAGCTTTAGAATCAATAGTACCTCAATTTTACTTAATCAACTTCATAGAAATTTTTCGGTGTGATTTTAGTCTCAATATCAGGAGGAATTTTAATGTGATATCGTCATCTTTTGCTTTAACATTCTGTGAAAATATATTTTTGTACCACTTCGAAAAGTTTCTCAAAATAATGTAAATTAGCGTAGAAGAATTAACCAACCTGGTGATGGTACTTTCTATATCTATTTCTTACAACCCATATTAATTATTTTTTCTTGGACTGGACCCTTTGTAATTCATATTTCAGCAGGATTATTTAGCCCAAAGAATTCACAGCAGCATAATCACAATTTTAGGATAAAATTGAATTTCTATTTTACATCTCAATTTCTTGACTCGTCATTGTAACTGACATGATACATTTGTAAATATACATGTGGTTAGTTTTTATCTGTAAAACTATTACTATTCAACCATCCGGCTGCAATGAAATGTTAAAATAGATATTGAATCTGGATTGAGATGAGAACTCATGAGTATGACTTAGTTAGGCCATGGACCTACTTGGTTAGGCGCTAGATTGCATACATGTTTTCAGAGACAAGTGCCCCATCGGTAATCATGGATCCATATTCAAATGTTGGCGTCCCGTGTAACTTTGCTCACTTAAACTCGATGCACATAAGGCTTTATTCCACTCTAGCCAATAGATTTTGTTGTTGTAATGTATTCAAAGTTATACAAGATTCCTTAGCAACGAGCTATTACATTCACCTGTTATATACTATTGGCTTTCAATAGTCAGATTGAAAATTACATATGGGTAATTCCATAAATTAGTGACCCACTTTGTGACATTTTTGGTGTCCCCGTTACAATTATGCTTGGAAATCACTTTACAATCTCACTCCACTATTTAAGTTTTTACTCAGATCGACACATACGTGTGGGTTCCTTATGTAACAGGGACATCAAAAATGTCACAAAGTGGGTCCCTTATTTATGGAATTACCCATATATTAGTTGTTGCTTTGTACAGTAGGGCACATATCATGACTTGCCCTCTATACCTACACGTTATATATGCAATTTGCATTCTATTCGACTGAACATGTCCCGGAGTGAACGTGCAACGTTTCGAGCTATAACACAGTGATTCAACTATAACTAACTTTAAAGTATTTTATGGGTGTACTTCATGAATAGAATGCACACATGTTCATTGTTTCATTCACATGTTGCGAGTAATTGTATTTTGGTGGTCGGAGTGCGAGTTGCATACACTAGTTGTTGCTATAAGCAACATTCAGATATATCTGATGCAAATATTGTACAGGACACGATAATGATGCTACCCCAACCTCGCCCATAGTATGGAATACTTAAAATATACGTATATATTCGTAAAGTTCTCGTAACTAAATGTAAAGTGCTCGAAATCACTCTTGAATCTTGAATTTTGGATTCTTCATTATTAGACGAATTGGTTGATGGTATAGTTAGATTTATGCTATGGGTATTTAAAACCAGACAAATGTGGTAAATTATGTATCATTGATGTTAACATGTAATTAAGATTGTTCTTTATTTTTGTTCTTTTCTGCACTTGCAGTGGTTTGCTTTCTATAAAATACATATTTAAACAGCCAATAAACCCCACCCAACTCTAGATCTTGAGTCACCGTGTCTTTCTGGGTGTGCCTGACCCCCCCCCCCCCCCCAGCTCCCCCTCCCTCCCTTAACCAGACTACGACATTATGCTTTCTTTTTCATTTTATTATTTTCTCTTCCTATCTTTCCTTATGCTTTTTGTTTTTGTTTCTTCATTCCATCAACTTTTCTCATGATTTTCTATGTTTTTATAATTCTATCACTGTCTGCCTTTCTTTATGTTATTGTTTTCCCCTCCATCACCTTCTTTTATGTTGCTCTTTCTTTTTATCATTATATTTTTTTTTCTCTTCCGTCCTTTCCTTATGTTATTATTTGTTTCTTCCTTTTCTGACCTTTACTTATGTAATCCTTTGTTTTATCATTATATCACTTTTTCTTTTTGTCTTTCTTTGTTATTCCTCTTTTTTTCCTTTTATCAGTTTCTCTTATGTTATTCTTTGTTTTTATCATTCTAACATTTTCTCTCTATCTTTCCTTATGTTATTCTCTGATTTTATTCTTGTACTGTAATTTTTGTCTCTCTGTCATTACATTCCCGCGTTACACACTCACTTCCGGTTAAAGTACGCTTCCTGTCACGGTGTGGTTTCACATTTCACGCTAAATGGGTCTCGAGCGGTCTAGGAAGCAAACCGGTCCAGAAGACCACATCACGAAGTGATCTTCTGGATCATTCGGTCCAGAAGATCGCTTCCTGGCATTATGCAATTTATTTATGTATTCTTACTCACCGTTAGACCGATCTAGCGTAGATCGGTCCAGAAATGAGTGAGTAAGTAGTCCTAATTTCATTCTGTTTTAAAATCCAATCGAAATAATACGAATGATTTAAATACTTCGATGATTCTGATTAAGTTTGGTGATATTTATTTGCGTATAATGTAGTGTAATGAAACACAATATCAGTCCATTCTATTTGTTACTTTCCTTAAAAGAATATTATACTGCATGTTTGAGAAACCTTAGGGATCCTTTCTTCTCTTTTTTCATTTTTAAATAAAATTCTGATGATAGCAACCTCGTCATGTGACAAACGCTGGGGCCATACTTCAACACTTCACTGTGTTTAACACTAAATATTTGCATTTCCATAATTCAAAATTCCACAATACTCATAGCTCGATGATATATCTATTTAAGAATTAAGAGTTCCTTACGATTTCCATTTAGTTTATTCTATGGAATATCATTTATGATATAGAGCTATTTCATATGTATCTATTTACATAGTCTTGTGACAACAAGGCTGTTCTTCATCCGTTAAGACAATGATTGAAAAAGGAGACATTCATAAATAATATCAACATGTATCAACAAAATGGTAACATACACAAATTACAAAGCGTACACAGATTTTCAGACAATAACATCACAATCATGTGAGGATTCTATCAGCCAAAATCAAACAAAAAAATCCAACAACATAGTGTGTATCCCCAAAAGCACCCCAGGATTCTGGGCAACTGCTCATAGGCATGATAGGACAATCATTCCCTTATTTAAAAAAGAATGGTTTGTCCAGGCGTAGCTGACATATGGAGTAGTTTGTCCTAGATTAGCTGACCAAAGTAGAGTTGTCCTGTTACTAGCCGACTAGTTGTCTAAGGATCTTGGGGCCTATATCTTAAAATTTCGAACATATCTTCTTGTTATACCTATAGCCTACACTTGCTAATATGTACAAAAATCCCTCATTCAAAATCCCAATTTATCTGTCTTTTAGTCATATCTAATAATTGAAATTAATCTGTAAAGCACCTTGAGTATATCTAGAGATAGATATTTGCGCTTCATAAACCTTGTCATTATTATTATTATTATTATTAATCACTATTATCATTATCATCATTATTATTATTATCATTATCATCATTATCATTATTATTATCATTATTATTTTCATTATCATTATTATTATCAGGTGGGCTGTTTAACGTACAGACCACCTTATAATTTCGTTAGAATTGCCTTTATTTATTTATTTATTTATTTATTATTTATCAGGTGGGCTGTATAACGTACAGACCACCTTATAATTTCGTTAGAATTGCCTTTATTATTTATTTTTCTTACATCTAACCACTTTTTTGTAAGCACGATTACTTGAAAATGGCTCAATCAAATACCTTCAAATTTGGCACACACATGTAAAGGCATATGTACAAAGCACAATAATGTTTTCAACATTGACCTTCACTGATGACGTCATCTAGGCGCCATTTTGTAAAATTGTATGAAAATCAACACATGATCATATCTTCATAACCAAAGGTTATTTCTCATTCATATTTATCATGATTAAGGTCAATATCCATCCGGTCAATTGCAGGTCAAATAACGCGCGCGTGCGCGTACCGCCGCGCGTCAATGCGCGCGCAAAATGTTGAAATGCTTAAAATCGTCTCAAAATCATTTTGCATACGTTTTAGGCCATTCTAAGCATTTTATAAAAAAATCGCGCACACGCACGTATGCGCGCGTTTTCGCGCGTAAAACTATTACACAACATAGAATCGCCATTTTTTTTCTTTCATAATATTTCACATATTTTTAAAAACAAATTAATACCATGTTTGTCTTTTTATGACTATTAATAACGGAATGATCGACCGTTTAACATAAATTTCTGTGCGCGCGAGCTTTTGTAATACATAGCATATATGGGCAAAACATGCCTATACAAAATCAATTGTAGCTCTTTGGGATGAAACTGGAACCCCAATTTTTTTCTTCATATTTTGATAGAGAATGAGTCGGAGATATGATTTAATGTCTCATTTGACCCTCAATTAACTCATGACGTCATCATAATGGCTTCCGAACTCATAATTTCAATTTGCATATTATGACGTCAGCATATTTTTGAAAAAAATGATTGTATCTCTGTAAATATGGATCAACTTTCTTCCAAAGTTTGATATGTTTTAGCTTAGACAATTTTCTACAAATGTTGTTGTCACGATTCTTCATTTTGACAAAAGCATCATGTCGTATTTTTGCGATTAAAGGAGGCATGTCAATTTTTCACATTTTGCGTGTATTCTCTAAGGGACATGACTTTTTCTCAAAACTGGGTTCTACATTTCCGTCTTTCGCGAGCAATATCTCCGTCGTTTTAGCTTCGTTTGTAAAGGCATATGTACAAAGCACAATAACGTTTTTAACATTGACCTTGACTGATGACGTCATCTAGGCGCCATTTTGTAAAATTTTCGGAAAATCAACTCATGATCATATCTTCATAACCAAAAGGTATTTCTCATTCATATTTATCATGATCAAGGTCAATATCCGTCCGGTCAATTTCAGGTCAAATAACGCGCGCGTGCGCGTACGTCCGCGCGTCAATGCGCGCGTAAAATTTTGAAATGCTCAAAATCGTCTAAAAATAATTTTGCATACGTTTAAGGCCATTCTAAGCATTTTATAAAAAATCGCGCACACGCGCATGCGTGCGCGTTTTTGCGCGTAAAACTATTGCACAACATAGAATCGCCATTTTTTTTTCTTTCAAAATATTCCACATATTTTTACAAAAAAAATTGATACCATGTTTATCTCTTTATGACTATTAATGACGGAATGATCGACCGTTAAAGATAAATTTCCGTGCGCGCGAGCTCTTGTTATACAAAGCATATATGGGCAAAAACATGCCTATGCAAAATCCATTGTAGCTCTTTAGGATGCAAGGTGACCCCAATTTTGTTTCATATTTTGATGGAGTATGAATCGGAGATATGATTTCATGTCTCATTTGACCTTCAATTAACTCATGACGTCATCATAATGGCCTCCGAACTCAAAATTTCAATTTGCATATTATGACGTCAGCATATTTTTGGAAAATGGATTGTAAAAATTGATCGGTTTTCTTCAAAATGTTGATATGTTCTAGCTGAGACAATTCTATACGAATCTAGTCACCACGAATTTTCATTTTGACAAAGGCATCATGGCGTATTTTTTTGATTAAAGGAGGCATGTCAATTTTTCACATTTTGCGTGTATTCTCTAAGGGACATGACTTTTTCTCAAAACTTGATTCTACATTCCCGTCTTTCGCGAGCAATATCTACGTCGTTTTAGCTTCATTTACGCTGAACTTCGAGTATGTTGTAGCTGAGACAAAAAGCTACCTCAAATGTACCCTTCATTTTGTCTCAATTTTTTATTGGATCAGCCCACCTATACTTGTTCAAAACAAGTATTACAAATCTAGTTATTATTATTATTATTATTATTATTATTATTATTATTATTATTATTATTATTATTATTATTATTATTATATTTGATCTGCATATAACAATTGGGCATTCCAAAATGGTATTTTTAATTAATTTTGATTAATTGTCATCTGCAATAGAGAAGAATTCGTTAAATACATTATTTGCTTAGTCTTATGTCTGGGGCGCTTTAATATTTATCAGATTTTACTAACTAATCCTAACGAAAAGGAAAATGTATAAACTTCTACTCACAATACGTTGGCGCTGTTGCAGAGATTCAAAATCCGCTACATGTGTTTTATTGAACCTTAACATGAATATCGATTATCTGCCTTAGTGCCATAACGACCTGTATATGCAGAGGAATATCTTGTAAATATTACGGAACATCGTTCAAATACTAATCGGAATTTCACATCAAAATGTTATAATAATTTCAGTTTTCATGGTAGTAGTAGTAGTAGCAGTAGTAGTCATAATGATAATAATAATCATCATAATAATAATAATCATCTTCATAATAGTCATAATAATATTCAAAATAATAACAATAGTTATCATTATTATTATTATTAAAACAAAAATATACCTTATTTAAACAGTGAAGCCTCCTCAGTATCAATACTGTTCTCCCCGGGGCCCCTTCAATCATTTTATTATCCTGGCTGCCTAACTTTCATCACATCTATCATCTTAGCTATCTAATGATTCTGTCTTCTGTTAGCATTAAAACAATACTTACGACAGATTGCAGTAATTTACTACAATAAAAATCATAACTTGTATGAAATGAAAGTTTTGGCCATCATCTTCGCAAATCTATCCATATATATTTTATTAGTTTAATACAATCTTGTTGCATATATCTAACACTAACAATACAAAATGTTAGATCCATTTTATGAGAGAACAGAACAAAAAGCGTCAGATTTTGAGGTACTATTATTATCATTATCATAATCAATATTATTACGATTATTACTTTTACAATGATTGTAATATTATTATTTTTATTATAATAATTATTATTATTATTTCTTTGACCTTTTTTGGTTAACACCCCCCCCCCCCTCCCCCACATACTTTATTCTCACAAATGTACAACAACACTGCAGACTCTTTCTACCGCTCAAAGATCTTAGAAAGCAATTGAATTTGGGATGCAGACTCTTTCTACCGCTCAAAGATCTTAGATAGCAATTGAATTTGGGATGCAAACTCTTTCTACCGCTCGAAAGATCTTAGATAGCAATTGAATTTGGGATGCAGCTTGGGTGAAGGACAAGGTAGGGTCGGACGCGCTCCTTGTTTCGTTTATCAATCTCCGCTGTAACTGCTTTCAATTCCTCGTGTAATCTACATAGGAAAAATAGAAACAATCACATTTCTTGATCAACATATGAATTGATTAATTTGTGAATGAATAAGCCAGTCAAGAAATAAATGTGTGATTCCTATAATTAAAGCAGGATTACAACACGTGAGGTAAAATAAGGCCATATTTTTATTAACAATATTATCATTATCATTATTATTATTATTTACTATCATTATTATTGTTATTTGGGACAATTGCACCTTGAACATTTTTCTTTCAAGTGGATTTGGAGCCTTTCAAATCCCATTATATTCATTAATAGTATTGACATTATTATTAGTAGTAGAAGTAGTAGTAGTATTATTATTATCATCATTAATATTAAATGTGTTATTATTATTGTCATCATTATTGTTAATTTTCTTTTTGATGTTGTTTTCTTTTCCATACATGTACTAACTCATCATAAATACACTTGCTCTAAAGTGTGTTTATATTATTTGTAAATTGCCATTTCCTACCGGGAGAGGGGTACTTACGTCTCAATAGCCTTCTTGCCGATGGGATCATACATATACTGCACCTCAAAATCACCCAGAGGTTTGGTATCTCTCTTACTCAAGATCCTGGACATCACCATAGCTCGAATGGTCCAGTCTTTAGGTGGTAGTGTTTCTAACACGTCATTCTCTGTCCTAACACCCTGAAATAATGTAAGGTAACATACAAAATCAACCCTTAACAATTTTTGATGCAAAATCCTTAGAAAATGATCAATAGGTGGTCTTTTTATCACAGGAGTGTAGATTTGAAATTTAATGATGGTTGATAGTCTGATACATTGCTTTGTATGCTTTCACATTAACCGATATCAAAACATACAGCTTCATGACCCCTGCTGCAGATAAATGAACCTCAATCCACACCCACATCCTGTATTTACTGCCTACACCTGTACAATAAACGGATAACTGTTTGCCTTGCTTTACTCAGTTTATTTTGAATTAATGGAGACGTATTGAACCACTTGATCGTGGTAGTCCGCTGATTAGGTTTGTAGATGTAAGGAGAAACTCTTGCTTTTATTCTGCATCATATATATATATATATATATCACCTTATCTTTAGGTGGGGTTCCCCTGAGACATCCCGGATAGCTGGGTACGAATCCATACTCATCATACTGTGTAAAGGTTACTGCTGCATGTCCAGCTGTACAGATGTAGATGATATTGGTCAGAAGTTCAGTCAGTTGTTGACCGTTTCGAAACTTGCCATCACTAGGAATTCCCTGTATCAAGTTAATCAACATAGTTTAGATTTATTATTTGACAAAATAGCATGCAGAGGTTAGATTTCACTTGTGAAAATGAGGGTTTTATTTTGAATTTCTGTTCCAAATTACTCAATTACTCTCTAAGCTTCTCTTTTTGAAAGCATTATTGTTATAATGCTTACATTTTAACCGTTGAAAGCATCGCATGTAATTGTGTGTGTTTACAGCCTTGTTGACTTGATGTATTAATGGTACCTACTTTTCATAAATGGAATATATTGATTAATTACTTCAGATTAGGTTAAATATATCTCTGCTGTGTGTAAATCACGTAATACATCCAAAGTCAAGCGTAGTTGCATTGACTTATCATGTTGTTTTGAACATTTGATTTTTCATTGTGATAAATGAACTAAAGATGCAAATAATATGAAACGAATATCATCGATAATACAAAATCATTCTTAAGGCAAACATTAGAATGCACATTGCATAGAAGAAGGGACACGAAGGGACAATGATGTATACAAAACTACGCAAAAGAAGTTTGAGAAGCAGTTAGTACGAGATAGCTGGTCATTCTGAATTAACTACACAAAATAACAGAATAGGTTATATACGTGCATAAAAATTAAATAACGATGAGACGATATTTTTTTTAAATGACCATTGTCAAGTACATCAACAAAAAGGATAATACTATATTCCTTAAGCAGAGTACAGCGGATCAGTATTATACTCGATGAAGGAGACGAGATGAGTGCAAACGAAGAACAAGAATGTTCATGCATATCTGACCTTTATTCCACATGTATGAGGAGATGCTGCAGAAGGTTCAGTCGACAATGTTCTTCCCCATTCAAGCACTTCCGGGTCAGCCTTAATCTTTTTAGCATGCCCTGTAACAGCAATAACAAAATCGGTAGAAACAAATATTCCTTGTTCGACAAGGTTGTACAATTGTGATCTAAACTCTGATAAAACATATACAGGTTGGCTTCCTTTCTTCCTTTTTTCAGTTTATCTTCTCAAGAACGGTCTCTTTGAGATGGGAAGTGATGGTAATATACATGTAGACGTGTTTTATTTCATGGTCTGTTATGGAATCTTGTTCTACTGAAGAAATGAAGCTATGTTTTCAAGCGTATTATGTTTGTACATTGATCACTTGATATTAGTTACGAACTTAAATGAGGTCCGTGAAAAGCTTACCGTAGTAACCATTGACAACCGTCCTAACATATTCTTCGATCGCTTCGTATATCAGCGTACCATCATCTCGGTAATGATAGTTCGGTAATACTTCCGGGTCGTTGACACCTCTTTCCTCAAGGTCATGTACCATGTGACCATTCTTTGAAATGTTCCAGTCCTTCCAGACTCGACGAATCAATTCCATCATTCCTTTCCGACCGATAAGCAAGGTCTCTTCAATCCAACCGTCTTCACCGAACAAGGTATCATAACCAACGCTGTTGGAGATAGACAAACCTTGGATTCATATCATCATTTATCTCATTCTATGACTTAAAATCACAATGAACATATCTTTTAAATGCGTATAGGTACTAACGTTGCATGTGCTGTGATGCTTTTTAAAAATATAGAGAAGAGTAAAGGGAAAGAACTCAAAAAGTATACAAGTTATATGAGACTGTAATTCATAAACATGATGAAAACATGTAGGGATTCTTGCTGACTCTATAACTATCACTTCATTTCCATAAGCAATAGACTCGTACCGTCTACAAAAATAAATTATAAGACACAAACAAAAATTCAATCAATCTACTAAACCACATCTGATGCACACGTGTACAGTGCCCAGATGTTTCACTTTATGCATTGTCCGCTCAGGTCCTAAACCCTTCTACCGGTATTGTACTTTACCCGAATTGGAATTAATACACACAAGTGATTCATTCGTGATTTGGAACGATATTTTTTCCAAGAGATAATTGTGTACGTGCATGTACATGGATATTTTATTTAGAAGTAATATGCAATACGGAATAAAATATAGATCATTTTTACACGCGCATAGCCAAATACATCGAATGCGATTTCATTGAAACATTTGGGTTGGTGGTAGAGAGAAACTTACTGGTTGATTCCTAAGAGAAACCGGAAGTGGGGAGCGAGTAGACGACTGAGAGGATGAGATGGAGACAGACATCGATGCGTTGCTACAGCAATAGACTCCATGAGAATATGTGACATTCCCATATGACAAATAGACTGATGATATGAAGCATCAGCTACGTTGAACCACATCTTCGCTAACATCCACGTGTATTCTGGGTCAGTTGGAACGAAAATCTGTAATTGGATTCAGTATAAACGTCTTTTAAAAATAATAGGGAATAATGTAATAATAATATGGAAGTATATTTGTTATTGTCACCATGGATGAGTGAAGTTTATTTTTTGGAATACCTCTCCCGTTATAACAAATCTTATTCTTCATCATCCTGAATATTCAAATCGTTTCCACATAATCTTTTAATTGAGGTACTTTACTAAAGGCAAAAAGTGGCAGATCCATATCGTTTATTACCGGGTTGTTTTCGTTTGGTTCCTGGAACAGTTGAATTGCGACCGGGACCAGATTCTTATCCTTGTTGACGAAAAACAAGGCTATCGGAGCGGGTAACTGTATGTGAGTATAAGATTGGACAAAAAACAAGGCTATCGGAGCTGGTATTGTATGTGAGTATAAAACAAGGCTATCGGAGCTGGTAACTGTATGTGAGTATAAGATTGGATGGTTGCAGCAGATCGATTTATTCTCTCTCAATTTCATAAAGATTTATCAGCCTCTGTTTAAAGACACAGGAATTAATCTGATTTTGATAAATATTTCTCATGACCGTTTTTTGAGCGTTTTGTTGTGCTTTAAGAAATATAATTCTATATGTTATTATTATTATTATTACTATTATTATTATATTTTAACCTTAGATTTTTTCATTCATCTTTCTCTCTCACGTTATTCATTAACGAACACACGACGAGTAGCTTGAATGGAACGATGTATTGGTTATATTATTATTTTTAGAGTAATTATACAGTAATATTTCACCAGGGTAGCCCATTAAACCAGCGGGACCTGTTTTGAAATATTCGTAAAAGAAAGTGGTTCACAATTTAGAAAGTTGATAAGCATTACTGGATTGTCCTACTACTATGTTTCTTACCTCCCCACCCTGCCGCAGAGGCATTTCTTTTAGAATCTCATAGTCTATGATGAACAGTTGTTTCTTTCGAATTGATTTGCCAATAGACATCCCTTCTAAGAACGGTTTCAGCAAGTCATCGGTCACTGGCATTCTGTAAATTTAAAGTAAAAATCCCAATACAATGTAGAGGAAGAGAAGGTGAGATATAGATTGACCGGGCAGAACTAGATCAAAAGGATGTGTAGGAGTACGTAATCGAATACAGAAACAGCAAAGAGAAAGCATTATTGATATGGTTCATAGAGCTAATAAAGTTGAAAATAATTTGCATTCTGATATCTGTTAGATTAGAAAAATATAGCAGAAAATTATTTATTTGTTCAAACAAAGAACTTCGACAAAATTCTATTTACACCATATTTATAGACTCTCTGGCATAATGACGATTAATGCTCTTCAAGCATTGCCCTTTTTATGTATTTTCTTCTCTTTTTTTTTTTTCTTTTTTTTTAAAGTTGTGATTGTGAATATTAATATGTGTGTGATTTTTGTTGTTTCGTAAAACCCGCTACCGTAAGATCAATACAAATACTTACTTCATCGGTATCTTCTTACACAGCCGGATCTGCATTGGGTTACAACCAACTAACCTCTGCATACCAAACGCTGTATCCTTCCGCCATCGCGAAAGACACTACGGATTTGAAGACAAAACAAAAACCGGCATATATTGTCTTTTTTTTCTAGTTATCTGCATAAAGCACACAGCATCATAGGTGCCCCCCTCCAACTATTTTATGATATTATACATGTAGTAATAATCAGTTCAAGGTTTATTGAAAACTATGTCGTCGGATTTAAGAGGTGAAACAGTCGACGCACGTTCTGGCGACAATAGCTTCCCGTACTGTCTTTATTCTTCAAGTAGCCTACATAGTGTTGCGGTTGCTATAGGTTTTTGAGGTAAGGTTTAGGGATAACATTAGTCATGCGTATAACGTTGCTGGTTGCTAATTTTTGTTGGAGCATCTATTGTATACAAACCAAGCAACTGAATGAATTAGGATAATTTAGATTTCGTTTAAAAGATGTAGTACATGCAGTGACATCCAACGTTATTTTCCCCAATGTCAAATAAAAGGGAAAAGTAAAAAAATTCTAAACAAAATTGAAATTCTCACATCATTTTTTCATCAAGCGATGTTACTTTAGTAGTAGTAGTAGTAGTAGTAGTAGTAGCTCTATACAGAGCGAATTTATTTTTCTTTTCTTTTCACATAATATAAACAATGACAAACAATAATAAACATAATGATATAACAGAAGTGAGCATTGAAATATCTTTGACATTGTTTTTGGTCATTGTAATGCAAAATGATTCGGTTACAGGAAATGAAAAAAACGAACCTACTTCAAAGCAATGCTTGTTAGGTGTAGGTTCGCACATTAATAATTAAACTTTATACATTTATAATTTAATTTTGAGAAAAAAATTACGGAATCAATAAAAACAAACATGACAGACAATAAAGAGCAAACAATAGACAATGTTCACGGTTACCACATTACTGCAATGACCCCGAATATCCACAGATCTTAAAAACATGAAGAGGTCCCACTTTGTACATTTTGAAATAATCACTCCTACAGCGATGGAGGTGCTATATAAATAGCCTTTGTATCCCCTTTTCAAAGAATACTTCCACCTGTGTATCACGGAGTGCACTGCTTGTGCATAAATGAATAATGATTACATAACTTTCATCAGCACTTATCCAGTATTTCGTCTCCGTGTATTTCAAAATTTGTTCTGTAATGACCTTTATCTGCTCATGCTCAGACTGCAACCGTGAACTGGCTTATTAAACAAGACAAAAACAAATCAGAAACAGTAGCAGAGTGACAAGATGAGGATGATACATGAAGAAAATAAGAATGAGAGAGTGACAAACAGAAGAAGGTAGAAAACAGAAAGAGAAAAGGAAGACAGAGAGAGGGGGTAAGAGGGAGAAAGAGGGAGACAGAGAAGGAGACAGAGAGGGAGAGAAAAATAAACGATGGCCATAGAGGAATCATTTTTAATTAGTATTATATGGATAAAAATCATATGCAAGTCACATTTACGATGTGAAAAATGGCCAGTTTCAATTAATTTGGATAATATGCTGCATAAGTGTATTATTTTGAGAGTGATCAGAATTTTTCAATTGTCTGAAACAAGTTTTAAAACAAGAAAATTACTTTTGACAATAACACTAAATGAGGTTCAAAAACTTTAAAGAAAAACATAAGTACTTGTACATGTATCATGGTTGCATTAAGAGAGGTTGTGGATTCATTATCTCTCCGATAAAGAGTCCTTTGAAAGAAAAAAAATGTAATAACTGATTTTGTTTTAAAAGGCCAACAAATAAATTTCAACTCTAAATAATGTACGGAAATCGATGGAATTATTTCTTTCTCTCTCTCTCTCTCTCTCTCTCTTTCTCTCTTTCTACAATATTACTGATAATAATCAATATTTATTCATTAATCAAACACTACTCAATGGAAAATACTGAACATTCTTTATTCTTATGTGCGAGTTTTGCGAATCTTAAAGCCCCACTGTCCTGCTTGTAGCTATTTGCTCCCTCTATATAGAAAACTTCCTCAATCGGTGCATGTTGGTCCCCCATGATCCTCCATTTATTATGTTATTTGAGAGCTGAGTTGATGAGATGGCCACCTGTTAGTGACCTCGCTGTGTGGTCTAATCCGTCCTGATCAAACTAGTGCAGATAAGCTTTAAATGAATATTTTATTCCATTTATTTAACAATCAATCAATCATTCAATCAATCATCTTACCGCTGGTGGTGGCAAGTCTCCACCCCACTTTCTCACATAAATCAATCAATTAATCAATCAATCAATCAATCAACCAATCAATCAATCAATCAATCATTCAATCAATCAACCAATCAATCAATCAATCAATCATTCAATCAATCAACCAATCAATCAATCAATCATCTTACCGCTGGTGGTGGCAAGTCTCCACCATAGATGTCTCGCATATCATCCAGAGAATTCCAAAACGTCGCCCTCACTCGTGTAAAGATGCCCTGTAAGCTGAGAGCCAAGCTCTGCTTCGCTAGGTCCCACTAGAAATGAAAATATATACCAGACTAATAACAATAATATTAACAATCTTAATAATACAATAACTGATCAAGGCATCTACAAATTAGTATAATTGCTATGGCTTTAGCCCGGCTGCTATAGGCCGCTTAAAAGCATTCAAGGAATAAATTACTACTAGAAACCTATTTACTACACCTGGGGAGAGTGGCAAATACAGAGACTCACTCAGAAATATTTGATACTAATATTCTATTTTTGGGCACGACAAATAAGCCTAACCCCCCCCCCCCCACACACACACACACACACACACACACACGAAAACGTGCCCGCGCCCGTATGACTGTATACAATACCGTATGGATAGGTAAACTAGAGTTAAATTTAGACGCAAATAATTCAAATCTGGAGGTGCTACATGACTATTGGTACAACAATGGAATATGGGCTAAACAAATTTTGTATACGAAATACTAGATCTATTGAATCTGGTTTTCATTCTTACGTACAATGTTCTTCAATAAAATGCAACAAAGGGACTCAACGAGGAAAATTGCTTTCCAACAGCTATGATTTTGCTTGGGGTCGCAAAGAATTTAGAAAAAACTTTGCCAATGTATTTTTGCTGTAAAATATAAATATTTGTTATTGGTATCTATAAATTTCAATCTGTAAGTTGTCTACTTTGATCAAAATTATGATCCATCAAGAATTCAGATGACATGTTGACTCTCACCTCGTATCCATACGTGATCATCTCCTCCATTGGTACTTCACGAGCCTAGAAGAAATGAAACAAAGGAGATAATCAATGGAATGACAAGGATGGATTTTAATAAATAGAGATAGAGAGGGATAGACGCAATAGTGAAGAGAGAGAGAGAGAGAGAGAGAGAGAGAGAGAAGGGGGTACTTTATGAAGATATATAATCCGACCAGAGTGCGAGAAACTTTTAGAATTGTTTTTAACTGATAAGCATCAATTTTATTATGAAATAGATACCTGAGGCATAACACCTTCGAATCTCCAGACGAAATCATATTTCTTCTTCATTGCATCAAGTTCAGCTAATCTTTGATCTTTACGATCTTCATCATCCTGTGGTAATCGACTATCCCATTCGACTAACTGAAGACGAGGCTTGTCAACCACCCAACGATTGACAGGAAAGATATACTTGGTGGTGGTTGAGTGACGCTCGACTTCAATGATGTCGACGTACCTGAACATAAAGAGAATATTGAAAGTAACTGCAGCAGCTGCACAACAGACACATTATAAACTAACCTTTAACTATACAATATGCTAAAACGATTGCACATGCATTTATGGACTTACAGAGACATCTTACGTTCCACAATGAAGTAAAATGATATGATGTAAAAGAAAAGGAGATTAAGAAATCTGAATATGATAAAGGTGAAAATAACGTCTCGAAGGAGGAGGATTAATAATAATAATAATCAGAAGAAGAAGATGGAGAAGAAGAAGAGGAAGAAAAAAAAAGAATTATATAAATATATTTACAGAAGAAAAAGACAAAAAGATAAAAACGGAAATGGGCAAAGAACTGGAAAAAGATTGAAGTATAATATAAATAAGAAGAACGAAATCGTGAAGTTGCTTGTTTAGAGTGTTTTAAATTGCTTGTACTTAAATTGGCTAATCTAAACCCAAGTTAACAAAAGCTTTAAAGGTAAGTGTTTGTTTTCTAGAATTATATTGGAGGGAAAAAGTTGCTTACCAAGAATCATTTAAGCCTGCAAGATCTCGCCATACGTCAAGTTTCAGGACAGGGCCTTTGTCAGTAAGTTCCTTGGGTTTAAAGGTGTTAAAATCTCCTCGTTCAAAATTATCCTGCCAAATGCTTCCGGAAAGCTTCACATTCTTGGTCCGTTCATCGTCTTTACTGTGAAGTGCGATGTAGATATTGGCATCCGTACCGGCGTTACGACAATCGCCGGTCTTAACCCGTACTGTATACGCTGCCTGATGTTTATCTCTATCTCCAAATTCCTCTAGGAGTTTGCTAAAAAATTCACCCATCGTTGTTCATTTCTCCACCAGAATCTCGATGATGAGTACACGGTGTCAGCTTGGCTAATGAAGGCGTTGTTGCATTGTGTGCTGTAAGTATTACTCTGAGAAAAAGCAGCTTGCATGCGAAACGTTGTGTTGTCTTATCGTCGGAACTCGGAATCGGTTTGTAAAAATCTGCTTTCTACGAAGCGCCCCCCCCCCCTTATTCCAACACACACACATACACACGCACACACACGCACATCGAAACACGAGACCAATTCCAAGTCACTTGAATCTAACACTACGTAGAGTGTGTTAGAATTCAGTGTTTCGACAACATTTACTCAGTTGAGGCGAACTGACGAAAGGCCCGTTCACACATAATAATTAGTGCGATTTGAATCGCGATGCAAAGATTGATTTTTTTTTGTTTTTGTTTGCGAACATTCAGACACATGGAGAATTCTCGCCCCTACTGTCTTGCATATAAATGCGAATTTTATAAACATCCTCGCATCCCTCCCCCCCCCCCCCCCCCTCCCCCTCCCCCTCCTCTTTCTCCCTCTCTTTCTCTGTCTTTCACTTTCTTTCTTGCTTGAATCTTTTCAATATATCGTGGCCGCTATACGTTCTTATCTCTTCTCACGTATACCACAAACGACTCCAATTTTACCGATTCAACGGGGTAAAGTAATTTTGTGTTGGTCTATTATCTGTCTGGTGTCGGTCTCATTCTCTCTCACTCTCTCTCTCTCTCTCTTTCTTTACCTCCAGTCAAAATATATCTAAATTGTTAGAAAGACCTATCTCTCTCCTATCTCTCTCATCTCACCTCTTCTCTTATATTACCCCCTCCGTCTTTCTTTCTTTCCTATATGGATATGCCAATGTTATGGTAATCTTCTCCCATATTATTTTATCATATCATATATGATGGATAGAACAAACATATTTTGTTGCTCCTTGAATCTCCGACAAACCCACCCTTTCTTGCTTAAGATGTTGTCCTACGAGACACTCAAGACCAAGTAGATTGATGATCATGGCCTTGTCATGCGTTTCAAGTGTACATCAGTAATACTTTCAGAGGGAAGTGCTAGCCCTGCCTGCCTGATATTTGTCTTGATGGATTGCCACGTTTTGACATGACTTTGACATGACTTTGTGTCACTGATGTTAACTTGTGAAACACTACTGTGCCATTATTTGTTGCGGAAATAAACGATTAACAATAAACAAATTTGTACTGCTACTACTTATACTTTCACTACTTCTTCCTCTACTATCATCACTACTATTTCTTCTACTACTACTACTACTACTACTACTACTACTACTACTACTACTACTACTTCTACTACTACTACTACTACTACTTCTTCTACTACTACTTCTACTACTACTATTTTTACTACTTCTACTACTACTACTACTACCACTACTACTTCTACTAGTACTGCTACTACTATTTTTACTACTTCTACTACTACTACTACTAGGACTACTACTACTACTACAACTTCTACTACTGATCATAATTATGATAATAATTGATGGAATACATTATGGTGATGATGATGACGTTGATGATAATAATGATGGTAAAGATAAAAAATGGTATACTACTCCTGATAATAATAACAATACTATTAAAATAATGGTACCATGTTGTTTGATTAACAGGGCTCTTTTCCTTAAAAACAAAGCGGTAGATAGTATTGTAATATATTAGATAGCTTAGACGAATACCGAGAAAAGATTGGTCCAGAGCTAGTCATGTGATATCAATTGCGAGGATCGTAATTATTATATTTCCTGGCCGGTAATTTTCGGTGGTTATATTGACCAACTGGTGAATTTTATGTTTTTGAGGACTGTATGTCCTCAAATTTCACCAATACAAATTTCACCAATACCGAGGGTCAATTTTTTTCAATCAATATTTTGTTGGCATTTGTTTCCACATTTTTTTTCTTCCCCAAAAATGCTTCTAAAAAAAATTAAAAATCGCCGACTATGCTTTTTTTGTATAAGAATTTTTTTTTCCCGTCAATTTTATTTTCTCACTTTTTTTAAAAAGTTTGTTTTTCCTTGGAAAAGAAATGGAAAAATTGCGGGCTAAATAAAACTGGTCCCGCCCCCCCCCCCCCAAAAAAAAAATGAAAATTGAAACCAAACCTATCAAGCGACTTTTTGAGCAAGTTCTGAGCAAGTGCAGTTACCAACAAAAGATGCCCCATGTCCACTAAAATACACATCTATAATTACCAACAGAAGATGCCTCATGTCCACTAAAATACACATATGTAAATACCAACAGAAAAGGGGTAACCTCATTATTCATAAGGACCGCAATTCAAAAGGACAGATATTAATAACGTGAACTTCCAATACCTGAATGACCACTATTCGTAACAAGGAACTTCCAATACCTGAAGGACCGCTGTTCATAAAGGCATAATGACCGTTATTCATAAGCACCGCGATTCATAATCCGAGAAGAGGATCGATTTGCATAATACGAGGAGAGGGTCGCTATTCATAATAACAAATGAGGAACGCTATTCATAACACGGAAGGAGGGACGCTATTCATAATACGAGAAGAGGGTCGCTATTCATAATACGAAATGAGGGTCGCTATTCATAAAAAATTAAATCATTACAAAAAATGATGAGAAAGCGAAATATTGGATGGGGGACATTCCCGCGGCTGGTGCGTAGCCGCGGGGGTGACAACATATGGCCCCGACTATGTCGAAAACATACGTTTCTGAACAAATAACGAAAAAGGGGGTGTCCCAATGGTGTACGTGACCCACCATCCCGGTTCGAACCCCCGTCCCCATCACTCCCACAATCAGTCCGACCACGTTGCGCCATTCCGTCCACCCTCCCCGCAGTATTCCCCTGGTACAAGTACATAATTATTAGCGACAATTTTCGTCAAAGCAGTTCATAGATGGCGTAGCTTGTTGTGTATGGGGGTGTAGTAGCGTTGCTAAGGCATTCTCACTGCATTTTTTACTTTTATTTTGTTGCACTTTAGATCTTATCAGACCTACTCCCTATAACCACCAGCACCATCCCCACCCCAACAAAAATGACAATAGATGTTTGATTCATATTCGGATCGCATTACATCTTTGTACGCTACATGACGCAAAGACCTTCAAGGTCCAAACGTGTTAAAGCCCCCTATCCCCCCCAAACAAAACACAATTCTAAAAGGTCCCCCTCCCCACCCCTCTCCGGGGGCCGCGACTAGGCCTATGGTCCGGTCCAACTCCGTTTGTTTATCGGTATTTATGTGACTATATCTCATATATGGTGGCTGTCCAGACAAACCAACTAGGGTTTTTATACAGCAACCAAGTTCCTATTGTTTACTGTCAATATTTTACTATTTTGATAACTGCAACCGAAATTATAATGATTATGTATAAGTATTACTTTTATTATATTTATATCATGTTGGTGTAACTATAATGCTGAATTGAATTAAATTGAATATGATTACTAGAAGCCTGAGGCATGATAATTCCTGGAAAAACGAAAATCTTGAGACTCTTCATTGGCTAAAATTGAAGAGCTTCTGGGTGCCTGTTCCTTGACTTTTGGCACTGGATATGGCTAATGCCACAGCGCTTAGAGACTTCGGTGGTAAGCGCTTTATAAGTAACGTTTTTATTATTATTATTATTATCATTATGCTATATAATGTGTAGGTCCATAAGTCCTACTATAAACAATTACTTTATCAGCGGGGTAAACATATTAGACAGACAGGTTATGGGGATTTCTTTATATAATTATCAAAGATAAAAGGTAAAATATACTTGGACGCCACGGTTCGCATAACGCCTTTCGACCACAAAATCGTATCTTATATGGCTTAAACTCTTGAATATTTAACTTCCTTACTTAAATGTGGAAAATATATCATGCAATAATGTATATACGAAAAGCTTGAATACGCACTATGAACATGACAGACAAAGAAAGAGGACAAAATATACAGTTCCTCATGTAGACAAGGAACATCCCTTCACTGCTATTATGTAAACATGTGTAGAACAGGTGTCACATGCATGTGACACCTGTTCTACACATTCTACCCAATATCCCCTGGGTGTTCATTTCGCATAGTGCATTGATCTTGTGACAAAAACCGACATCGACTTTAAGATTGATGGATAGACTACTTGAGAATTGAGAGGTATCAAATTCATGCTATTGTCATTGTGATTGATAAGGGTAATCAATCTTCAGAAATGATGACATACAGTCCTGATGACATATTATAACATGTCTTTCTTTAAAATACTGGTGAAGATTCATAGCAATTACTGGTACGCAAAAACGAACTCGTTCTGGGGCTACAGCTACCCCCCCCCCCCCCCGGTACTCCATTGAATTGTATCGCATTGCATCGTGTTGTGTTTTATTGCATTGTATAGTACGTGTAGTACAGTATTGTAATGCATTACGTTGTATTATATTCTATTCTATTCTATGATTTGGTATTGTATTGCACATTGTAACTTTTCTGTTATCCTTTAAGTGTATATAAATTGATACATCAGGTTTGGGTTTTAATACAATTTGAATTTTAGGGGTATTGATGAATATTTCCTTAACAGTAAGACGTAAACGAGAAGTCTTTCGTAAATGCCTGGCGAAGCCCTCCCTCACCCTGAAACAAGATTAGTTTTGTTTGCAATGTTCTGTGATTTAAGATGTAAACTTTGTCTTATCAGCTACGTTAATCGATATACTGTGCCTGTTGAAATATTTGTGAAAATAATTGGTACGCATGAAAAGGGTAAGGAAATAGGAGTAAACGTTATAATGTGACATGTGAGACTTCTCTGAGGGTTCATTGTAGCAATGCGATTACAAATGCTTTCGAGAAATACATCTTAAGCAATATCAATTGAATTATTCTCCATTACCTTTTGCAATGTGCGAACATGATACACGTAACCATTGGCGTACAGTGGGGTCAGTCATGAAGGGGGCCCCGGGGCCACCATTCTTTAGTCTACTAGAGTAGCGTTTTTCAACCTTTTTTCTTATAGTCACGGCACCCTTTTAGGAGCTAAAAGGTCTCCCGTCATCCCGATTCAAAATGCATCAATGAGGTTTTGTTTTCCATCACTCGTACACGTAGACATACGGGCACATTTTCGTGTGATTTCAGGGGGCAGATTGACTAGACCTGGGAGGGCATATATACCCCCTTGTCTCTTTAGAGTGGGAAAACTCTGTATTTCAAAGTGAAACGGACACACCTACATACATGTACTCTCTATGTCTCTTTTTCACTTTGTCTTCCAGCTTTTAGTACTACCATCTCCATTTCTTTTTCTTCTCTGCTGTATAGGCTTTCATCAAGCACGCAGAGTGGATCATCCCAAAGCGTTTTTGATATTCGTGTAATGCACCTCTTACAACAGATGTCGTGACTAATACTTACTATGTTGTCCCCGTGTAACTGATTCACAACATAATATAATCTTTGAAGAGCGTGGGGGGGGGGTCGGAGCACTTATCTCCTTATATTATCTCACGTTCTTTTTTTCTTTTTGTTCATTTCTCTCCACGCTCTCACCTCTTTTTTTTTTTGCCATTCTATTGGGAGGGGGCACGTAGCTACGCCTCTGTACGTAACCTGAGAACGATTTCTATGTAGGCAGTACAATAAGGTATTGATGTTGGCCTTGAGTTGGTTTCTTGAAAGTCTTTGCGATCGTGTTAAAGGAAAAATGAGAATGAAAGACAGGGATGATCAGTCGTTATGACAGATCTTTATCTGTATGCATCCAGAGAATTGTAACTTATATCCAAAAAACAAGAAAACTTTTGTCTAGAACTTGTGTCTGAAAGATCATTGAGCGCAATCTATCTACATGTAAGTTTCGAACTAATTGACCCCCCATAATGTTGTGACACAATCGAATTTACATCCGGCTCGGGTATTATCGTATCTCTCGAGTCAGTCAGCTGATTTTCTCCTCCTCCTCCTCCTTCTCCTCCTGGTTCTACTTATTTTCATTTATTTATCTATTTATTTATAATTTTTTATCTTTTGGGGGATTTTTAACCTTGACACAAATCCCTTTCTTTTATTTTTTCTGCACTCTCCTATAACGCGTGTTACCTTTTCTGAAAACAAATACAGTCTTGTATATAGTATTTGCCAGGGCGGCGATCCCGGGTGGACGGGGGGAAACGTCGCCCCTCCCCCCCCCCCCCCCCCCTCCTCCCTTAGATTTTTTTTTTCAGGGGGGAAGATTCCTCCCGGAAAATATGAAAAGTGCCCCCAAAATGTATAGCGTATACTGACTAAAGACGGCAACACACTTTTAAGCAATTTAAACTCCACTTGCTTTGCTCTACCTAATCGTAAATACTTTAACCCCCGCCCCCACTTTGAAAAACGTTCCGCGGGGCCTGCATGTATCATGTAAGAATGGGGGGGGGGTAATGCGGATGTTTCCCCCCCCCCCCCCCTCCCCAACGTTTTTGCTCATTACGCCACTGCTTCCTCGTCTCTCTTATTTCGTCGTCACCCCCCCCCCCCCGGTCATGGAAAGAAATTGCCGCCCCTGATATTTGCACATATATGTCAGTGTTATTTTGCTAGAGGCACATGTCATAGAGAAGGCACGTTTGTGACCCTAAAATTTGGGTCAAATATAGCGGTTTCCATTGAGAAAGGCTTAGGGCTGTGCGAATCTACTATTATGAAAAGGGTTAGCAATGCGTTGTGTGCTCATTCTGTGTGTGGAGCTTACATCGTCCTTTGTATCCCGCTTGTCAGCGATCTATTGTTATTCACTCCGCTATACAATGGACGAGTCTGCTCTGCTTCGTCGTTGTTATGGACCGTAACTACGATCAACAGGATCAATATAAACCCCTCCTTTCGGACCCCATACGGAGCATGAAATACTATACACAACCGGTGCTTGAGGGAAATCATGCCTCTCAGAACCTGTATGTTTACAGTCGAATCCACACGGAATTTTTTTTATACTTTTCCTCAAAACTCGATCCAAAGGCTCTTTTCAGCAAAGGTAAGATGTCAATTTTTCACTGCAATTACACATGACATTATGCTCTGTATACTATGCTAAGATGTATTTGTAGTTCCTTTATCACCATCTAGGACTCCCATATTGTCTGCTTTAGTACGTAGGGCTTCAAACAAAGTCTACTTTTATGTGAACGAGGTACTTTTGATAATTGTTTGTATCAACCATTGAGTGGTAGTACAGCAATCATTCAATTCAATTAAATATACAAATTCTTAATTTTCATTTTACAATCTTAATTTTTGTTTTGCGTGTGTGTGTGTGTGTGTGTGTTGTTCACTTTTTTTTCTTCTCCTCTGACAAGTAATGTGTAGATGTAGACTTTCAGGTCAGTAGTGACCCAGAAGCGGTCCTATCTCCGAACGCTCTCACTGTTATAATATTCATACCAAGACCAGTCAAGTTAGATCTGTCACTGTCTTCATATCACACCTTATTAAGCCCATCCTTGACTCTAAAGGGCCAGAAAGAGAATTAGTTGAGAATTAGTATCAAGCACAATAATAACTATAATTATGATGATAATAATGATGGCGATATATATATTGAAAATAATAATGATAATAATGATGATAAAGATGATGATAATAATATTGACGATATATCTACTACGTACTCATATACCCAAAGACTCTTGATCAAGATTCGAAAACAAATATTAAAAAAAAGAATAGTTCGACCGATAATCTACTGGCAATTAATCTTGAATTATTGATTAATAGATACGGATTCAGCTCTGTTTGAAACCCACATAATCATGGAAATTGTATGTTTGTGTATCCAACCAATCATATTCAAATGGAAACACCTGTTCGATTAAGTTCTGAGAATTTTGTATTCATTCTATAGGGTAAAAATTGATTGAAACCTCGTTCATTACGTATACCTTAAATTATATAGACATACAATGTAGTGTATCTGGTTGATAATATCCATTTACGTCCTCATATTTATTACGGGCTGAGTTTCATCTCTCATTAAAAATGAGGTAAACAAAGTCTAGTATGTAATGCAGGCAAGGTGGGAAACGATAGTATACTTATTATTCTGATTTCATTCTGGGAAAAGATAATCAAATCTATCAAGTGTTCCTTTTGTTATTACATTTTAATGCCTTTTAAGAATGTTTCTACTTTTTCTTGTTGCATTGTGACATTATAAAATGGCATTCGCAACGGTTTTTATTGTATCCTAATTAATGTCCTAAATATATATTGTACTAATAAAGAAATCTATGTCTTATCTTCTTGTACGGGCAGGATTTTACACTTGTCTTTGAATGCTGTGAAATTCTTAATTGAATCAGCTATCTTTACCAGAGCCGAGCCTAGATTCAAATATTTACTTTTCATGCTGCCGTGAGTGTATATAGTATGTACACGATAGAAGCTTGACAACATAAACATGATCGTAACAATTAGCATTGAGATGTCAAGCTTCTCTCTTCTATACATACATCCGGGGTTTTAATGATAAGATAAAACATTGTTTTTCTTTTCTTCAATTAAGGTGAGCAGCAGAATGCTAAGCGTTGTGCAACTTAGGAATAGGAACGAAATACATTTTTTATTGTAATGATCAAGAACGATCGAAGTAAATTCTACAACCCTTGCATTTCAGTCTTATGGTGCTTAATATTATTGTTGAAATAGGATCTTGTCTTCATGGCAAAATTTCCCCTCATTGGTTAATCTTCAATTTTATATTTCTATTTTCCACAGTTAGAAACTGCTGAACTTAGGGAGGAGCTGTCCTAGTGTCTCCAGGTATCATTTTAGATTGACAGCGTATGAAGACGTCATGACAATGGTGCATTCAAGGAGTGCTATTATTGGGAGCAAGACCAATCGTCTTGGTCCTAATACAGACCGAGCAACGACAGGTGATGGACATAACCGAGCAACCTCAGTCGTAAACCAGGGTACTGTTAGTCTCATTGACAAGTCCAAGTTTCAATCTGGACAAGATTTGTTGGTAACAAGAAGTGATTCCTATTTGATTCGTCCTCGTGAGAGACCAGAAGATATCTGGAAACGACCACCACCTGATTTTACTCTTCAAAGATACATGCCTAAACCTCCAAAACGTAACACACGTGAATCAATGCAACCATGGCGTTGGGGAACATTACCAGGTGAAAAGAAAATCGCCCAGACCATAGCGGAAAAACCAACTGTGACACTTCCAAAGATTCTACAACCACCACGTCCAAAGAGTAGGAAAATCCTCACTAGGTTTAAGATACCTGACTCAGATGAGGCTAGAAAAGTAGCTGTTAAACAACTCGTACATCATAAAGAGAAGTTTGAGAATCCTCAGCCGCATGACTTTAGACAGGTGAGCATCAAATATCTTAAAGTATTATGGTATAAGTTTCTTTCTTTTGTAAGTGCTATCTCGTTGACAAAGAGGGTAACATTATATTTGATATTTAAGAATGAAATGAATGATGACATATGTTTTGACTGGAATTTCATATTACTGATGACAAAGTTAACCTAGACTTTTGTTTATGTACAATGATTTTGTTTTTATCATACCTCGTTGCAAACCAAACGTATGACACACATCAGCCCATAATACGAATTATATTTATATATCTATTATTTTCTATATTTATTTTATTTCATTTTATTTATTGAAACATATACAGGATAAGAATATGAGTTGTATAAAAAAAATTTACTTCGAACTCATGGTTTTCAACATGAAACGTTGCATTAATTAGAGATAACAAATATTATATGACAATTTTACAATCTGCATTGATATTAAAATACAAAGAAAAGTGGAAGGCATAAATACGATACTCAGTATATCATGTATCATAGTTGCGTAGCCCACTAAGACTGTGGTATTTTATTCAACTCAATCCTACCATAATTTACGAAATGAGTCATCTTGATTTGTTCGCGTTTTTTCAGTATCCACCACTGGGTCCACTTGGTTTGCCAGAGTTTGTAACATCCGAAGAAAGGGATCCTTACAACATCAAGTTTAAAACAGAGAACGTCGATATAGGTAAGTCAATGCTTTCTTCAATTGATCCTGCATGATAGTAAAGCTGAAATACTTAGGAGCTTCGAATTCATGCTCTCATTTATGCTTTCATATCGTATATATATTTCTATCAATCAATTTGATAACTATATCTATTCCACAAACACCAGTTGTAATCATTTTTCTATCTGATTATATTTTTACAGTGTACGGTCTTCCTCCTCAACTTTCTGATCGGTTTAATGGTGATCAGATGGGTCGAGACGTTTTAAAACAACCTCCAAAGTATGAACAACATTTACTTCATCCAACGGGCAAGTGGCCATCACCATCAGGGGAGTTCTCGGTAAGCCTCTATATTGCTTCGCTTTGATTTTCTTACACAAATAAGGCTTGGTAGCTATTATTGTTTGAACTGTTTACATATGTTTACTTGATCCTTCTGTAATTGTTAAATACCAAACACATTGATAGAATTAGATTAGATTGGATAGAAAAAACATAGACATTGAATAGACATGACTTGATCTTTATCAGTGTATTGATAAATATCATAAAGAGAATAAAATGTCAAATTGCTATACTAACCGTATCAGCAAAAATATCCCCTGGACAATAACCACCGGCAAATTACCCCCCGGAAAAATACCCACCCCCCCCCCCCCCCCCAACGACACTAAACCCTTTGGAAAATTACCCACAAGGACAACCACCCCCCCTTCCCCATCCCCCAAGGAGAATTACCCCCCCCCCCCCGGAAAATTACTCTCGTGGACAACAACCCCCGTGGTCAGTTCCCCCCTCCCACCTCTGCTCATTAAGGTGAAGTCTACCCTGATAATAAGTTCGGGGGGAATCGTCCTAGGGGGTAACTATCCCGCTAGTAATTGGCCGGGGTGATTGTACATAAGTAATTGTTCTAGAACCTGAACATCGTTTGAGCATTAAGTATGATGGATATGATACCAATTTAAGCTGTGAATCTTAGCAGTACTTTATCAACTGAAAATCTTCATCATGATTTTCCTTTATAATAGAACTTCAAACTACACGTTCACTTCATTCATGCCTCAACTAATATCATTCATACACTGGATCTTCTTCACCACTTTCTACCTTTCTACTTCTCTTTCACTACTTCTTCTTTTTCTTCTTTCTCTTCTTGGATTTCTTCTGTTGTTATGCGATCAATTAGATCAAGCGCTTTAAATCACATCGAAACTATGGTAACATATTGTCTCCTTTATGTTTGTCTTTGAATCCATAGCGCTATCGAGCACGGAATCGATCACCAACTACTGTTCTCATGGACAATGTAGAGGAGACTCTCACGAAGAAATGGGCTTTGGAAAAACAGGAGCGTCTTCGAAGAAACAAGGAGCGAGAAGAAGCAGAGAAGAAACTTATCTTCGAACAGAAAGTGGCTAGGGAAGTTGCCCATGTCACTAAGAAGACTAAAGATCTTGAGACACGGGACGATGAGTTTGGTGCTTGGCATGATCATCTTCATATGAAGAATAGTCGTGGATATGATCATGGAAGTTCATATAGTACGATATCGAGTGATATGACAAGTGATTTATGATCACGATAATTCATTTGAAGGATATGATATACAGATGAAGCAGTTTAAAAGACATCTTGTTATATAAGCAGTATCTGGGAGCACGCTACAAGAGTCATATCTCGCACTACGGGGCAACGTGTCTGACACAGCCGGTTGTAGCAACTACTCCGAAAGATCAAGAACAATTAATCTTGATCTAAGGAGACACGAACGAACGAACGAACAAGGAGTATCTGAACCAAATCAAATCGCTAATCACTGGATTTACGAATGACTCTGAAAACCGTACCAAGGCATCAATGAGAACCATATATTCTTTCAAATACTATAAATCTCTTACATTTGTTTTTAAAATTTGGGTTTCGTTATTTTCAACGCTCAGTGGAAGGAAGTTACTGACTTTATCATTTAGCAGATAATCTATTTTCATTTCGCCTATCATGTGCAGTATAATAGAAGCTAATAATACGAATGTGAAGGTAAAAGGTAACACTACAGAGTTGATGCATGAAACTTTTTTGTTACGATAAGAGTTTTTTTTTCGATTCAATAGACCTCTCGAACGGGTCATGAAATACGAATACTTGGATTCAGATTCAGAGTGAAGATTGAATTCAAAAGGGACATTATCTTTTTCGTCTTTCTAGCATACTTTTGTTTCCCTTAAGCATCATGCGTATATTCGGATAGTCCATTATAATCACTGTAAATTTTGAAGAAAGGTATCTAGTTGCTACCCAAAATATCAGATTCACACCACTCTTACAAAAAACACTTTAGATGATATCATTTTTTCCAGAAAAAAAAATAGATGATTTATTAATTAAATCACACCGAACTGATTTTTTTTTCTTCGTGAAACATGATATCGATAACCAACAACTATCTGCAAAAAGAGTTCGAGGAATTCTGCTGAGTACAAATAAAACTTTTTAAACGGGTGTCGCTTAAAACTAGTGTATCAAAAATGTTGAATATTTTGAGATTTATCTCCCTCAAAAGATCCCAAGTCTAAAAGTATAACATGGCTACGTTCCTACAAAACTTCAAAAGATCCAAAGTCAAAACGAAGACAGAAACGAAAAGTCTTAATAAGTTTGGCACCCAAGATATGATTAAAGTGTAATCTAATATTGATAAATCAAAAAAGGAAATTTAAACTTCTAACTGAATTGAAAGAAGTCTCATAAATGAAATGGAGAAGAAAAAAAAATCATTTGAGACCAGTTCAATGATATTGTTTGATTAATTGTTGATAATTTGTTTACATACTTGACCCTAATCATAGTTTATAAGTCCAAGCCAATTAAGCACTTCAATCAATCTCAAGTTAATGATTTGATTTGATTAGAGGATTTATGAATTAAATGTAGATCACCTTAATTTATCTAGGGCGGTAGACTTCTGGAACAAAACCTTACAAACAAATGTTACTATAAAGTGGGACTCTTTATGGTTATTTAAATTGAAATATGCTCGTGATAATTATTTGATACAATTCAACTTTAAATTTATGTATAATATTTTACCAACACCTGTTAATTTATTCAAATGGAAAATCAAAGAAAACAATTTGTGTTACTACTGTAATAAACCTGGTACTATTATACATGTATTTTTTGAATGCGAAAATATTTATCGATTTTGGAACGTTATCGAAATATTATTATGTAACTCCTTCTGTAAAGATTTTAAATTCTCACCCATTTGTGTTGTATATGGTTTTCATGACGCAAAAGAAAATGTTATAGATATTGACCTAATACTTCATTATGCTTTATTTGCAATCTATAAAGCGAGTGTTGGAAGTCAATCTAATAAAAATGTAGTGACGAGAATAATAAGCAAATATTTTTTGTTTATGTTAGAATACAAAATAGAAGTTGAGGAAAACAGAACTAAAACAACGAATCTGAATATTATTAAGTGGAAGGAAACTATAACTAATTTAAAATCTGCTATTAAGTAAATAGAAATATAATTTGATTTGACCTCATTTAGACATGTGATTCAGTGATTTGTTATGAATATTTATGTACTATGATGTTATCCATGATTTTACCTGAATAAAGATTTATTTCAAAAAACAAAAAAACAAAAACAAAAAAGGAAATTTAAACTTCTAACTGAATTGAAAGAAGTCTCATAAATGAAATGGAGAAGAAAAAAAAATCATTTGAGACCAGTTCAATGATATTGTTTGATTAATTGTTGATAATTTGTTTACATACTTGACCCTAATCATAGTTTATAAGTCCAAGCCAATTAAGCACTTCAATCAATCTCAAGTTAATGATTTGATTTGATTAGAGGATTTATGAATTAAATGTAGATCACCTTAATTTATATTCACACCCTTGTGCAATTTTGGATGTGATGTGCAGGAATGTGGTTTGTGCCATTAATAAAGGCAGTTTGTAAATATATGTACGTATATATGTATAAAGTATGAAAAGCTGAAATAAATTATGGAGTACGAATACTCAATGAAATGAATAATCTTTTCTGTCGCTTTTTTCTTCTTGTTTTATCCCACTTTTGCGATAACTACGAAAAATAAAAGAAATATCTATATCAATCATGTGTAAGCTCCATAACCAGTCAAGTTTCCTCCCAATCCCCTGTTTTAATTGGATAGAATAATGGGGGATCTAAGAAGGCAAAGTGACAACTGTTACGGTGTAAATAATAATTTAAGAGGTCTTTGATTGTTCACCCTATACCCCCTCCCCAACTCACTAATGAAAAAAAAGAAACAAGAATGAAAACGATTTTGTCTATGGGGGCCGAGCAAATTTCTAACTTTCTGTGTTTGTTAATTGTTTTAATCTGAACAAAACTTCTGCGACGCCCAGCCCCCCCCCCCCCCCCCCCCCCGGCCGCTAAGTCCCTTTCATATTGTCTTTGAACTTTCCTGCCAGAGATCGCTTAGCAAACACTGAGATGTCATATTGTTGTCAGGCAAGACGAAAACCCTCCTTTTTCTGTCTTTCTTTCCTGAACATAGCGTTAAATTCATCAAGAATAATTGCTTTGTAGTCTCAATGCATTACATTTTGTTCAAATAATCTATGCAAGCTAAAGTAGTTATTAGAAGAACAAACGTAAATGAGAAATAATAAAACCGATCCTAAATATTGATTCACTACTTAATCGTTTACAAGATTGCTTGAGCATATACGTGACAGCAATGAAATGAAACAATGAGAAAGAGATAAACCAAAACAGTTAACATACAGGGAAATATCGACGTTTTTAATATCGAGAGAATGATCATGATAACTTGCGTCGATCTCTGAAGCTTTTATCCTTACATAATCAACCAATTTCAGATGAGAAGGTACCACGGTAACTATTTATTTGTCTCATCAAGTGTCTTTACAGTTAGCTTTTCACGGTATTTCTTGACTTCTTTTCCTTCCCATCCTGGACTCTCTAAGGATGTGAAATACCTAGTAGAAGATAAGCAAATGGAGAAGATAAAATAAGGTGAATCACTGATTTAATCGTTTATACAAAGGTCTCAGTTTTATGGCACGAGCTCTTGTTTGATTTCCTACATTAACCTACACGGGGGTCGGGGATCATTAACTTCAGACAAATACAATATGGTGACGTCATTGGTGCTATGCTGTCATGTCATCCATACTTGTTCATATTTCTATGTTTTTATTATCAGGATCAAGAAGGAAACAGTAACATACTGATTTTGTGTTCCGTTATAAATACATATCCATATATCTAAATATAGTTTATTATGCGTAGTGATACTCTAATGATCAGGTAGTTATAGGCCGTGTAGCTTGACAAATACTGGTTAACGCCAGCTACGTCTTCTTTTGGACAACTGCACATAAACGAATGGACTTGATTAAAGGTAGTCAGCGACTTTATCTCTACATGGTCAGCGTTCGCGAAACAGACCGAAGTTCTCCTCATGCTTCGGTTTCGTGTGTGTTGCACGCACGTGATTGCTGCGGTCGCGTCGTCCGTAGTCGTCGATTGGCCCCGAGTCAGCCCACGGGAAAGACACATAGTCTCGTCAGTGTACACTCCCTTTAACCCATAAAACTTAACTGCACACAATGTATGTGAATGTACGATTAATGGTGGGTATGATATCAAAGTGCACTAGCTATGAATAGGAATCTGAGAGTAAACAAGTAACACTATTCAAAGAAAAAAAATGTTTACTCTGCTATTGTTATAAACTCCCGTGAGCGCTAATCGTAATAAAACAACAATGTACTTGCCTTTTTATCAGATCTGTTATAAATTGCTCTTGTTCATCAGATGGTCCATCATGTACAGCTTTTAAATTCTTGTCGACTTGCTCTTTACTGAAGAAAAAATTAAAGTTGATGTAAAAGTTAAGAAAAAAATATATTGGACACATTTCCAGGAATAATGTGATTCGGGTATCAATTTTCATCAAGGTTCGTATAAAAAATAAATATTAATCAAAACTTATTATTAAGAAAACTTCATAAAGGACATGAGTATAATGATTGTAAGATCATAAATCTTGTTTGTTGCAACTTCGTCACAACAATAAGGCCAAATCCTGCCCCAAACCATCATGAAGTATAACTTCACCCATCCAATTGAAAGGCGTGTATTGGAATAAAAATAATTTTCAAGGGGATGTCGGTTAGGTTGTAGGCGTACTTTATGACGGTTTCGTGAAACAATGTCCTGGTTACTAATCCTATCAATATATTTAAAGTCTCCCTTGACCTTCAACTAAAAGAAATTTCCAGAGGCTAACCCAACACAGCAACAGATATTGAGGATTCCATTAGGAGAGATGTTTTTATTCATAGCAGGTGGATACAATGGCTAGTAGTCAGAGACTAGGGACAGAAACACGCGTAGCCTAAATGAAATTAGCAGTAAAAATCACAGGCTGCCGTGTAAATGAAAAATTACGCAAACCGGACACAAGACTGAACATGACCGTGAAAGGCTAATACCCGTCGCACCAACGATACCGACAACAGACCCAACACAAAATGTCGTTAACTCGAATGGCAAAAAATCGGTCAGTTTTTAAAAGCTTTTGTCAGGTTTCAGTCGCCTTTCAGTCAGTTCGGCGGTGAACGACACGAGTACAAATTTATATTTTACTGACACAACTTTTAAAGGCATATTCAATTTGTTTTCACCAATGAAACATCATCTGAAATGCACTTACTCTGTTAATAAAATCATTGTAAAGCACATTCAACATTATGGAAATTGTGTTATTTTCATTATTATAAAAATGCTCTAGAATAAGAGGATTGAAACCTGTACCTTTCCATTCCAATGAGTGTTAGTGGAACAGCATTGACGTACGAGATACTATATTTCAAAGCCAGCTCTGATAAATCATGACCATGTTGTTTGCAGTGTGCGACGGCTAGATGACAAGCTTTCTTGATTTCATAATGTGCAGGATGCCATGACGGAGGCCCTCTATCGGTGAGTAGAGCCATTGACAGGGGGGATGCAGATATTAAACCAATGTTTCGTTCCTGTTCGATAGAAAATGCTTTATAGATATATAATTTTATTCATATGGCTTCATTGGAAAGTGTAAAACGTATTTTTATAAGTAAATATTTGACAGCAGAGCAAAATAATGCATTCAATGTAGGAAGTTGGTCTAAATATTAGTAACCTAAAAATATAAACATTACCGAAATGCATGGCATTTAATTTAGTCAGTTATACTTAAACAAAGCTATACACATTTTTAACTCTCGGGCAATACGAGATAGTTTTCAATGAGGCTTTCCATGATATATGTGACTGTATTATGAGACGGCACAAAATACAGCATGGAGAACGAGAAGAATTGGTCTAGGTCAAAATAAATGACAAAATGGTTGCTTATTGTAAACTCACTTGGAAGAATGTTACGTGTTGAAGAAGTGAAGAGTCATTGAGACTTAGATGACAGTAGCTTAACACTGTATCTATCTTCACTTTACTCCGCTCTACAATGCTCCTGTTAAATGAGAAATGACAGAAAATAGTTTAAATTTAACGAGGATAGCTTAAAGGCCCACCGCACTACTTGTAGCTACTTGCGCCCTCTATATAACAAACAATGCCTAATCGGTGACCATTGGTCCCCCATGATCCTCTTTTTCTTATGTTAACTGATAGCTGAGTTGATGAGATAACCACCTGTCCAGTAACCTTGCAGGGCGGTCTAATCCCTCCTGTAAACTATGGCAGATAAGCTTTAACACCATGTATATCATCATTTTACTCCCCAATACGATACTCAAGCTTGCACAACTAATATTATTAAAAAAAATTAATAACAAAAATAGCAAGAGAATTATATTTCATATCACACAAATAAGTCAAACCTATTATGATCGGACAAGAAAGAAGTACAGGTATTATATAATAACTATAAACATTTTACATTAATATGTTCCTCTAAAAAGGTAAATAGGACAAAGTTTGAAAGAAAAATGCTTTTTTAAAGCAAATATTCTTCATTATTTTGTCAGAAGTTGATGAAAGTATACACGTTCGTTATTATTCTTGAAAGGTAGAGATCTCGTATCAAAACTAATATCTTTTTTTGTCTGTTACACCCCTGTCTAGTTTAGTTCAGTTTGTGACATACCTTAAGACTTGGATTGGATATCCTGTTAGACCAATAAACCTAGCCTTTCCTTCTTCTCTGATCTTCTCTAATGCAGGAAGAGTCTCATCTATTATCAAATCTAAGCTAGAAGCGAATTCTACATCATGAACCTGATAAGTAAAGGTGACAAGTAGATATGGCTGTTAGATTTCTTTCAATGATCCAAATAATTATGATACCGTCATAGATTTCAAATTCAATCTGTCAGAATGCATTTTCAAATAATAATTTCATAATGATTTATGTCCATAGCTCTGATCAACAGTACAATATTACTTTGATAAATCATTAATATCGTCTAGATCTTTACGCTCTCAAAACTCCGAGTTACTAGTTCTAAGCTGAATTAGTATTCACCTTAGTGAGGGTCAAAGCCTTTCTTTGCTTATGCAGGGTCTTTGCGATGAAATGCTCTTTCTTGATAGATTCGAAATACCAGATAATTAAAGTGCTCCAAAAATGCTCTGGAAAAAGATGCATCTGTTTGATTCGGCATATAGTTTATTGTTCTCTTTCAGTCGTGTATGTTCTATCTTATCCCTGTCGTTCTATAACTTTGGGTAATTTCGGTATCTTTATGTGATTTCATTTTTCTTTTTGCACAAGTGCACTTCGTGCATTTGATTTCAACTTGATTTTGCACCTTACAGATCTCATATATAGTTTAAATTGAGGAATGACGTTTCTTTCATGTAGATAAAGTAAATTTCTTTCTTTGCAGTCATATATATGTGAATTTATAAGGTAATTAACCTTCTAAACTCGGGGGGGGGGTGGTCAATCGTTTCAAAATTATATTTAATTTAACCCCGAACATCAAATTCATTTACACTCATTTACCTGAATTAGATCAACATAATCAAGACCTAGACGTTTGAGACTTTCATCAATACTCCTTGTCACTCGGTCAGCAGAGAAATCGAACATTCCTTTCACATCTAGTTCATATCTTCCTACTTTAGTTGCTATGTAGTATGCTTCTCGAGGAACATCCTTCAGAGCCTGAAATAGAATAAAGCAAATCACCTTGTTCAACCAACTTTGAAAACAAACAAGGAAATACAGATATTCCAAACAAGAAATATAGATATTCAGCTGTTAATTGTTGAATTTCTCCTTTGATAAGAGAGGATAATGTAAATAAAGCTTTTTACCTTTCCTAAGACAGCTTCTGATTTGCCTTGACCATAAAAAGGTGCAGTATCGATGTAGTTAACTCCACCACGAAGAGCATGTTGAAGAGCTGCTACGCCCTGTTCTTCTGGTAGATCAGCGTCATAGACACGCCCAAGGGGTGCCGCACCTATCATTAATTAAAGGTAAATAAAATAATTTCATGTCTGTAAGTATTATTTTCAAAATCATATGAATCATTTAAAGAACTCATTTTAATTACATTGGGTTCTGTTAAAGACCAAAATTTTATTTACGAAACTCACACATTATATTCAAGACTACCAAAGATTTTAAAGAAAATGGACGTGAAATATAGGCCTATGATTGCCAGCAGCCTTTCGATTGTTTGTTTTTATTGCTACAAACGGCGTATAATTATGCTGGATCATGAATAAATAAGAATTAATTTAATCAGTGTCTTCTCAAATAAGGCTATGGCAAAAACTCATTTCACAGCATTTCAATTTTAATTTCAATTTTTACTCCACAAACCCATAAGATAAAAGCAGACGCCTTCTAATAAACATCGATGTATACGCTTCATGTGCTATTTATTTAGTTTAACCGTTTTCTTCTGTTTGTTTATCTTACCGAATCCAATAATGGAGACCTTCATACCAGTGTTACCAAGATCGTGGTAACGCATCTTCTTTATTCTATCGTTGTCATGGAAATCATTGACGTAAGTTGCTGACATAGTCGTCGTTCTGCTTGTAAAGAATATTCTAAATAACGGATTAGCCTGTAATAGATAATAAATGAAGAAAAGGAGAAAGTTGTTGGATAACGGGAAAAGGAAATACATTATAGTGAAGGGGGTTATCAGATTTATCAAACCTCATTACAGACGACTTCCTGTATAAATACCATCTGGAAGTAAATATTGACCATTAACTAAGCGCCTTGAGCATTTGACTGTCAAGTGGATTTGGCGCCTTATAAATCATATGTATTATTATTATTATATTATTGGGAATTCTAATTAAAGTCTGAAGCATGTAGGTTATTCCTAGGAAAGAGTATTAACATATTATGTAGACCAAATAAAAATGTTGTAAACGTCAAAAGACGCTTTCTGCGTGGATGCTCTCGACTGTGGACGATTATCCGACGGTAGTATTGATATCCCAGAGTAAAGTCAAATGGAGAGGAGGTTGTATCGTCATTCAGCGCCTAAAATCAAGTACCTTTTACTTTGTAGGCTAATGCCCAAATTAAAAGTGAACATCATGTTAAATCATGTTAAAGGTAAAGACCAGTTATGGTCATGTGATTGCATTGTGAAAGAAACGTTGTGGAATCGATCAGAAAAGGTTGATCATCTAGCATCTAGCATCTGCAAGGTTCTGGAATCATCAAAATGATAAGAAATTTGGCCCATTCTTCGTAAAGTTACAAGCACTATACACAGAAAGATGTATATGGGACTACCCTATATCTCTCACAGACCATGAGAGAAACAAATTTACCAAATATATGAATTAGTAGGCGGTTTCCCGGCAAAGTTTTTATCATCATGTATTAGTCAAAACATATTCTTTCACATGATTGGTAATGAGAGCTTCCATTTCATTTTTTGAAATTGGGGCGTTTCCAATACTGGTCTTTACCTTTAAACGGTTCATAAACCAAATATGACTAAAACAAAGCATAAGATAGAGGAAAACTTTTAACCGGGGTGCTGCGAAAGAAATGCAGTTATTAAAAATATGATTTGCAATGACGTCAATTACTGGGGAAAAAAGTATTAGAAACCGCATTCGTTTTTACCAATGTGCGTAGACTCTGTTGATTTGTTGATGCTATATCCCCCCCCCCCCCCCCCATTTAAAGTTTCGATATTAGAGTAACCATCACCTTATTTCCGGCAACCAGGTGCCCGACAATATGTCAAAGTATATTTTGATGAGGAAGTAATTGTCATTGTCTCTTTTCTCTCCCTCTCTCTCTCTCTCTCTCTCTCTCTAATTTCTCACTCCCTATCTCTCTCTCTCTTCTTTCTCTCTCTCTCTCCCTCTCTCTATATATTATTACGTCCTTATCTCTCTCACTCCCTCTCTCTATATATTACGTCCTTATCTCTCTCACTCCCTCTCTATCTATATATATTACGTCCTTATCTCTCTCACTCCCTCTCTCTATATATATTACGTCCTTATCTCTCTCTCACTCCCTCTCTCTATATATTACGTCCTTATCTCTCTCTCTCTCTCTTCTTTCTCTCTCTCACTCCCTCTCTCTATATATTACGTCCTTATCTCTCTCTCACTCCCTCTCTCTACATATTACGTCCTTATCTCTCTCACTCCCTCTCTCTATATATTACGTCCTTATCTCTCTCACTCCCTCTCTCTATATATTACGTCCTTATCTCTCTCACTCCCTCTCTCTATATATATTACGTCCTTATCTCTCTCTCACTCCCTCTCTCTATATATTACGTCCTTATCTCTCTCTCTCTCTCTCTCTCTCTCTCTTCTTTCTCTCTCTCACTCCCTCTCTCTATATATTACGTCCTTATCTCTCTCTCTCTCTCTCTCTCTCTCTCTATATATATATATATATATATATTACGTCCTTATCTCTCTCACTCCCTCTCTCTATATATATTACGTCCTTATCTCTCTCACTCCCTCTCTCTATATATATTACGTCCTTATCTCTCTCACTCCCTCTCTCTATATATATTACGTCCTTATCTCTCTCACTCCCTCTCTCTATATATATTACGTCCTTATCTCTCTCACTCCCTCTCTCTATATATTACGTCCTTATCTCTCTCTCTCTCTCTCTTCTTTCTCTCTCTCACTCCCTCTCTCTATATATTACGTCCTTATCTCTCTCTTTCTCACTTCCTCCCTCTACGCCCCTATCTCTCTTCTCTGTGAATCACCTTCTCAAAAACAAAAGGCGGAAGGATCGAGCTCAGAGTCTCAAACTAGAGTCCCATGAAATCACATAAATGATTTTTGACCTGTATAACCAGAGAGTTGGAATGCAATACATTGTTAAGGACAGGATATGCATTGTAAAATTGACATACCTTTCTGGAATTCTATACCGCTGCAAATGATAAGTAGTCTTTCAAATCTGGAAAAAACGATTTCAACGATATAACCTCGACATCTAAACTTTGGATTGCCCAATTGTGAACGAGATCGAGTTCCTGTGATTCGAGTAGTAAGTTCAATGACGTTTAAACTATACTGTGAGCATGCATGCTACGCATTGCCCTCGATCTCCAGCTGTACGTACTGGAGCTCGTATATGGGAGTATTTCTGACTAGTATACGTACATGCATAACAGATAATGGTTAGATTGTAGTAAGTTGATATGTTAGTAAATACCCAAAGTAAAACAATGCCTTATTTGCTTACCGAGCTCCCAGGTAATTATAGTAAACATGTGCCGAGTACGAATTGTTATATCCTATCAAAGAGATACTCCTTGATCCTATTATACATGAACACAAGTAACTAGTATGTATTTCTGGTCTATTGGGTTATATTACAAACGTGTATTTGAACTCGCGTGCCATAATCTGTAAACCAAACATCACATGCAATATAATATGTGTAAGATAAATTGCATGGATCGCTTCTGTTATGGGTTGCATACCTATTTAGCGTGAATAACTCTGAAAAGCCGCAAAAAGGGAAAATGGGGTGGAAAAACGAAAGACTAAAATAAAGAAAAGATGAAAACTGAATACACGTAACTATGTCGAATTCTCGTTTTTGATACTATAGCTCCAACCGTGTCATATTGAATAGAAAGACCGTATTACTGCATTCCAACTCCCTGATTGTACAGGTCAAAAATCATTTATGTGATTTCATGGGACTCAAGTTAAAGACTCTGAGCTCGAATGGTATCTTCCAAGTCTACATCCTTCCGCTTTCCGTTTTTGAGGACGTGATTGGAGAAGTATGATGGAAAAGTATAATTGAGGCCTAGAGAGAGAAAGTGAAAGAGAGAGAGAGGGAGAGAGCGAGGGAGAGAGGTGGAAAGAGGGAGTGAGAGAGAAAGAAAGAGAGATGGGTAGAGAGAGAGAGAGAGAGAGAGATAGGAGTGGAGAGGGGGAGTGAGAGAGAAAGAGAGAGAGATGGGTAGAGAGAGAGAGAGAGAGATAGGAGTGGAGAGGGGGAGTGAGAGAGAAAGAGAGAGAGATGGGTAGAGAGAGAGAGAGAGAGATAGGAGTGGAGAGGGGGAGTGAGAGAGAAAGAAAGAGAGATGGGTAGAGAGAGAGAGAGAGAGAGAGATAGGAGTGGAGAGGGGAAGTGAGAGAGAAAGAAAGAGAGATGGGTAGAGAGAGAGAGAGAGAGAGATAGGAGTGGAGAGGGGGAGTGAGAGAGAAAGAAAGAGAGATGGGTAGAGAGAGAGAGAGAGAGAGAGAGAGATAGGAGTGGAGAGGGGGAGTGAGAGAGAAAGAAAGAGAGATGGGTAGAGAGAGAGAGAGAGAGAGAGAGAGATAGGAGTGGAGAGGGGGAGTGAGAGAGAAAGAAAGAGAGATGGGTAGAGAGAGAGAGAGAGAGATAGGAGTGGAGAGAGGGAGTGAGAGAGAAAGAAAGAGAGATGGGTAGAGAGAGAGAGAGAGAGAGAGATAGGAGTGGAGAGGGGGAGTGAGAGAGAAAGAAAGAGAGATGGGTAGAGAGAGAGAGAGAGAGAGATAGGAGTGGAGAGAGGGAGTGAGAGAGAAAGAAAGAGAGATGGGTAGAGAGAGAGAGAGAGAGAGAGATAGGAGTGGAGAGGGGGAGTGAGAGAGAAAGAGAGAGAAGGAAAGAGAGAGGGGGATGAGGGAATAGTGAGTGGAATGAAGGGTGAGATGGTGATCTATGCAAATCATAACTTGTCCTTAAAAAATCATTGCAAGTACAACGGTATATTAAATTTATTATTTATTCATGGAAAAAAGAGGATAGTCTGTATGATTTCACGTGACACTAGACAGAGACCCTGATCTCAAAATGGTATCTTACGAGTTTACATCCGTCGGTCTTTTGTTTTTCAGGAGGCTGTTGGATGAGCTCAAAGCCTTAAAGGGAAAGTCCACCCTGATATTAAGTTAGTTTTAATACAAGCACAACTATGAGAGGAATGGGTCAGTGAAAGTTTGAGCAAAATTCCGATTATAGAATAGAAAGTTATGAAGTTTCGAAGTTTTGATCGATCAACCCTGTGACGTATATTGTGAGGTTCTCTCTAATTTGCTCTGAACACAAAATATCATAAACTTTCGTTTTCTAAGTAACGAAATAGATTTGTTTCATACAGGGGTTGTATAAAAACATGTTTGCACTAGTTAAATTTAGGAGGAATTTATGATTGAAAATGTAGATTTTTGAATTTTTTAGTGAAAAGCAAACACTATGATGGCCCAGGCAGGGGGGGGGGGGTCACAGAGTTGCCAATTTGTGTTTGATAGGCTTTTGACCCTTGAATATTCACAACTTTCTTATTTTCAATCTGTTTTTCTTAAACTTTCACTGATCTGTTTCTCTCATTTTATTCTGCTTCTATTAAAACCAACTCAATATCAGAGTGGACTTCCCCTTTAAAGGAACTATGTTGCAGGCCGAAAAATGAAAAAATTAAATTCCAACGGCATTTGAAAGATAATACTTCCCTCAAAACGAAAGGGCTTGAAAAAATAAAGAGCAGTAGTTGTCGAATCGACTTTAGTGATTGCAATCAATTTAGTAATAGTCTGATTTCAGACCCTTGTACCGAATGGTCGTACGTTTTGTGCTGGGCAAAGATTCAATCAGTTTATTTTTGGCCATTACATGAAGTGGGTTATTGATGTAGACAAATGCCCATAATTATACCCTTTGCAGCTCATTTTATGTATGTTATTACCAAAGAAAACAAAAGAAGTTAGTCAGCCACTCAATAGTGTCTGACAGTGAAGTCTAGAAAGTAAACGGGTTTCCTTACATAATTTGAGCATAACGTTAACATTTCACGAATAGGACATACGTGACATATTCATACTTCCTGCAAAGTTCTGTGACGTCATTGCCTCACTATTTATCAATTGCTTTATATATATTTGTATGCCATTAACTTACCTTTTTATCCCCCAAATCTTAAGTTATTTTACGTATAGGTTATATAATTGTTATCATATTGGATGCATGACATTTCTCCAAATCTTTTAAGAACTTTCAAGAATTGATACTATTTTCTGAATATTGTATATTCCTAATCATTGATTTTAATATAGTTTATCAAACTTCACATTTTGCATGATTTAACCGAACAAAATTACTCTATATTAGTGCATCCACACAAAAACTTATTACTACCAACATAACTTGGATGCTGGTGTGAGGAAATACAATTTTTAGGGGAAATTGAAAATGTATATTATCAATATAACAATTAAGAGGATAGTGAGGCAAAGACGTCACAGACTCATGAGTAAGCTGCCAATGTTTTTTGTGGATTTTCAAAGTTTTTCATGTCTTCAAACAGTCATAACTTTCTTATTAGTCATCCGATTTTGCTCAAACCGTTTTTGATTGGTTTGTCTGAATTTTCTGCTTCTATTGGAAGAAATTTATTGTTGGAGTGGAGTTGTCCTTTTAGTCTTTTTCTTTTCCTGGCATCAATGTGACTCACTTCAAATCTTATTGTTGTTTTGTTTTCATTGTTTCTTGATTTTATCCTTACCGAATATATAATACGTCGAACTTTTGATATTCGAAATCATCGGAAAAGAAAAGTAAATTATTTCCCATTCCAAAGATTCATCCAAAAGGAAAACTCTTCTGCACGACAGGGAAAATTATGAAGAACAAAACAATATAAAAATGGCAGAGTACCAACATTACATGACCCTGTCCTGGTAGTAAACAAAAAATAACTAAAAGTCCATTCAATATTGAAACAGCATAAAGCAAAAGAAAACACGTTTAGGTCCGTGATTTACATCCCGAATTCAAATTTCTTAAAACTTACAATGCTCAACATGTATCTTTTAGTTTAGAAAAATGAGTATGAATAAGATAACGAAAACATAATATACTTTGAAATATGATTATTCTCATTATTTTAACTTGCAGACGATCATCCTACAGAGATAAACTAGTCTGTCCGTCATGTTGCCTTTCTACCTCCTACTCACTCTCTCCCAAGTTGTTGGGATAATGATTCTCATCCTGGTGGGATACTGGACAGGACATACACTAGGAGGCTATGCATGGGATGGATCAGGCAGGGAATTTAACTTACATCCACTATTCATGACAATTGGTCTTGTATTTCTGTATGGAGATGGTATGTATATACATGGGAATGGTAACTCCCTGTACTCTTGACATAAATAGGACCAAATCGTGTAGAAATAGATAGATTTGAGAAAGAAGAATGGAAGAAAGGTTGCCATCATTCGTCTAATAGAAACAATCGAATTCTGAAAAAGCATGTTGCAAAATAATCAGTTTAGAAGTTGTGGGGGGGAATATAATCAGCTTAGTATTTAAAGGAAATGGCGCCTATGTGCATATACCCTTAGTTTACTAAACAGTGATTTGTTGTAATTTACACCCCAACTAAGAAAAAAAAAGAATTTCGATTATATTTCCCTGCCTAATCGTTGATCATACTTTTAGTAAAGATTTACAGGGATGGTGAAATCTTAAGCCAAAACAATACACAATTCTGCTGCTGATGCTCCTGTGAAATCGATATCATACCTCAGTTCAGTAGAAGATGACCAAGTAGTCACTACTTTTTGTTTTAACTGAAGCTGGGGGCTGAGGTAATATAACTATTGAGTGCCAGAAGCGATATAAGTATTGAACTAATACAAGAAATCACTGTTATTATCATTAGTATCAAGGTAATTTTGGTATAACCCGAAAATTATCGGAAATTGGTAGCTCCTTTATGTGTTATGATTCATAGACAGGTAACGTTTGTGCAACATGGATACCATTATGATAAATCGTTCATTCTTTTTTGTTTTATCATTTATATCAAGGTATCTTGATGTTCAGGGTTTTTCGACACAACTCCTCATCCAAAATCAAAATCGTCCACCTGCTTTTTCATAGTCTCGCCCTCATCTTTGCCTGTGTCGGTCTCAAAACTGTGTTCAACTTTCATCGTGTCCAAAGCTTTCCTGACATGTATTCACTTCATAGCTGGGTCGGATTGAGTGCTTTTATCTTATTTGTTTTACAGGTTAGTAGGCTTACTGTAAAATAATATCTTCATACTTCATAGGTAAACGCATCCATGTTCTCGTCAAGAATAGGCCATTTTCGTAATGTGACCAAATTTAATGCATAAGTCTTTGTGTAGTGCCTCAATAAAATAATAATATTTTAATAGTCAGAATGCAACTGCGTGAATTAAGTGTTGCTAGGTAGGTCAATCCGTAATGTTTGTCCAACCTGACAACAACTAATGTATGCAGTTCGGATTCTGTCTATTGAAATACCATTATTCTTATCAGGTGAATGAACTAATTTGTATTGAGGCGCTTCCCAAAGACTTATGCATTACATTTGGTTACATTACAAAAATGGCCTATTGGGCTCAGTGAGTGCCACATGAAATACTAGGTGTACTGTAATGTGTTCACTGAAATTCAGTAAATATTGTTACGACTGCAAAACTTACGTGAATAATACTCCTCAAGAATCAACACTTACAACAGTCAACTTTGTGTTTAAGAAAAACATATTGTCAGCACATGCAAACTGTTGTGAAATGGATTACTTTCCTTTTTTACACATGCAAAAATATATTCATCAGATAGACAATGAATGAGAATTAATTTTGTCAATTATCTGATAACGTATATAAATGAAGGTTGTGTACACCATTTGATTTCAAATTATTATTAAGCTAACTGTAGGAAACTTACTGACAAGAAGAGGGACGTTGGGGCCCGATGTGTTCATGAGAATGATCACAGTCCATGACATAAAAGTCCTCGGGTTGTACGTACGCCACCGTTGAAGACCCTTTGGCTATCTTCGACGGAAACCTGGTTTCGAAGATCCAGACCATTTCCATTTCCCCTCACTTCTGTGCGAGGCGGACTTATTGCAGCGCCAATCAATTAAGGGCGTGGTCATGACAGTACACCTTCCTCACCGGAGTGAAAGTCCGAGCTCAGAACCAATTAAGGGCGTGGTCATGACAGTACACCTTCCTCACCGGAGTGAAAGTCCGAGCTCAGAACCAATTAAGGGCGTGGTCATGACAGTACACCTTCCTCACCGGAGTGAAAGTCCGAGCTCAGAACCAATTAAGGGCGTGGTCATGACAGTACACCTTCTTCACCGGAGTGAAAGTCCGAGCTCAGAACCAATTAAGGGCGTGGTCATGACAGTACACCTTCTTCACCGGAGTGAAAGTCCGAACTCAGAACCAATTAAGGGCGTGGTCATGACAGTACACCTTCCTCACCGGAGTGAAAGTCCGAGCTCAGAACCAATTAAGGGCAGGGGCGTAGACAACGGGGGGGATGAGGGGATGCATCCCCCCCCCCCACCTCACAAGGTGGGGGGGATGGCATGTACAATCATCCCCCCCACCCAGGTTTTGGGGAATGATATTTGCTTACTTAATAAGTCATAATGATGATAATAATAGTAATAATAATAATGATAACAATTATAATATTAATAATAATAATAATTATGATGATGATAATAATAATCCTCATCATTATTGTAATTGTGTTTATTGTTAGCCGCATTCACACGGTGAAAGCCAATTCTAAAACAGAATAGAAAATGAATGTGATACAACAGTATACATAATAATTCGTGACAGAGAGTACCATACTACTATCTTTATAACAAGTATTATTCAAACAAACATATATAATTATGTATAATCATGAATTGTTCAACTTCATGCTCCCACTATATGACTATTGTTACACTAATACTGATATCAGGACTGACTGGTATACATTAGTTTGTTGTTAAGCTTGCAGCAGCTACATCTTTTCTGTATTGTTAACTATTTATTTATTTTTGTTTTATTTAAGATGCACTGCATGAAGACATAAGTTTGAAATGTTTAAAGAAGTTTGTTTCATGTAAAGCGCAGTGTGAATTTACCCTTTCTTGAAATGCGAGATAAAAGGAACCTATTAGTATTAGCATTATTATTTGTATTAGTATTATTTTTTATTTCTATTATTATTATTATTATTATTATTATTATTTTCATTTTTATTATTATTGTTATTATTATTGTTATTATTATTATTATTATTATTATTATTATTATTATTATTATTATTATTATTATTATTATTATTACTATTACTATTATAAGACTGAGATCAAATAGAAGTAAATAATGCCCTAATTTGAAACGATGCAATGCCGTTACGGTTCCGATTTCTTCACAAACTTACAAAGCAGTATTGTTACTCCATGGATCATAGTGATACTGTTTATGTTTTTTGTATCTGTATGTTAATGAGCCGCCAGCCAATATCCATCTATGGATACTATGCCTGTTTCTTTGAGGTAAAAAAAAAAGCATAGTATGTACGTATTCATTATGCTTTATAATGAACAGACATATTGTTCAAAGTTTAATCGTTATTTGTTTGTTGTTTATGTGTTCTATTCACAAATGGCCACAGAGGCTGTTTTCATTCATAACCACATACCCCTATCAAGACAACAAAGACTATACCTGCGTGTACACAGTTGACATTGGTTTTTTTTCTGAAGAGGTGTAACAGCAAAATTCACAGAGATAAATAAATACGTAGTGTGGTTCAATATGCAATACTATGTGTCAGTCCATTCTGTATTCGTATACCACGGTGTGTAGATCTTGTCGATGTATGTCTGTCCATTCAAGGCGTAGTATGTGTGTGTGTGTGCGTGTGTGTGTGTGTGTGTGTGTGAGTATGCGTGTGTGTTTGTGTGCGTGTGTGAGTATGTTTGTGTGTGCGTGCACGCTTGTGTGTGTTATTTTACCTCATTAAGTATGCATCAGATTGCACGATTTCAAGTTCAAAATTGCAAAAGCTCCCTACCGTGGGAGGGGGGGACACCCCCTCCCACACCCTCCCCCGCTCGGTCGCTTCGCTCCCTCGCTCGGGCGCTTCGCGCCCTCACTAGCGTTGGCAGCCCAGTCATCCCCCCAGGTGTACGAACCTGTCTACGCCACTGATTAAGGGCGTGGTCATGACAGTACACCTTCCTCACAGGAGTGAAAGTCCGAACTCAGAACCAATTAAGGGCGTGGTCATGACAGTACACCTTACTCACCGGAGTGAAAGTCCGAACTCAGAACCTATTAAGGGCGTGGTCATGAAAGTACACCTTCCTCACCGGAGTGAAAGTCCAAGCTCAGAATTCATAAGGTTCATGTTGAATCCACGACATAAATCATTTGCCAGACAAAGAAATATCAATTCAGTTGGTGATCAAGGTTATCATGAGACATCATACTCGCTCAAAAAAGAAGATTTAAGGAAAAATCCAAACATAATTAAAGCAAAGCCAAAAGCTTGTTTTGCTTGGCACCGGGTCTGACGTTCGCCTCAAGTGTTAATTCATGCTGTCCTTTATTTGAGGCCTGTTCACCCAAAACGATAGGCCATTTTCGTAATGTAACCAAATGTAATGCATAAGTCTTTGAGTAGTGCCTCAATACAAATTATTTCATTCACCTGATAAGAATAATTGTATTTCAATAGACAGAATCCGAACTGCATACATTAGTTGTTGCCAGGTTGGACAAACATTATTTCTTGACCTACCCAGCAACACTTAATATATGCAGTTTGCATTGTGACTGTTGAAATACTATTATTCTTATCAGGTGAAAGTTTGTATTGAGGCACTTCACAAGGATAGTTCTTGAATAATCTCATAGGGATACCAATTAATTTGTATTTTACCTGTTTATATGATTATTTTATCTATTTTGTTTTTGCTGCTGTTATTTGTTTTATTCTTACCAAACAGGGCTTTATGGATGACCACCAAATTGGTGATATGTGCCACCCTGTATAAATATCAGAAATAAATAAATAAATAGAGAGGCTTATTACCCAACATGATCTCAATGTGCTTCCAAGAAATCGCCTCAGGTGCAATTTATATACGCTATATCATAATGGTATTGTCGACTTTAATAATGTCACGAGTTGTTCATGTATATACATGCCTTGACATTGTCATGTCAATTCGCACATTCCAAAATTGTAATCGCCCAAGATTGATTTCTTGGAAGATTTTGGTATTAATATTTATGAAATACACATTACTCATTACACCTCAAGTTACTTGTTACTAAAAATTGAACAAAAAGTATTTACAAAGAAACAAAACTACGGTAAGCGTCTTATTAAAATAAACATGAATGTATTTGTGATGATGAAATGAAAGAGTTGAAATTTAATTGAATAGAAAATGTAAATTTGTCAAGCTGGTTTTAATGATTTACTCGATTCTGTAATTAAATACAACATCAATTGTTGAGCAAGTTGATATTTTTGACTGTTTTACAGTGGATGACTGGGATAGCATGCTTCTTGTATCCTCGACTACGGGATGAACTACGTGTAACCTATCTTCCTCTTCATCGTTACATTGGTGTAGCTACGTTTGCCATGGTGATAGCAGCTGCATGTGCTGGCATCAACGAGAAGCTCTTCTTTGTCTAGTTAGTTTGTCTTCTTGTCTTCCAAATATTTTTTTTAAAACGCGTGAAAATGTTGTCTTATCTTCTGTTATCTGTCATTAAAATACATGTACATCTAGTTTTCGTATTTCTCTATCGACGAAGCATGTTGTAATGCCATCATCTTCCCATTTTCTGTCCCCCCCCCCCCCCCAGTGTTTTTCTCTCTCTCTCTCTCTCTCTCTCTCAATCTCTTTCTCTCTCACTTCTCTCTCGCTTCCTGTCTATGTTACTCTCTGACTCTTTATCTGTCTCCCACTTTGTTCTCCGCTCCTGTTTTGATAAACGCATAATTCCATAATTTCCCCCATCTTTCTCTTTGACAGCTCTGGAAGAGGAGACTCGTTGAAGTACTCCGCCTTGCCACACGGAGCATACATCGGGAATTTTCTCGGCTTCCTCATCCTTCTATTTGGGCTTATTGTGGGCTATTTAGTCTCCAACTCTGACTTCAGAAGACAGACCTCCAACCCAGCTCGTGATGGTTTGGAAGAAGGGACGCTCATGAACACGACGGATCAAAAAGTGAATTAAACAACTCATAAGCTTCCTCTTTTAATTACAAGTATGTAAATAGGCTTTGGGAGCAAGTTCACACAACACTGTGTTTATAGTTTGCTGTTTGCTTCCTGGCTTCGTATATATTCTCTGCTGTCCTCTAGGTAATATTTTTGTATGGCAGGAGAGACATTTTGCTCATATCAAATTCAGTTAGGCTATTCTGTCATAATTATTATATCGCTTATAAATATAGCATCACTTTAAACAAACAGCACTTTGTTATTCCTTGCTCATTTTTCCTGATTGAGGTGTCATAATTATGAAAGGGCAAAAACTGAACTTTCTAGAAATGTGATTTTCTCTTTGAAATTCAGATACCGTCCGCCAAATGACTTTTTGGTTCCCTCTCTTCAACTTCATTTGAATCACTCATGCTTGAAAAATGCATCATATGAGTTGCATCAAATGAAAGAAGATGATCTAGGCTTTACAAATATGTGTCATTTATTAATTATAATCGTGATTAAGTTATGATAAAACATCGATAATTCTCGGTTTCGTTTAATATGGGACGCACTGTATATACATATCCAATTATTTAAATAATTATGTAATACCATACTAGATTTTTTTTTAAAGACAAAACAAATCAAACAGCCTAATGTTGGTATGCGTGATTAGGCAAGATTGAATGGAATGATCCACTAACATCTCTACTCCTTAAACGTTGTTCCCATATTCGGTATTAAGGACTGATAATTAATTGCAACATGATGCTACAGTACTCTTTGCCAGTTCTGGCACGTTACGATTTATTTTCAAATATTTGAAAGAAAACTCCTATTAATTACTTTCGCACCATGAATTGCAAAGAAAACAAGTTTTCAATAAAATGGAAAGTGCATAAGGGTTTGATACTATGTCAAGTGAAGGTAAAGAATCGTGGCTTTATTGAAAAAAGAGTAACTTGTATATTGAACAAAAGCGAGAGGTTGCTGATATGTGGTTATGTATGTAGGTACAATGACAATGCCAATGACAATGTATGTATGTATCAAATGACAATGCCTGGCTTGTAAACGAGCTTTATAGATCAACTCCATGGCCTGTGGGTGTTACAATATATTAAAAAGGATGACTGTACTTTTGACTATCTTTTATTCGTTTAATGCCAATAAAGTCATATGTAGTAACTGTATTATATTATATATGTATGCACATCCTGCATTCTTATATCTAGCGGATTTGAATAATCAATGTCGTTGTAATCAATTGGATGTATGCAGACCCCCCCCCCCCCACCCCCTTTCCTCTCTTTCTCTCTCTTTATATATCTCTTTCTCTGGATGTTTCTGTATTTGATTGGATGATGGCAGATTATTTTCTCTCTATCTCTCTCTAATCTCTATATCTATATCTCTCTTTCTCTATCTTTATATCTGGATGTCTCTATATTTTATCATTGCAGATGAGGCTACCTCACCCCTTCTCTCTCTCTCTCTCTCTCTCTCTCCCCTCTCCTCACTTGTTCTATCTCTCCTTCTTTACTCACTCGGTCACTGACTCATTAACTCTGGTTCACCAAACATACCTATTTATATCATGACAATACATGTAGATTGTAAAAGAATTTTCGCCGAGTTGTTGAATGTCAAATTTCTCCGTTTCTAAATTTGGGGAAATAAGCATTTCAAGCATAACAATACAGTCTCAATTTTAAAAGGAACTTGTTGAAAGCTCAACTGTATCCCACTATTGAAACATCTAAACAGATGCATACTTATTTCAGTTTTGACATACATGTTCTTTTATAACCTGATTTCATCTCCAACTTATTTAGCACCTACTAATGTGAATAAAGACAAAAACAGGAAAAGTTTATGCGTTTCAATGTTTCACTTTATTATACATTTCAGCCACATATAGTGAAGGAAGGGGCACTCAATCGGAGAAACAAATACAGAATGGAAATATACTCACATATATCTCATCTCATACTCACATTCACCCTCTCACATTCATACCAAGGAGAAAAACAAAAACAACAACAAGACACTCGTGCCTGTTCTCCCTACATATGAGGCAGAACAGACAACGAAGGAGCAATTGTGACAGACAATAGGCATGCTACAAGATATACAAAGCAGATCTATGTACTCTGTAGCATAACAGTACTCAATAATGTGAGGTGATGGTAGTCTGGTCTGCAGTCAGTCTGTGTGTATACTTACTGTGCAGCCCTTCACAATCAACACAGACACACAGAGAGAGTGTAATATGCTTCACAACATGCTCAACAAGAAGCAGTCAAAACATACAAAAATCTAACAATAAAATCTACTTTATCAACAATATATCACCATAACAACATAGAAAATCTTTATCGAATCTTCAAGGCCATTCCTATAAATCTCTTTTTAAAAAGTCAGTCTCTCACTCCTCTCTATATTCATAAAATTTATCACCACATAAATGCTGTCTTGCTTCATCATGATTCAATACAACATAGCTACACATGATGCTGCTTAAGTTAGCAGCTTTAACTTTTTATCATGAAGATTTATAAATCCAGTACTTTCACACTGACCAAAACATTTTCATAGTTTTTATCACATTATAAAATTTCTTTACCATAGTGAAATAATTACTTCTTAGCTTTTGTACAAATATACATATATTCTAATTACGCTACCAATACATTTGGGACCAACAACAACTGCTTGCGTCTTCACAAAGATTGGGCACTCAAATATTGATTGATTTGGACAGCCTGCACACTGGAAGAAATGTATATGAAAACAGAACAACTTACTGTTCAATGAGGAAATAATCTTTTATCTATTTCAGCTTCCATCCATCACATGTAAGATCCATAGAAATCTAGTTTGTTAGTGATAGGAGTTGTTTTTAATTGCTGGATTTGTGTAAGACCATTCATCTTTATTCATATCTTTTCACTGGAGGTCTTTCAAGAATAAAGTTTGATTTCAATCAGAATTTCAAGAATAAAATTCTTGCATTAGTAGGTTTTTGCCTAATAATTTGATATCAATATAATAATAATTGCTTTGAGATTAACATAACCATAAACTATTTCACATTTCTAATTGAAAGGAACCAAAAGAAATTGTTTTTAACATTTATTATCTAGATTGTTCTTGTAATCTTCATGTTAATAAATAATAGTACACTGGATATATTTTGCACTATAAAACCTCACCCCTCCTTCAAAGAGTTATACATATACATGTATCTTCTAATTTTGATGATGCAAATCTTTTTTAGGGAAAACATTCTTTTTTCCTGGACACAGTAATATGTATCTCCTTGTCCTTTTGTTAAAGATGGGATTCAAGTTTTCTTCATCTTTTATGATTGTAGTTTACAATTGACATTTCTTCTATGACGGACTGAATAACAATTCATAGACAGATGCTACCAACCAACAAGTTATCACATATAACCTTTGATTCACAAAACAATCAAATCAAATATACAATCTTTATCACTGTTATATTTTCTACTTTTCTAGAGCAATACAAGTTTGAGTGCATTAAGTTTCATTCCAATCAATAGAAAAAGGCGCTTCATATGTTTTATCAATACAAATATGAATATCTTTAATCTACATAATCATCCCGTCAACAGGATATTTGCATTTGAACAAATAAAAATAAAAGTACACCAATCTGAATAATCTTAGATTATTCACTTCAGAAAAAGAAAAACAAGTTTTTATGCAACTCTAATTGAAACATCGTTTCTATACATCTGTCTCTTCTTTTATGCTAACTTTTCTTTGACCTAAAACCAATTTGAAGAGCTTGTTGAAAACAGAATACTTGAGAAAAATGTAAGACGAATCCACTGACACTACAGTATGATATATGATGATATTGTTGCTTGCTATCCTGGCAATTATAAAATAAAAAGAAGTACAAGCTTGACTGGCAATATTTGATCACACAAGACAAATAGAAACATTACCAATACTGTCCACAGCTCACACAAAAATATACATCTGATCTGTACACCAGTAAAATTCATCTTCTAAACACCACTAGCACATTGTTTGTAAAAAGTAATACAAAATAATACCTACAGTAGTAGAACAACTATTCTGAAGTACATGATCAATGATATAACAAAGCTCATCAACATTACATTACATTATGTGCATATTTAAGGCATAACTATATCAAGTAACATGATATATTTATCCTCAAAGTTAGTGTTGAACTCTCAAAAACTTGCAATCCCTATTATAAATGTACAAGCTGGAATTGTAACACTTCAAGATTCAAGTTTGAGACCATAAGGGTGTAAAAGAAGGAACCCTTCAGTCTCATCCCCTACATGTAGAAGTGAGTGAGTGCTCTATGTTCTAAATTCCTACAATACTGGACCACATGGCTGATCACATAGCTGATCCGCATTTTCTCTAAAGAACAGCTGAAAATGCCAGCAGGTACCAGTTAACTGACGTCTTGTTGTAACAAAAGTGACGTCTCATTGCAACATTCTTAATACACAAAAGAAACAAATCAGATGCTTGGACTGGAGGGTAATACATACTTCCTATTCTATTCTAGTTTAAGTGTTGGTAATATATTTGTATACAATGTAGATCAAGGTAGATTGAAGGACACATTTGTTTTGAGATTCAAGATGATTTCTGAAAAGATTGGGTCATTTTTATTTTGTTTCATTTGAATGAAGAAAAACCAAAAGAATTAGGATAGGCATGTATGTATGCCATGTAAAGGCAATGTAACAGTAACAGAGTTGCCAGCATTTCATGAAAACTAAATTCTTTCTGAATTTGCCCAATTGAGTTTTAGAATGTCAGGATCCTCATCTCCACCTCCTCCAGTTTAAGATATTTTCAAGGAGCAGTATTGGCTCTGAGCACAAGAGCATCATCAGAAAATGTTCAAAGGAAACAAGGCATTTTCCACACTAAAATGTCTCCATAGCTAATCTGTTAGTGGATGCACTGTGCAGACACAAGTACATACCTGGTATTCACTATTTTATTTTGACGCCAATGAAGTTCCCTGATATTTTCCCTGATATTTCATTGATTATTCTCAAATCCCTGACTATTTCTCTGTTCAAGCAGGAGGGGGGGGGGGGGGGGGGGGGACAGTGAACCCACCCACCCACCCATAGGGCAAGGGTATCTCATTATAAAGAGATACAGGAAGATGATCTTAACTCTATGGTGCGGTCGCAGACTCAAATATAGATTTTTTTGAAAGACAATGGTTCATATATAACCATTGTTCTCTACTCCATAAATATGCTATGATGCCCTAGAACAGGACATCTTGGATTCCTTAATTTGAATTGGTTTCATCTTAATTGGAAATCAATATGAATTGGTTTCATCCTACCCAGACACCAATAGGAATTGGTTTCATCCTACCCAGAGACCAATAGGAATTGGTTTCATCCTACCCAGAGACCAATAGGAATTGGTTTCATCCTACCCAGTGACCAATAGGAATTGGTTTCATCCTACCCAGAGACCAATAGGAATTAGTTTCATCCTACCTAGAGACCAATAGGAATTGGTTTCATCCTACCCAGAGACCAATAGGAATTGGTTTCATCCTACCCAGAGACCAATAGGAATTGGTTTCATCCTACCCAGAGACCAATAGGAATTGGTTTCATCCTACCCAGTGACCAATAGGAATTGGTTTCATCCTACCTAGAGACTGATAGGAACTGGTTTCATCCTATCAAGAGACCAATAGGAATTAGTTTCATCCTACCTAGAGACCAATAGGAATTGGTTTCATCCTACCCAGAGACCAATAGGAATTGGTTTCATCCTACCCAGAGACCAATAGGAATTGGTTTCATCCTACCCAGAGACCAATAGGAATTGGTTTCATCCTACCCAGTGACCAATAGGAATTGGTTTCATCCTACCTAGAGACTGATAGGAACTGGTTTCATCCTATCAAGAGACCAATAGGAATTGGTTTCATCCTACCCAGAGACCAATAGGAATTGGTTTCATCCTACCCAGAGACCAATAGGAATTGGTTTCATCCTACCCAGAGACCAATAGGAGTTGGTTTCATCCTACCTAGAGACCGATAGGAATTGGTTTCATCCTACCCAGAGACCAATAGGAATTAGTTTCATCCTACCTAGAGGACCTTGTAGGGTATAACGCATGGGAGGGAGGACGGGATAGTGGCATCTACAAAAAACTCATTAAGACATCTCTTCATCTTCCAATTTTTGTCTTCATTTTTTTTCAATAAATTTCTGTTGTTTTGTACAACAACAAAATCAACTTACGTGTACAAATATGATTTGAGTAACACTTTGTGGAATGCCTTTTCAAACTCTGTGCATCGAAGCAATTACATCTAACCCTTTTCAGTCATGATAGAAAACACTATGCACAAGCAACTTTGTACAGATGAACTAACTACAACACGTGTAATACAACCACAACTTGTGATGAATATAAAAAGGTTCAATGCCAACAAACATACATATATTAAATTTGCAAACTTGTCAAACATCATGTGTTTAGAGCTAATAGTACAGTCTCGATTCAATAGCTATATGCATGCACTCCAAACATGAACAAGATTGTGGCTCTCTCTCTCTCTTTCTACCACACATCAAACGTCAAGTACGTAATATGAGCAGATAAGACTGACCAGGTTCATGTGACACTATTCAGGAAATTAAAACCAATCTTGTCTAAAAATCAAACAAGAAAATACTGATTCATTTCCCAAACAAACAAACAGCAATCCTTCCATCCCTACCTGCCTGCATGTATGTACCCAAGCTCGTAAGGAAACGTTAGGGTAGAATAAATTGGACGGTCATTCCTGTTTAGTTCTTGGTCTTGAAGTATTCATCTTCATGCGCAAGAGTGTGTTCCTTGAAGGCTGTAGTAGTCAACAACACAATACACATGAAACCAATACTGTCTGTCTGTCTGTCTTCAGTGAATTGCTTGCTTGGCAGGCAGGATGCATTCAACCTCCCTCCATCTTAGGCTCCTAGCTCCGTGATAGATAATAAGAGCTTGGTTTGGTTTGGTAGGCTTTCTTTCTTTACCCACACTCACTACGCTCCCTCCCTACTAAACAGGGAGTCATCCTTATGAAGGGGCTGCTTCTTCAGCCTCCATTGCACTCTCATCCGGGATCTCTCCTGAACTTCTGTCAAACAATGAGAAACAAGAAAGCTCTATCAGACGTGACACTCATAAAGCAACATAATATAACATCAATGCAGCAATGTTGTAGACATGTCACTGTGTTATAACTATGTACATGCTTGCTTTCTGGTATTCCAAACCAATTCCAACGGGACTATATACAGTATCAAATGATAAATAGAGCTGATCTTGCGCTTGAAATTTGGTTAAATAATACTTAGCAAAACTAATTTATGGATATAGGATTATGTTGCCCTTCACACTAGATATCAAATATCAATTCACTCAATAATGCAGAACAAAAGTAAATAATGTAACAAAACACAGATGTAAGCAGCAATTATTCTTTCATTTGATATGTTGCTGCTGTAACTTCTTTGTCATTAATCATATTGCTTTGCTAATAGGTAACTTGTCCATAGCATTATGAAGGAGGCCAAGGCTAAAAGCTTAACCAAGTCTAACCTGCAGCAGCATCAACCATATATCTGCCTGTCACATGCTATTACATGCACATCTCTCTTGCTATATCATCTGCTTGGAGCCAGAGGAGTGTTAAATCATATACTACAACACAGAGTTAACGCCCTCTGGCTCTGAACTGACCATATCTTCAATTGATTATTACAGAGGAGAGTTAAATCATATACTACAACACAGAGTTAACGCCCTCTGGCTCTGAACTGACCATATCTTCAATTGATTATTACAGAGGAGTGTTAAATCATATACTACAACACAGAGTTAACGCCCTTCTGGCTCTGAACAGACCATAGTGGTTATTACCTTGGAGCTTCCTGCTGTACTGATAGTGATGCCATCTCATTAACAGGCACTTCTGTATCTCCTTTCCTCTTCATTGAATCACGCATAGACATAGCTACAGTAGCAGACTGATCTCGGACTGATGTCCAGTACTCGGCTATAAAACACACACAAAGATATAATATATCATATTATATTCCACATACTAAGAATTTTGCTCTACGATTGGTCAAAAGTAAATCATGTGATAAAAGATAGTTCTCCCATCATTGATGGGAAAAGAAAAGTTTGTTACACTGTGTAGATAGTACTTCTATCTTCGGTGAAAGTGCGTTGCACTGTGTAGATAGCAGTACTATCTACACAGTGCAACGCACTTTAATTGTAAACGTTGCGTATTGCTCTCCTCTTATAAGTGCTTTTAGTGTTAGTATGCGAACTTTGGTCACGCGCAAACTATGGTCACACCAGTACAGTACCACCACACTGCATGCACTGTACGTATCGTACACCGTTTGCTAGCTGTTAATTGATGACTTGTTGCTCTAAAATGACGAAAGTGAAATGTTTCCGATGTGGAATATAAAGCAAATAATCACCTTTTGGTTCAGGCGATGGCAAACTATCACTTCCTCGGCGATATGAATAAATACGCTATCTTTCCTCATCTTCGCTTCGGAAAGATAGCTACATCCAGATCGCCTCGGAAGTGATAGTTTGTCCCATCACCTTCACCAGCATTAATTATTTGCTTACTACGCTACTAGAACAGACAAAGCTACAGTAGTAGCCTGATCTCTGAAAACAAATCCTATGGCTAGAGTCTGAGATTTCAACCAATTTGACATAGGAGGATTTTCTTCTGAGTCAGAGGAATCTTGTGTTACTCCTCTCATCATGAGGTTGTGGGTTAGGATCCAGTCCTTTAACAATGCATATTAGCTATAGCTCTCACCCTCTCAACCAAAGTGTAATTGATAAGGCCCTTTTTTAAAGAAAATACATAGAAAGTTTTTAATAGGATATATCTGTAGCTCACTCAAAGCTACTAGAATGGTTTCAAAAAATAGATGTGTACTATCCGAACCCAACTCTACTAGTTCCAGTACACAGAGACCTAAGATATTTCTGTCATAAACATACCTTATATTTACCAGAGTTTAGTAAAGCCTTGATTGAATATGACGCTGCTAAACCACTGCATGTTAGGATGACGTAAAGTGTAATATGCTCAACATTTCATTATCTGATGACACAGAGCTAGGTGAATATGTGTATCACCTTTGCTGTGCGCAGTTGTCATTTATTTTGTGGTGGTTTAACTCGCCATACCTGAACAAGCCTTAAGTAAGTCTAGGCACGAGGAGCCATATTAGGGGTCATATTAGAGAGAGAGAGCAATATAATGTCCATATTAGTATGCAACGAAGACGGCTGACTTACATTGTATTTCAATAGTCCTACGTAAGCACTCTACTGCGTTGGCATTAGGGACTCCATTGATAGCGTCTTCTGAGAGGGGTGAAGGGTCATCACCTAGGAGAGTTTGGGCGCACACCTCTGATGCATCACAGATAGCCGTCAGATCATAACCACCTTCTAGAGCTAACACCACTCTTCCATTCGCTAGTCCCATCACCTTACGGGTCATGTAGGAGAAACCTACAAACAAACAAAATAATTCCATTGTTACCTCACAGCAGAAAGAATATAAAAATCATATCAGTGCATCATATTCTACTTTATTTCATCTACATACATGTACATCTTAAAATAGTAATTTTACATAATTTACAAAAGTAGTGTCATCAAATGTTCTTCTCTTAACTTTATACAACCTTTGAACATAATGCTAATGTGTGGAATAATGATAAAACTGCATTTTACAGGACGACAGTATGTAATTTTCATGATAATATACATGTGAAATTTCTTTACAAATCCAACAAGTAATGACAGAAATTCTAAGGAGACATTTTCACATTTTAATAAAAGATTGTGCACAGCATTATTCGATCATCTAGAGTGTGTAACCAAAGTTGGATTGACTTCAAGTTATTTGTTAATAAGTGATTTATGGTGGTTAATGAAGAGTTGTATACTTACATGCTGGTGTAACTTTATATCCCCCTAATGGATTAGGATGCCCATTGGCAGCATCAAAACCAGAGGATACAAGCACAACATCAGGAGAAAACTCCCGAGCAATTGGCAGGACAATAGACCTGAAACAACACAAACAATAATCATCATTATATCAATCATATAATTGTATCTAGCAACATCAGATGGTACAAGGATAACATCAGGAGAAAACTCCCGAGCAATTGGCAGGACAATAGATCTGAAACAACACAAACAATAATCATCATTATATCAATCATATAATTGTATCTAGCAACATCAGATGGTACAAGGATAACATCAGGAGAAAACTCCCGAGCAATTGGCAGGACAATAGATCTGAAACAACACAAACAATAATCATCATTATATCAATCATATAATTGTATCTAGCAACATCAGATGGTACAAGGATAACATCCAAGAGAAAACTCCTAATGATCGGAAGGACAATAGACCTGAAACAAGGCAAACAATAATCATCATCATTATATCAATCAATGTATGAATAAATCAATGAGTATCACCCCCATCAATATATAAATCAATCAATTAACTAATGAGACCATTAATCCACCCTGCCCTTTTGATATATTGAACAGCTTCAGCAAGACTGATTGAGATGACCATGGCAGGCTAAGTTTCTATCATACACACCTGAATGCAGCTATATATTCTGCATCTCCCATTGGAGGGTTCAAACCACCATGAAAGGCTATGTTCACGTTGTATCCCAGACCTGCACCGCATCCACTCTGTCAATAAAACAAATTAATAACATTATGTTAGAAGGCAAATATCAGTTCTTATAGAATGAAATATCTTGGAAATATAGACAACAGAAAACTTTACTATTTTTGAAAGATTCAAGCAGAAGAATAGAAACAAAAGAGACATGTTAAAAAAAAAGTACTAATAAAATGAAGTAGAAAGAGTAAAAACGATCATATATCATTAGAAAAGGAAACTTAGTGAATAAAAATAAAACTAGGAAGAGTGAAAGAAGGATAAAAGAATGTGTCTAGCATTACCTCATCTGGAGCCCCTGTGCCAGGGAAGAAGTTACCGTTGTCATGGCGATGTAATGAGATGTAGAGTACATGTGGGTCTTCATAGAAGATCTTCTGGGTAGAGTTACCATGATGAACGTCCTACAATAACATACAATACAAGATTGGTACTTATACTAGTGCTCTTACAGTACCTATATCAAAGTGTTTTATCAAATATCAATTAGAATCAAAATCAGTTTAAAACATAAATAGAAATCTTTTTTTTTTAATATTTTCAATTCAAACTACAGCAATTGATTTACAGAAACAGAATCCCATAGGTTAAGAGCAATGGGGATGAGAATGTACATACCCAGTCAATGATGAGTATCTTGTTGAGTTTGAGCTTGAGTCTTAGCTGTTTAGCAGCTATAGCAATTGAGTTAAAGAAACAGAATCCCATAGCTTGTGATCAATGGGGAAGGGGGAGGGGGTGTACATACCCAGTCAATGATGAGTATCTTGTTGAGTTTGAGCTTGAGTCTTAGCTGTTTAGCAGCTATAGCAATTGAGTTAAAGAAACAGAATCCCATAGCTTGTGAGCAATGGGGAAGGGGGAGGGGATGTACATACCCAGTCAATGATGAGTATCTTGTTGAGTTTGAGCTTGAGTCTTAGCTGTTTAGCAGCTATAGCAATTGAGTTAAAGAAACAGAATCCCATAGCTTGTGAGCAATGGGGAAGGGGGAGGGGATGTACATACCCAGTCAATGATGAGTATCTTGTTGAGTTTGAGCTTGAGTCTTAGCTGTTTAGCAGCTATAGCAATCGAGTTAAAGAAACAGAATCCCATAGCTTGTGATGTTTCGGCATGATGTCCTGGTGGTCTTACGATGGCAAATCCATTCTTGAGCTCTCCTGTAGCTACTTTGAATGCTAACTCAATCACTGCTCCAGCAGCCTAGTATTAAAGATACATGACACATAAATATCAATTCAACATTGTACATCTTTTATATTCATGATATGGATCGGTTGACCGTCATCATAAGTATCAATGCATACAAAAACATGGGAGACACCACAATAAATGAAGAGCCTTAGGGTTAGGGCAACCAAGACTCTCATCTAAAGACAGGACATGTAGCAAAGCAAATAGGTCTATTCAAACCTCAACATTAACCACACTGTCTGTCAGACTGATAAAAACATCCATATATATATATATATATATATATATATTACATACAAACATACATATTATATATCAGACATCTTCATAATATCCAACAGTGCATTCAAGAATGTTATTCTTGTTATCTGCATTGACTCAAAGACTTTATTCTCCATTCAATCCAAACATTTGGTTCGAGCCACGTGTACATTGATTTACAAGATTTACAAGGTGACAACTAATTTCCTTTGTTAACCACAGCTTTATACCCAAGCTTATACTCAGTGTTAAACGATTGATATACATGTACGAGATACTTACTATTCTGACTGCTCCTGGTGACTGGATATCATGCCAAACTGTGTCTGTATCTACACCGAGACCTCCACAACTCAACCAAGTGAAATTCAACTTGGGTATGAGAGCTACAAGAAAATAACACATTGCATCATTCATCATGTATTCTTATGTATATACAATTTCAATTAAAGCTAAAGACCAGTTATGGTCATGCAATTGAATAGTGAAAGAAGCGTTGTGAAATTGATCAGAAAAGGTTGATCATCTAGCATAGATGTACTGAAAGGTTCTGGAATCATCAAAATTATAAGAAATTTGGCCAAGTCTTCATAAAGTTAGAAGCACTGTACACAGAAAGATGTATATGGGACTACACACACGTGCCCGACACATGCATTTGTATCTTTCAACAGTATATAGATAATACTAATTTACCAAATATATCAATTAGTAGGCGGTTTCCCGTCAAAATTGTTATCGTCATGTAATATTCGAAACATATTCTTTCACATGATTGGTAATAAGAGCTTCCATTTCATTTTTTGAAATTGGGGCATTTCCAATACTGGTCTTTACCTTTAAAGGACTTTAACAAATCTTATAAGCGCAACCACGAAACAAGTTGACAAGAATATTTTGTGACAATTAAAGTTAAAAAATTGCTGCCATGTGTCCTACATCCTACAATCATACAAAGCACTTTTTTGAAGTTATAAAGCTCATGGCATAATCTATTTATATCCCATTTATAACAGGTTGTTACAACTCTCTATTGTATACTGGAGCTGTAAAATACAAGGACATCAACTTTAAGAATAAAACCTGTATTCTGACATCTACACACTGCACATGAATATCTGATGGGTAAAGTGGTATATTTTAATTGATTACATAATAAACATTGTTTGAACTCACCCAGTTTACGGCTGTCTAACTTGGCTTTGTGTGTCTGGCTTGTACCAAAGAATAACGTGTAGCCTTCACTGTAATACAAATTAAGAAAGTAAATAACATCTCAGCTCCTCTCATATGTATCAGACTATATACAAATAAGAACTTTTGTTCAAAATTGTAATGCTAACAAGTAACATTCCATCTTTAAAATAGCAAAATGCAATATTACAACTGATATCTCAACAAAAATATTTGAAACATCATGATTTACAATTACATCCATGTTAAACATTGAATAAGCTCAAGGAATTTAAATTGCATATCCTGAGGTGCCTTTAAATTTAAAATGGCCTTAAATTTACAGTATAACTGTGTCTTGAATACTAGACATTCATGAAATTTACAACATTTTGCAAGAAATTTGGTCACATTGGATTCATATTGAACAGCTTTTAATGCTCTATGTAATGTATATATAAAATATTCATATTTTTAAAATGATTGTGAAAGAGTAGAGGCTATCTGACAGAATTGAAATGTGCTATGTAGAGAAAACAAGGGAGAGAGAAAAGGGGGGGGGGGGCAGGGGTAAAATTTGGAGAATGAAATGTTTGAAACAAAAGCATATCATCATCATAATTGTAAACTTTTCTCACCTATGGCAAGACTGGAGCTCTTCTAATGATGCTTTCCGCGTCCTTATACGCTGAAATCAAACAAAACAAACAAATAGTTTATTAGCATGCTTGTCGAGATTCAGAAATGATACAAAGATTCATATTTTATGTAACTGACCCCCTCCCTACCCACTATCTGACTGTAAGATAAACTCACCTCACATCTACTAACAATCCCTCTCTCATGAAGTCTAGCCCAGATGCTCTATGATCACTACTCTATAAAGTAACTGACCCCCTCCCTACCAACTCTCTGACTGTAAGATAAACTCACCTCACATCTACTGACAATCCCTCTCTCATGAAGTCTAGCCCAGATGCTCTATGATCACTACTCTATAATGTAACTGACCCCCTCCCTACCCACTATCTGACTGTAAGATAAACTCACCTCACATCTACTGACAATCCCTCTCTCATGAAGTCTAGCCCAGATGCTCTATGATCACTACTCTATAATGTAACTGACCCCCTCCCTACCCACTATCTGACTGTAAGATAAACTCACCTCACATCTACTAACGATCCCTCTCTCATGAAGTCTAGCCCAGATGCTCTATGATCACAACTCTATAATCTAACTGACCCCCTCCCTACCCACTATCTGACTGTAAGATAAACTCACCTCACATCTACTAACGATCCCTCTCTCATGAAGTCTAGCCCAGATGCTCTATGATCACTACTCTATAATGTAACTGACCCCCTCCCTACCAACTCTCTGACTGTAAGATAAACTCACCTCACATCTACTGACAATCCCTCTCTCATGAAATCTAGCCCAGATGCTCTATGATCACTACTCTATAATGTAACTGACCCCCTCCCTACCCACTATCTGACTGTAAGATAAACTCACCTCACATCTACTAACTATCCCTCTCTCATGAAGTCTAGCCCATATGCTCTATGATCACTACTCTATAATGTAACTGACCCCCTCCCTACCCTCTATCTGACTGTAAGATAAACTCACCTCACATCTACTAATGATCCCTCTCTCATGAAGTCTAGCCCAGATGCTCTATGATCACTACTCTATAATGTAACTGACCCCCTCCCTACCCTCTATCTGACTGTAAGATAAACTCACCTCACATCTACTGACAATCCCTCTCTCATGAAGTCTAGCCCAGATGCTCTATGATCACTACTCTATAATGTAACTGACCCCCTCCCTACCCACTATCTGACTGTAAGATAAACTCACCTCACATCTACTAACAATCCCTCTCTCATGAAGTCTAGCCCAGATGCTCTATGATCACTACTCTATAATGTAACTGACCCCTCCCTACCAACTCTCTGACTGTAAGATAAACTCACCTCACATCTACTGACAATCCCTCTCTCATGAAGTCTAGCCCATATGCTCTATGATCACTACTCTATAATGTAACTGACCCCTCCCTACCCACTATCTGACTGTAAGATAAACTCACCTCACATCTACTAACGATCCCTCTCTCATGAAGTCTAGCCCAGATGCTCTATGATCACTACTCTATAATGTAACTGACCCCCTCCCTACCCTCTATCTGACTGTAAGATAAACTCACCTCACATCTACTAACGATCCCTCTCTCATGAAGTCTAGCCCAGATGCTCTATGATCACTACTCTATAATGTAACTGACCCCCTCCCTACCCACTATCTGACTGTAAGATAAACTCACCTCACATCTACTAACAATCCCTCTCTCATGGAGTCTAGCCCAGATGCTCTATGATCACTACTCTATAATGTAACTGACCCCCTCCCTACCCACTATCTGACTGTAAGATAAACTCACCTCACATCTACTAACGATCCCTCTCTCATGAAGTCTAGCCCAGATGCTCTATGATCACTACTCTATAATGTAACTGACCCCCTCCCTACCCACTATCTGACTGTAAGATAAACTCACCTCACATCTACTAACAATCCCTCTCTCATGAAGTCTAGCCCATATGCTCTATGATCACTACTCTATAATGTAACTGACCCCCTCCCTACCCACTCTCTGACTGTAAGATAAACTCACCTCACATCTACTAACAATCCCTCTCTCATGAAGTCTAGCCCAGATGCTCTGTAGACGTCCAGGATGCTCAGGATGGTTCTGATTGTTTCCACACTGGCATTGATGCTTCAACATCAACGTATCATACGCAAGGCCTACACGCAGACAAATAACAATAATAACATTAATGATGAATCAGGCTCTTATTCAATCACTGGCACTGAAATTTTATAAAAATCCGTATTTCAATTTCTCCAGAAATAATAATAATAAAACAGTTCTTTATTTACTTGGAATGGCATTCTTGCATAATTAAATTTTGTTTTTAAAAATACAAACTTTGAAAATTGTATTCATACACACAAATTAAAAGATTCTGATTAATTAAACTCTGTTGAATACAGTTCGTCTTGATTCATAGTAATTGACTATGGACTTCCATTAGAATCAGGTAAATATCAATATATTTAAATATAAAATGACAATTTCAAGAGAAAGGAGAACTTGGTTTCAACTTGTTTTCTTCTAAAAATACATGCACAAACATGAAGTAAGGATGCTTATGGTTTAATGCATACAAGATGTGTTTTAGTCTCTGTTAATCTTAGTATTGTACAAGTTGACATATAAAACACCTGTTACATCTACATGTATGTACATAAAACAGGTGTTACATCTACATGTTACATCTACATGTATGTACATGAAACAGGTGTTACATCTACATGTATGTACATGAAACAGGTGTTACATCTACATGTTACATGTACATGTATGTACATGAAACAGGTGTTACATCTACATGTATGTACATAAAAAAGGTGTTATATCTACATGTATGTACATGAAACAGGTGTTACATCTACATCTAAGTACATGAATGTTATGTCTTTGAACAACAACACAAATATAATTGAGATATGAATAATCCATGTGATAAATGATTCTCTGGTACCTGTATAAAATTTGAAATAGCACATGTTGAATATTGTACTTAACCAGTTTAATATTGTACTTAACCAGTAAAATATGAACATGTTGTCCTAAGATCAATAATTAAGATCTAGCCTTAGTATTAGAAGTACTAGAAAATATATTAAAATATACAATATTCTGACAGAATAAGGGTAATGAATTTCATGACTCCCACTTGATTTTTCAAACCTGTTTTCCTTGTATAATGAAGCACATTCCGAGTGCTCAACCCAAACTGCAATAGCAAGCGAATTACAATATTTAATTGCCAAGGAATATGTTATCTCTATCTGTACTAAGCCTTTAGAATGGCTGTGAGATACCTTCTAATGAGTTTTCTATCTTCTCTCAAGCTTCTTGATATTTGAGATCAGATATTAAAAGCCTCAATTACCATTATCCTGATTTAACATGAACCTGATATGTAAATATCCTATATGGGATTATGTTACAACGGTCATATAATGAGTTCATATTATGAGTTCATAGCAATTAATGCCATCCACCTTGATCATACATGCAGGCTGTCAGTCAGGGGACATAACCTGTTTTTAGGTACTGGTAGACAGCATCATTTCTGTACCATGCTTTTTCTTCCTTTCAAGTAAAAGGAACCAATCTGAACCTATGTTTAACTTCCCCATTCATGGAGGAATCCATATTCAGATGTACATATAATTATTACTATGTATTTGGTTGAATTCAAGATTACATGGTAAATACCAAACTTATTCAGACATAACAAGATTAGTTTGATGATTTATGCACAAGACTAGTTCATCTACATGACAGCACTTCTTTGACAGAGTACATACATATAAAGCAAGTACAGATAGTGTTATCGTAATTCATATCAAGTTGTTAACATGCACTGTCATACCACAATGATGCATACAAATACCATGCAGGAATATAAAAGACGTGTTTGTATAAGGGTAAGGGATGTATATACCATGCAGAAATGTAGAAGAGGTTTTGGTATAAGGGTAAGAGGTGTAAACACCTTGAAGGAATACATTGGTATAACGGTAAGGGGTGTGTATACCCTGTAGGAATACATTGGAATAACGGTAAGAGATGTAAAAGAGGTTTTGGTATAAGGGTAAGAGGTGTATATCGTCGGTGGGGTGACAAAACCTTGTATCTCAATTTTTTGAGGTTTGGATTTTTTTTGCATAATTGTGTACCTATTGGCCTATGACACCACCTGATAAATCCATGGAACGCCTCCTGTCTCGGTTTTTTCACAAATTCCACACAAAGGACGGTGTCACAGCACTAAATCTATTGAGACCGGAAATGTTTTTTTGCTCTCCTGAAAATTCATGATTTTTGAGATACGAGGTTTTGTCACCCCATCGACGATATACCATGCAAGAATACAATGGTATAAGGGTAAGAGGTGTAAACACCTTATACAATGTTATAAGGGTAAGAGATGTCCATGCAGGAATACATTGGTATAAGGGTAAGAGGTGTAAACACCTTATACAATGTTATAAGGGTAAGAGATGTCCATGCAGGAATACATTCGTATAAGGGTAAGAGGTGTAAACACCTTATACAATGTTATAAGGGTAAGAGATGTCCATGCAGGAATACATTGGTATAAGGGTAAGAGGTGTATATACCATGCAGGAATACATTGGTATAAGGGTAAGAGGTGTATGTATATCATGCAGGGATAGGATAGGGGTGTATATACCGGTAGTAAAGGTGTGTTTGGTACGATTGTGATCATGATGATGATGGTTGAGTGAGAGTGAGGGGATACCAGCAGCAGCCGGTGAGCTGCGTACCCGCATCAAAGGACGATGGCCACCAAACATTCCTGATCATGATTACAAGAAAGAAATGCTCATTTGGAACAGACATTCTACTCATTTGCAGAATAAGAACAAGAAAGGAAAAGATCAAACGTAACTAGAATACACACTAATGGCTTATGTAACTTGCAAAGTAAGGAAAGAAACAGAAAGGGAGAAAGGTGCCACATTTATTGAATATAAAAATCCAGTAAATCGTGTCTGAACATGCATTGGTCAATTTCCCTTGTACATTCCATAAGCACAGCAGATTTTATTTCACAAAACTGACAAAACAAAGTTCCTTTTATTTTCCATTCTTTCAGGATTCGCTTCTTTATTTCTCTCTTTTTTTACCCTCTTTTTTTAAAAAGTTTGTATCTAGTCAGAAAAATGCAGACAAATTGTATTTTAAAATGAAAAAGTACAAAACAATTTCTATTCACTGAGATCCTTTTAAAAACAACACAAGAGAAGTGAAAGTAAAAGGTGTTCTTTGTTCACGTTGTTTTGCCGCCCACCAATTAAAACACTGACACACAAAGTGCATGATATGATACAAAGAATCAAAGAAACACAAATCCACTACAATCCAGTACAGAATCTATGTTACTGAAACCACATAGATGAAGTGCACGTAGGTACATGTATAAATGAGTGATAATGCACTGTACATCAAATCACAACAGCAATAATATAGAGGTACTACACAAAGATTATAGTGTTATATAAGAAGTGCAATGACCTGCTATGTGCTAAGGAGCACAGAGGGAAGAGAATGTAAACACATGTTATTGACATATACTTGAGAAGAAGAAAAACAATTTAATACTAGGGACACAGTCAACCATACCAAAAAGGTGTTTGTTTTTTTAATTCATGACAAGTATTCTTACCTGTTTTGGTCATTGTTGAGGGTCTTAGCATGTCTAAATTATCCTGTAAATGAAAATAGCAAAAGAGAAAAGTATATTACAAAAAACAGTTAATATAAAGTAATTCCTCACATATTTAGAGGCATAAAAATCCAATAACTCACGACAACTACATAACAAGACAGGACAGAAACAAATTGAATTTTCCACTGCCTTGATTTCACATCAATTTTCCCCCACAGGAGAACTCTTCATGTTCATCATATGCATTGAAATACTGTACATCAGAAATGCTTTTGGCAACACTGTGGGTATGAGACATGGTTGTCATGACCTGAAAACCCCCTAACAAAAACATGTCAATATCACAATTCACACTGGTCAAATGTACACACTTTCAAGAAATCTACAAAGACTCTGGGCTTACACAAGTAGATCTTTCCACAGTCCTGCCAACCATCCAACCAAAAGACAGTACAGATTGTTTTTCATCCCCCCCCCCCAAAAAAAAAAAAAATCCTTCACACTATAAATACAGAAAGGGATCTTACCTCTCTAGATTTAGATATCTCTGTCTCTGCATCATCCTCTTCTTCCTCCTCCTCTTCTTCTTCAGTAAAATCAATTGGTTCTTGTTTGATATGGATGGCATTCTTAAGAGCTTCTTTAGCCTTGGACGGTGATGGCATGTTAGGTGCTCCTGAAGCAGTAGCTCCTGCAGCGGATTCTGATTCAGATTCTTCTTGTTCTCTCTCTTCTTGAACTCTCTCTTCACTTCTCTCTTCAAGGAGCTGTACAAACAAAGACAAAATCAACTTATCTTTATCATATGACCAGATCATGCTTGATAACTAACATGCATCTCGTATTTCCTTTAACATACCGTTTAAAACATTTAAGGAATGTGAATTTTGAGCTCATTTAGTGTTACTAATCAATAACAACAGATTCTCACAATTTAAAAAAGCTATCGGGATGTGATCAAAAGTGATGTTCCCAATGGTTCATGCAATCAGGTGTTGTTTTTTTATAAAAATTACCATTATCTAGACATAGGTCTGCAAACATAAGACGTTGCTTCTTGTTGTTGTTGTTGTTAGGTTTTTAGGCTGTCCAATCTGAAAAGATTATTTCTGCCATTTGGTAATGACCATTATATAGCATAGTATCTGTAATTACATAATCACTGTGGGTAACATCGCACCCTTGCATCTCTATAGAATATTACCTTTTGATAAGCAAGATTGTTGAGGAGTTGATGCGGTTGCTGTAGTAACTGTGAATGATGATGATGAGAGAGTAACATAGAATGTGGTCTCTGGCTGGTAGGAACTTGCTGGTTGTTAGGCAGAGGGGCAGAATGGGTCCTCACTAGGGGTCTATGCGTCACCGGTCTGAAACACAATGCAACATATTAAACATCTCTAATAAATGTACGTCTTTTCCATGAACAGTAAATATAAATGTGATTCTTAAAGTGCCTTCCTGAAGAGAGAGGTATCATGGTATATCCCAAGTTTTTAGAATGGACTGGTGATAGCATTCTCAAACATTCTCAAACTGACTTCCTACTATGTGATACCCATTAGCTAAACTTTGGTGTAACGCTAGTATTGTATTTGGCATTCAAAGACCACAGTTATATCACAGTTGATTAATGTCAAACGACAAATATTTTAAACAACATTTTAGCTTAGCCTTAAAGATCGTCACCACTACTGGGCCAGAAGGGATTAGACCACACAGAGAGCCATCGAGGTCACTGTGACAGGTGGCTATCTCATTAACTCAGCTCTCATTTAACATAAGAAAAAGAGGATCATGGGGGACCAACAGGCACCGATTAGGGAAGTTTTCTATATAGAGGGAGCAAGTAGCTACAAGTATGGCAGTGTGCCTTTAAACAAACAGTTCGATAAAATCGATTCATTAAACCAAACTCAATCTTGCAATATAGAAAGAGTTGTTCTGTCTCCTTTATCTTCCAATTGAGCAATTTCTTCCCTCCATAGCTGATGGTATAACTTTATATTTTTGAATTTTACTTTGAATGATACCTTTAATGAATATCATTATCACATTCATCACTAACTGCGCTAAAGAAAAAAAGGACCCAACTTAATCATAAGAACCCTCAGGTTTTTCATCCCGATATAAATATTTAGGATATGCAGGTGTACGTCTACACCATAATGACCCTCTAGTCTTTTATGAAGAGTGCAGAGTATCTGTTAAGATATGTATAGATTGTATAATGTGGTATCCTACCTGATTGGTTTTGGATGGATTCCGATTTGAGCAGCTGACATGGCGGCTGTCTGGGCCTGCTGAAAATCCTGGAAGGTCATACAAGCTAAATGTGCAGGATTAATACCAGCTAGAGAGAGAGGTGCACCTGTTACAACAAAGAAAATATCAATTTAAAAAAACCCTCATCCTCCTCTTCCTTATCATCATCATCATCATCATCATCATCATCATCATCATCATCATAATCATCACCACCATCACCGTCACCATTATCATAATCACTATCATCATCATCATCATCATTATCATCATCACCACCACCACCGTCACCATCACCATCATCACTATCATCATCATCATCATCATCACCATCATCACTATCATCATCACCATCATCATCATCACCACCACCACCACCACCACCACCACCACCACCACCACCACCACCACCACCACCACACCACCACCACCACCACCACCACCACCACCACCACCACCACCACCACCACCACCACCACCACCACCACCACCACCACCACCACCACCACCACCACCACCACCACCACCACCACCACCACCACCACCACCACCACCACCACAACCCCCCACCATCCCCAACACCACCACCACCACCACCAACATCATCCTCATATCATTACTTTCATCTAGAATACTGACTAACTTACCAGGAAGGTATGGATTAAGAGGTGCAGCACCTAACATGGATGCTGTTGGTAGACCTGGTTTCACTTGGCCCTGGAAAGGAGTAGAAAATTACATTCAGAGTCTTCAATAAAAGCCAATCCAATAAATAAAAAATATATATGAATGACTCCTCTTTGGCCAGTACGAGAAAAGCTTGCACAGTGTGTTTTATCTGGTATGGTTCATGCATGTTGACAAACCATAAAATAGTACTTACTACACACGGTCTATGCATGTAGGGTTCTTAAATATTTCAATGATGAAACAGTATATCTTAATATCAACATAGACATAATGTAATGCCACAGTATAATTCAATGCCAAATAATGTTTTTTTTCTACATAATTTTGGATCAATTTCAAGAGCATTATAAACATTCATTTTTGTTTTCATTGTTATTGTTTGCTTCACTTCAATGTTCCTGATATAATTATTTTTTGTATTTTCAAAACAAATTTAATTTAATTCACATGTGGTCACATTAGGAAGAGTAGCGTGTGAATGAAAAGGACCATATCATTCAATCACATATGTCAACAAAGCCCAAACTGATACATAAATCTAGCGTACACTGCCATAATACATGAAATAGGTTCTATGCATATATAGCTCTACTCTGTAACAAGCTGCATAATAATCTTCCCATTAAAACCAAATTTGTTGTTTGTTTCATAAATAGCCAGGCAACTGAGATAGCATGTTATAATTATAACTCACTACCCCATGCCAACTTTTATCCTGTCTTGCCAAACTCTTTCCTGCCAAACAAAAAGAATTGAACCCCCTTGCCAATGTTGAACTCAGCCACTGTTTCTCTAGCATACCTCCTGTTGGGCAATGCTCATCTTGAATTACATTAGGATTGCAGGCAAGGTGCCAATAGTAATATTATCATCAACAATATCTAAATTCAGTCTATAGATAACACAGAGGTTGAATTAGACATCAATCTGGTACGTATCTTTGAAGTGACATTGTAATGTCTGGTTTATATTTACTCAATCATCAACACACAATGGACAATAACTATAAATACATCCTCATACCCCCCCCCCCCCCCCCCCCCAATACCATAATGTCTCTTGAACAATGAATCACAGTTCAATGCAAAACATGTTTCATACCAGGTAGTTTAGTTAGAAAGAGGGCTTAATTATAACCAATTTTAAATTTGCCTTGTTCTCAATCTTTCCATGTTCAACAACGGACAAAATGATAGATAAATTATATACATGCTCAGGAAATATACATTATCCTTCTCTCCGCTATTTCTTTCTTTATTTCTGTCTATCATTCTCTCTGTCTTCTACACTTGCTGTATTTCCTAGCAATGATAGTTTTGGCAAAATTTGTAACTCTTATAAAAAAAAAAATATATATATATATTGAACAAACAGACAATAAAAACAGATAGAAACCCACATATTGGCAAATAGATTGATAGCTAGTGCAAACACATCTTCCCTCTTTGGCAATGACACTTAAAAATGGAATTAATTTGAAATAATAATGAAAGCTTTCAGCATCAGGATATCCTACATTGGCTCATGAAGCTAACAATTATCTCCTCCACTTTCAGCCTTAACGAAGCTACATGTCATCTCTCTCTTCCAAGTCTTTTCATAATGTTGCTTTTTTAAATCACAATATCATATTCATCATTGATTTTGAACTGCTTCATACATTCCTCTTCTATTAAGGGTCACTAAACTCCTGTAATAACACTATAACCCAAATACAATACTGTCACGCTATTTCCCAAGGGGTGGGGCAAGTTGAATGCATACACACACCATTTCCTATAGGTGGGGCAAGGTTGAAGCAGGTCCTGCCATTGTGTATCTCAGAATGTCTGTATTGGCAGCCTAACACAATTACTTTCTTCCTTCCTCTCTTTCCTCTTGTTCCATTCAATCCTTTATATCCTTTTCATTTTGGCAAGATTTCAACTATTCTCATTTTCTATCACAGGAATACTTTTCAAGGATTTGATCAAATTCTTTCTCTGAATTTCAAAGGTGCATGACTTTAATCACAACAAAAGAATTTTTTTACTTGTTACATGTACACTGTATTCTTTTTTTTAACTCTAACTTTAAGATTATTCAATAAATATGGCCAGTGTTGTTGGTTATGTTTCTTATCAGAGGTGGCGAGTGTTGTGATTTATATATGACTTAGTTTCTTACCAGAGGTGGTGAGTGTTGTGGTTTATATATGATTTAGTTTCTTACCAGAGGTGGTGAGTGTTGTGGGTTGTATATGACTTTGTTTCTTACCAGAGGTGGTGAGTGTTGTGGGTTGTATATGACTTTGTTTCTTACCAGAGGTGGTGAGTGTTGTGGGTTGTATATGACTTTGTTTCTTACCAGAGGTGGTGAGTGTTGTGGGTTGTATATGACTTTGTTTCTTACCAGAGGTGGTGAGTGTTGTGGGTTGTATGAGATTTTGTTTCTTACCAGATGTGGGGAGTGTTGTGGGTTGTATGTGATTTTGTTTCTTACCAGATGTGGTGAGTGTTGTGGTTTATATATGATTTAGTTTCTTACCAGAGGTGGTAAGTGTTGTGGGTTGTATATGACTTTGTTTCTTACCAGAGGTGGTGAGTGTTGTGGGTTGTATATGACTTTGTTTCTTACCAGAGGTGACGAGTGTTAAGGGTGGTATATGATTTTGTTTCTTACCAGAGGTGGCGAGTGTTGTGGGTTGTATATGACTTTGTTTCTTACAAGAGGTGACGATTGTTAAGGGTGGTATATGACTTTGTTTCTTACCAGAGGTGGCGAGTGTTGTGGGTTGTATATGACTTTGTTTCTTACCAGAGGTGACGAGTGTTAAGGGTGGTATATGATTTAGTTTCTTACCAGAGGTGACGAGTGTTGTGGGTTGTATATGACTTTGTTTCTTACCAGAGGTGGTGAGTGTTGTGGGTTGTATATGACTTTGTTTCTTACAAGAGGTGACGAGTGTTAAGGGTGGTATATGATTTTGTTTCTTACCAGAGGTGGCGAGTGTTGTGGGTTGTTTGCAGCAGGAATCCCGATAGATATGTTAGGTAGAGATGGAGAGCTGTAGAGATCATTCACTACACCGTATAACCTCTGCTTCAGCATCATCTTAGTCGCGCTACTTGCCTCCTGAAATAAAAACATTATTTGTTTAAAATTACCAGATCTGAAAACAATTTTTCATTAAACATAACAAACATCCCAATGCAGTAACGTATCTACCTTGTAACACCATCATCCACAAACCAACATGATAAAGAAATATAAGATATCTGAGATGATAGCTCACCGAAAGCAATTTAAAATGTATATCCACTGCTTAAACATCTTAAAATCTCTAGTAATTGGTGACAGCTAGAATATAATGACTTGCTAAGCCTTTTATTTAGATGGAAGTGATAAGTAGACTAGTGAGACTTACCTCAGGTAATGCTGCTACAGATAGTCCATTAGGACTATCACCCCCTCCAGCAGCTCCAGCACTGAGTGGTGAACTAGGACCGGATCCAGGAGCACTGTTTGATGAAGTATCTACTGTGAAATAAAACAACAATCATAATCATCCTTCTACAACATACAGGCAAGGCTATCTTCAATAACAACAGGTGTTTGTCCAGATCAAATCTAATTAGGTAACTTTTATTTTGCAGATGTAATAACCGGACTTTTGAACCTGCATAACTCTGAGTCCAATCAAACACTTGCAACAAAATGGACCTCACTGATTTAAACAGTAAAATGTTGAATTACAAACTCTGCCTTTAAGCCATAGATATGATATCACCTGTTCAATAAGCCCTCAATTATGTGACTCTATATATTGTGTAATTCATTTGGATGGGAGAGAGAGAACATAATCAGATAATCTTCCATGTGTGTGAGACTTTCCTGCTGTTACTCAGTGGGAAGATGAGACCGACTGAAAGTGTGTTGACCTTTTAGTGTGAGTTAGCATCCATTGAGCCAGGAAGCTTCTAATCATCAACTACCTATCCCGCTTGCCAATTCTTATATCAACACACACACACATCATCGTAACCATCCTTGGACCAGTTTACCCCACCCCTTTCTTTTTTGTCCATTTTTCAACAAAATAAACTTTCTGGTATGCTGACAGAAAGGCCTATTATTCATCAATTTACCTTTTAGTTAGCTTACTTGAGTTTGTAAATTGAGTTCATTAAATTGTAATATAATCAATTTTGTAAATTGTGTACATTAAGTGTACACATTTTTATAATTCATCTTTCTGCTCATATATGCATGTACCCAAAATTATTTTGCAGACTTCTTTGATTTTAGTTCTTAATACCAAGTTACTCGCAAGTCAAGTCTACACAGCTTTTAAATTCTTTTCTTCTTCATTGGACTGACTGTAAATAATACAGGGTAATGATCCCAAAACAAATTTGCATTTGTAATTTCTCATTTGTATTTGATGACAATGTCTCATGCAAGAAGCCCCTGTTAAGCCTGTTAATATAAGTAGGGCAAGTGCTCATGACCAAGTAACAAAAATAAACTTACAGTTGAGTTCTCCACTGATGGGTTTCCGTTTGAGAGAGTTTGGTCCTTCTCTTCTTCTCAAGAGAGGGCTACCATGAGTACGTCTCTCCGTAACCTTCTCTTTCAATCTGGATCTTACTTTCAAGTTGGAGTCAGATGCTGCAGGAAAGGAAGAAAAAGGGGAAAACTATATAATTAACCATTGCCTTATACAATCACATTGCATACATGCATGATAGTAATCAATACTTGTCTCTTCTCCCCCTCAAATTCCAAATAACTGTAATATCTGATTTGGTATTATTTTCATTAGTAATTTTGTTTGCTTGTCAAATGAAAATATTAACAAAAATAGTAACAAAATAAATCCATCATATCTACACATACAAATTATTGGTAAAATTTGGATTGTAAAATCAAAGCATGTTTATTTATGATTTGAATCCATTTGATAACATCTATCATGAATGTGTACATATAAAGCAAGTTAAATAATGAAATGAAATAATTACCCATGAAAGCTGAAAATTATGTTATTAGCTACTGTATTATTCATAAATCAAATTCACATAACAAACAAGTCCAAATACCCTTCCCCCACTCTTTTTTCCACTTTCTCTCCTTCCCAATTTATGTCTCCTTCTGTCTCTCATTCTCTACAGCTATGTTTCTTCTCTGGCCCTCTCTCTCTCTCTCTCCTCCTCTACCCCCCCCCCTCCCCCACTCCCTCTCTCTCTCTCTCTCTCTCTCTCCTTCTCTACCCCCCCCCTCCCCCACTCCCCTCTACCTCTCTCTCTCTCCTTCTCTACCCCCTCCCCCACTCCCCCCCCCCCCTCTCTCTCTCTCTTTCTCTCTCTCTCTCTCTTGGTCTCTTCCATTATATATTGTGTCTTTTTCAATCAGTACTTATTTGCGTGCAGAAGATATCATTCATTATTCAGATTAGATTGGTTTGGTACACACACAATGGAACCAATACTATCTTTGCAAGGTAAGATAAAATATTGAGACTTGGTTTTCCCCATAATAGTTTACAGCCTTCCAAGAATGACAAACCATAATCTAACCCATGATACATAAATAACTTCACATTGTCAAAGGTGGCTTCACTTCCTCAATAATATATGACCATTTTCAACACTACACTACACTTCAGTTCAGCAGATCTTGCAGATGCATGAATTCATGTCATCTACAAATCTGAAATATTCCATTTGTGTCTCTTTCTGACAAATCAACCAAGAAGGCCTAAAATAATGGCTCAAGACAAGTAGCCCCATTTCTGAATTTAATGCCTAACTCAAGTAAAACATTATTCATTTTGAAGTGAGTGTAATGTATTCCTTCTCATTAAGACTGTATATACATGTACCTTGTTAGCTTATTGCACACAAGGTGTACTGCAAATTGAGCAATCACATACACTAGTACATACACGTATTGACATTATAAAAATGCAAATTTGTTCAGCAATGTCACGCATAATTATCCCCATGTACAGGTGATCATCATAACTGTAAAATTTGTAGCAGGTGCGCGCTACATGATATCAAGTTGGTTTGCACTGAAGCAGAAAAGTGAGAGAAAAAGGTCAGTGAAAGTTTAAGCAAATTATGATTAAAAATAAATCGTTTTGGCAATTACAATACAGTGAAATATCTTACGAGCTATTTCACAATTTGTTCTCTTCAACCGAGGTCTCCTCGTCTTTCTTTATTCTACATTACCAAAACGTGGGGGGAAAGATCATTTGCATACTCTAGTCCTAAATTATGGAATGGCCTTCCTGAAGACATCAAAAAATGTTTATCTTCTGATTCTTTCAAAACTCATCTCAAAACATTCCTTTTCAAGTCTTGATCGTTTTTCCTGTTTACACGCGCCTTGAGCACTCCACAGAGTGGATTTGGCGCGATATAAGTTACATTATTATTATTAATTTATTATTATTATTGTACTGTAATGATTATACACTATTATATTTTGTCACATGTGTTTTCTGGAGAAGTGCAGAAGTTCATAAACTTTCATTTTGTTTGTTCTTGATGACAGAATAAATTTGTTTCATACAGGTGATGTATAAAAACATATTTGCAATAAATATATTAAGGGTGAATGTATTATGATAACAACTTTCTTCCGGGAATTGTTTGTTTGTTTGGTTTTTGTACAGAGCAAATGGGAGGGGAGCTCGCAAGATACATCACACAGTTGCCAATTTGTGTTGGTTTGATCACAACGTCAAAAATAAATAACTTTCTTAATTTTAATCAGAATTTGATTAATCTGTCACTGACCTTCTCATTTTTTTGTTGATTCTATTAAAACCAACATAATATCAGGGTGGACGTACTACCCCTTTAAATCATGATTTCTGTGCTCTCTCTCTCTCTCTCTCTCTCTCTCTCTCTCTCTGTCTTACCATGTTCTTTTTGTTTTAAATGTATATTTTCTTTGTTTGTCATTCCTATGTGTATACAAACCTTGACCACATTTCTAATTGAACAAGGTCCCTTTCATTTCCTCCTATTATCAGTCCATTCAGTTTCAATGAATGGATCAAAACCTTAAAATAAAAGACAAGCCAAGTGCATGAAAGATGACAAGAGGGATATGCTTCCTCTTAGACGGAAATTTGCCAGCTATCTAGTTGATTAGTGGGCAGGGCAGCAGGCATGCAGGCATGGCATGGCAGAGGTTGTTCAGCTGAGCTGAGCTGAGCTGAGCTGGTTTGAGAAGAGAAGGTTTGATGAAAACTAGAGCGCGCTACATAGAAAGGTCAGAGGGAAAGTAGAGAATAGCCAGCCAAGGATGGGAATCAATCAATAATGCAGAACCTTGTACGCTGGTAGGCTAAAAATAAAAATCTCATCGATATGTAATAAGTCCTGACCTGGGAGGTACCTAGCCAGCGAGGGAGAGACAAGAGATCGTTGATCATCACGTACAGATATCAACAACTACAGTATCGATGGTGCATGTCCTCATAGTCAACAAGATACGATAGGCTCCAATGAATATTGATAAGGAACGATTAAATACTTGTAAAATTAACTTTGGCTACATGTAAAAATAACAAATTGTTAGTTTTAACAATCTGGCAAGGCATTTATCAACTAACTTTGGTATCTTTTTATTCTCTGACAGAAGCATAAAAGAAGGCAACTATTCTGCATCATGGCAGCCATTAATATCATTGTTAAACTATCTCTATTCATTGATAAACGTCATAATCATGGCTGCATGTACATGTACAAACTCTGCACAATCAGCAGTACATATTACGAAAACTAATTGCAGATCTTTAATGATTGTTTTCATGTACTTAAATGTCATTTAAGCAGTTACCAACCATATCCATGTCGCCAATTGCTTTACTCTTTTATTGAATATTAGATATACTCACTTTATATTATGTAAATGCAAGTAATGATAATTTGAACACTACAACAAGATGTACATTTATACTGTCAAGTTAAGTGAATCTATAAAAAAAACCTATGTCGAGGTGCTATCCTTACATGTATACTATAGTTTGAATAGTGTGTATTATTCATTTTTAAATATTGATGTATTTTCATAAACATCATTTTATATGTACTATAATCCAATAAGTCGCACGTACTTGGTAGATTTAAGGGAGTATTCCCAGTGGGGGGAAGGATGACCTAATTTAGAGATCAACGCTTCAAAAGAAAAAGGAAATGTAAACGGTGAGTACGCTTCACGCTTGGCTTCACGATTCACAAACTGCGGTGGTTGCTTGCTATTACACCTTGAGTATTTGCATTAGAGAGCTATGAATAGGTGCAGCTAGTCAACAGAGTTAGCATAGCATCCAGGCCAGGCCAGGCCAGGCAGGCCAGCTAGGCCAAGGTACAAGGTTATGTTGATGGAGTTCATTGTCATAGATCAACACTATACTGCATGGACGCACCTAGCTAGCTCAGTCAAATAGAGAAATGAGAGCAAGTTTGACATCTTTTGAAAGCTATTATTAGAGTGTGTACAGAGAGAGCTTTTATTTATTTCTATTTCCTGCTATGATGTTATCAATCAACACGCTGTGAACAAGATTCTGAACACTTGAAAGCTCAAATATAAAATGAAACAGACACAATGTGTATGACATCGTACAATCTATGTGCATTCTAAACAACATGTTATGTGGAATAATGAGTCAAACCCAAATGTGGATATTTGTTTGTTAGTATCCTGTCAAGTAATAAACACCTCTTCAAAATGAAATACAAATATGAACAAGATTGAAAGAATCTATAATTTTACTATTTTAGCAACGAGTATTATAAGTTACAAAGTCCATTAGAAAGATAAGTGTTAAAAGAAAACGTACATTGATTTACCTTTAAAACTATAGAGCCCACACTTCTCAAACATACACAGACAGATAGTATAAACCTTCAACATTGAGTTGACAATGCTTTCTTGCTTTCTTTCTTCTGTCTGAGTTTCTTTCTTCCCTCCTTTCTTCCTTCATTTTTGAGAGATGATGTTAAGGTGCTCTTTCCAATTTTAAAAATGAAAACGATTGTCCTAAATGACCTCCAAACCCCATGTCACTGTGAGGATCTAGCAGTATGTAGCTACATAATTCTCAAAAATTACCTTTCATGAAAATCTACTACATGTTCATGTATAATTCATCAATGAATTCTCTTCTCTCATCAAACCAGAATTTTTTTTATCTGATGAATAATTATCCTGCATTACATCAAAATATGCATATATGTAGACATATGTTTGTGTAACCTTCAAAGCATTTAATCAAAATCAATCCAGCTTTGCTCAATCAGTGCCTAGCTAGCTCAAGGTGAAATCAATGTACATGAACAATGAACCAGTGAACAAGGTGTGTGTCTATGCATGTGTGTGTACAAGTAGAGACTGAATTGTAATAATGTTTATGACATTAAACATTAACCAATAAGTAAACATCCACCTGATGGGTGATATACTGTATCCTGTTAATGATGTCATTGACGTTGCACAGAAAGGTAACATGAAGCTCCTCATTAGAAAAAAATGAAAGCTTTTTTGTGTGTGTTGTCCCTCCTCCTCCTTTTTCTTCTTTTAACTTTTTACTTTTTGTATTTACTTCTATCTTTCTTTCTTTTTTTTTCTTTCCTTCTTTCTTTCTTTTCTTTTAATAAAGTCCATAGTGATTCAAGAATAACAGGATATACATATCACACACACACACACACACTCTCTCTCTCTCTCTCTCTCACACCCTCTCTCATATCTACTTTATCAAATAAAAATACTTACATGTACCGTATGCTTTAAAATAGATCAGTGTTTTCACCAAGGGATTCTCTACAAATTTGATTCCTACTAGGTACCCCCTACACAATAACTCTCATTCAATCTTACGCAGCATATACATGTACTCCTATTAAGGAATACTTGATAAGAAAAGAGCAAATGATACTGACACAACCATACTTTCAAAACAACATGAGTCCTTTCCTTTAAGCAGATAAGGCTCAAAATATTTGTTATAATTATCCAGATTCTGTCACAACTATATCATGATTTTTTTTAAATATACAAAATGTATGCCTTGCATTAGACGATTCAGCAATGAGTGTCAATGCAGCCAGGCAAGTTGTGGTTTTTTTTTTACATTAGCATATGATGATAGAATGAGTAATCTAATTGATCATACCTGTTTTTCTGAGGGGAAAGTTGCTGCTATCATATTGGCCAAACCCCATTGGCTGGTGATGAAACTGGGGTGATACATTATGTGGAGGGGAATGGTGATCCATCGAGCTGGGAGGGGTCCTGTCAAAAAATCAAAATAACATGTCATGATTAAAATGCATCTTGAAGGGGAAGTCCAACCTGGTATTAAGTTAGATTTAATAGGAGCAGAAATATTAGAGAAACATGTCAGTGAAAGTTATGAGCAAAACCCAACTAAAAATAAGAAAGTTATGCCTTTTTGAAGGTGTGATCCAATAAACACATTGGCAACTCTGTGAGGTATCTTGCCAGGTCCTCTCCCATTTGCCCTACATACTATTAAATAACAAATTAAATATTAATAGTACTTAAAATATTGTGAGAAAAATTAATTCAATTATGTAGGTTGGTTTCATTTGTAGGACCCTGGGAGTAAAGATGAGCATCACAACCACATCCTCCTCACCCACCCCTCCCCTCCCCACTCCACACCCCACCCCTACCCACTCCTCTCCTCACCCCCACCCCACCCCTCCCCACTCCCCACCCCACCCCTCCCCACTCCTCTCCTCACCCCACCCCATCCCTCCCCACTCCACACCCCACCCCTCCCCACTCCTCTCCTCACCCCACCCCATCCCTCCCCACTCCTCACCCCACCTCACCCCACCCCTCCCCACTCCCCACCCCACCCCACCCCTCCCCACTCCCCACCCCACCCCTCTCCCTCCTTTTCCCTCTCAAGCTGTATGTAGAGACCCTAGGATCCCAGGCATTTCATTCATTGAATCCTGGTATTGAGGTTTGATAAGATAATATATGTGGTTGGTTTCTGTCAAGCAGAGTATGTTTTTTTACTTTCAAAAGAAAAACAGAGTTCAACCTTTTAAAAGTAACTGACCATCAAAGATGTTAGAAAATGAGACATATTAAACCTAATGTATGCTATAGACATACATGTCTATTATCAAATGAAATATTATACAAAATAATGGCATTGAGGTTAATACAAGGAAATCAACAAGAACGTTGAATATTATATTTCCTTATTGACAAATTATGAAAATAATCATTTTTGATCCAATCAAACTTTTACATTTTGTAAGATAAGGGGTACAAACTTAACAGACAATGAAGGTTAAACATGCATTTACACTTAATCCGTATTTCACATTCCACTCACATATTCCCAATATGCACAGACTTTCATACAAAATTGAAATTGATATGAGTGGGTTACTAATAGGAAAAACACTCATTTAATACAATCCCCATACTAGCTTTTGGTTATATTCAAAGGTGTATGTATTCACTAGTCACTCAAACATGCAAAACTCACTGACTTATACAAATAAATGAAAAACTGGTTTTGCAATATATCTGTTCAAGGGTCAACAAACTCTATATGTGGGTCGAGTCATATATCTCTTTTATTATACAAGTATCTATTCTCTAGGACTAATAGATCAGTGATTGAAAGCAACGTGTAACCACAGAGGACAAACAGGATAAGGAGTCTGATGCTATGATATTCTTGGAAAAGTACATGAATAACCTAATAAAGCATTCACCATAGAAAGTATCATAAAAACCTCTATATCAAATGGACTTTAATTAATGAAAGAAAACTGTTGGACTGGATTCTAAATTTCAGTTTGATAGTTTGATAATCATATATCCTTTGAATCTTAATGATAAAATGTCCCTATGTTATTCATTCTTCTCTCTTCTGGGGATAACCATTTAAATGTATACGAACAATGTACCATCGTGCACAACCAATTGAAACGTTTCCCTCTTCCTAATTTCCAGCTTGTTTCAAAAGAGACTTACCAATGCCTATAGGGAGGTGAGTGGTTAAGAGGTCCACTCCCTCCATAGTCGGTTCTTTGTTGCCGATTCAAGAGAAACTTCTGCAGTTTATCCTTAACTTCTGTTGAAGCATTGGCACCTAAGGAATGAAAACATAAAACATTCATAAGAAATTGTGAATTTCTAAGTACTCTTTTTGTATGTTTTAAAAATATATGTCTTTAGAAATGCTGTTCCATCTCAATAACAATACCCAATACATTCAAAGATGTGTTCAATTTTAAATGCACAAAGTAAATCAATACTGCTTCATTAGATGCTGATACTGATAAGACTTTACATGCATGACAATAAATGAAACAAGACAAAACTCAACCTTCCTTAGGCATATCTTTTCTTTTCCTCATCTCCTATTCACAAATTCAGTGAGCTATTGCCATGGTTACAAACCCTGCAATACCATATATATATATATATATATATATATATATATATATATTGTGAATGCATCTACAAAATGCATTCTTTTCATGCCTAATCCTTTTTTTAAAGTAAGAACTCGATCGCTCTCTATCTCGATCTATATTTGTGAAAGCAGAAAAACTCTCCTTTTGATTCAAAAGAGACTTCTTTACACCCTCTTATTAAGTCAAACACTTTTTTGTATCAAAATCTATTTTGAGAGGCGTTTTCTCGCAATCTTTGCATGATCGTATTTATATCTCAATCCACATTACGCGTCTTGCCGATTCATCATGCCAAAAATAACTCCAGCGACTCGAGCAACGTCAGTCCACTGTTTGCCTCTCTCAAACAAAAGGGACAAGGTATCGCATAAAACAGAGTAAGAATGCATCCCTGAAAGATATTCCACATTACACGTATGTAGAGAATGAACACAGCTCTGTAGAGACATAACAACTTCTCTTCTTGTAAAGTCTTTACAGAATCCATTTTATGATCAATCTTTTTATGTCTATCTCCTAACTGCTAACTAAAGAAGATTTAACCACTCAAGATAAATATATTACTACATGTATCTTTATCTAATACTCAATGGAAATAATGTTCTTTTATGATGTAAAAATATTTTTTCTATAGTTTGCTACATCTTGATGTAAAATGTACCACAACATTCAGTTAATCTCAATTACTGAAAATGCATAATTCATGACGGAAAGAAAACTTCCTGAAATAATTTTTGACCAAAAAAACTTCAAAAGAGAAATTATATCAATATTTAAAAATAATAACAAAATTTCCAGCTCTCCATTTATACAATCATCATAGTAAATTTAATAAATGAATATTTCTAAATTATTATCACCTTCCTTCCCCTTCAGCTTTCTACTCAATTACATTTAATAAACTAAACAACACTTTACTGCTTAATAATGATCTCAATAACAGCTTGACAAAAACAATTGCCATCCTCTACTCTGTTTAATCCTCAACTTCCAATTTCTTCATCCATCTTTCAACCGCGAATCTTCCCAACCCCCTCAATCGCAAAAATATATTTTTAGCAGGATGAAAATAGCCTGGATGCTAAAAAGAGTCTCTGTGTACTGTGAGAGAGAGGGAGAGAGAGAGAGGGGAACTGAATGGGAGACAGTGAAAACCTCATCCGTACAACAACACGGTCCTACATACGTCACAGCACTAGAGCAGCGCATAATTGCATTTCCATGAATCGTGTCTAAAAGACGCCACTTTTAGACAGGAGGAGAGAGCTAGAAATAGAAAGAGGTAAACAGACTTGCTGACGTACGTACGTACACAGGATAAATGCTGGAATAAGAAGGAGAGCTAGGGAGGGTACCACGCTCGCTCCTCACTTTCCCATAACGGGCAACAAACTATTGATTTTATTGAACCTTACAATATTTTTAACTTGTAATTTTATCCCCATGTCTTAAAATGGGATTGCAGCAGTTGAGATATTTTCCTTGTTTTCTGATGTGAGACTCTAGTTCTATAAATGCAGACATTGTTCCTATTTAGGTAACACTGCTTGCTATTAAAGACATATCCTGTTTGTATTGTACTCATAATTTCATGTGCATGCATATGCATTCAGCAGACCAATGAACATAGCTCCAGAAATAAGTTGTATTCATGTGGACAATTTGATTTTTGTGTTGTTGTTTTGGGTTTCTTAAATCAATTTCCACAATGGCAGTATAAATTATCCACTAACCATTGTTTTCCTAAAATCTCTACAATTAACTCCTTTTCCAAAGACCAAAATATTGTCTCTAGTGACTTTATCTTCATCTTGGAGCATTGAGAAATCTTCCACTTCCTGCAATTGCCATCTCTTTGAAGATCTCACAGATATTCCTCCTCCTCTACCTCCTTCCTTACACTCTCTCCTACAGTGTGTCTATCCTTCATTATCCTTATCTCTCAGCCCCTTCTCTCTCTCTCTCTCTCTCTCTCTCTCTCTCTCTCTCTCTCTAGCCATTCTGTATCAGCTCTAGAATGTTGGAAAGGCTATCACACACATTCCCTTCCCATCATCTCTCTGTAGCATCTCCTTTCTGCTCTCCTATAGTGTAGGCCTGTAATTATGTGTACCCCCCCCCCCTCCTCTCTCTCTCTCTCTCTCTCTATCCATGCCTATCTCCTCTCTTCGCCCTTTTCATTCTTTATATACTTTCTTTAAAACAACCTTGTAAAGGTATTTCTACTTAATTAACTAATTCTTCTTCCCTCATATCTCTCACATATACGCACACATACCAAATATCTTTTGGATTGGATTGGATACCTTCCACCTTCTCAGTACAAGAAATTCCTTTCCATCTCCATTCCTCTCCATCTTCTTCCCCTCTTTCTTCAATCATCGCAGCTGTACACCTTGCATGACGACACCCCCCCCCCCTCTCTCTCCCTCTTCCTACCTACCTTACATCCTGCAAGACAATTCTATTCTCTGCACTTGAACGTGATCAGTACAAGGGCTTCTAAAACCTTTCCCTCGCTCGCTCGCTCCCTCCCTGCTAAAAATAGCTCAGCTAGCAGATGCGCTGCCTGCCTTTCTCTCTCTCTCTCTCCGTCCGTGGTTAATAAAGCCCCATCACAGCGATGTTGCGTACATCCAGCCATATTGTGTGTCACTAGAGAAGATCCCCGCTTTCCCCGGGGTAGTACCGCTGCTGAGCTTCAAGCCTGCCTGCCTAGCTAGCTACGTGGGCGAATGTTTGTGCGAGCGCTCAACCATCGCTCATCCATGTATTTAAAAATAGCCTTCCCCCATCGGGAAGTCAGTTGCAGAGCGACCAAAATAGACGCTCTAAATTTGGCGTTGTATTTGTCGAGTTGTGACGATTTTAGAAAATCTCATTTGGAAAAGGTATTTTGTTTCCGCATTTAGCCAGAAAGCATTTGCGGTGAAAAACTCCAGTATAAAGATGAGAAAATAAAATCTCTATAAAGAAGAACAATTAGGATTTAAACGATTGCGTACAAGTGAATGTCTAAAATTATCTTGCATACGTTCATCAAAAAAACATACATCCTCCAGAAAATCAAGCTAGCAATAAATTCTTGAATATTTATTGTTCCATTTTTGAGGAATTACGTCAAAAGACGGAAACAATTAAACACTACCATTACAATAAAGAGAAAAACTTGTGACATCATTAAGAGTCTATCCAATCCATGGCATTACGATATAGGGATAATTGTGTGGGGTGTTGTTTCTGACAGGTATTATTTGAAGGCTATACATTTTGTATGCGATTGTACCAAACTGCATACATTGATGTGTTACAGGAGAAAGGTATTGATGTTTTCGAATAAAAATACATGTACACATCTTCTTCTTCTTAATAAGAGTTACACAGCTGTTGTTTCTTTCCAATGATCTACTTTGCTTGAAGAGTAAATCATTACAGGACAATAGAAGTCGACATCATGTTCATATACTGGGTATGTCCATATTACAATAACAAACATCTCTCTGATCAGACTAATTGACCTTTTTCATGCGTCATGCATACATGTATTGTGTATAACGTCCTTGTTTTCACGAAGTGACGGTAGTGAGGAAAATCGTCACGCAAAGTGAATGCAATTTTTTTTCACTACCGTCACTTTGTGAAAACAGCGACGATAATTGTCTTGTCTTTCAAAAGGAATTAATGCACTTCAGATCTGAAAGTCAGGAGCTAGACCCTTGATATAAACAAGAAGCCTGGGGAAAGCTCTTTCTTTCTAAAGCTCTATAATGAGAAGAACAAGCTTTATAGTCTTCAGATGAGAGTACGATGTGGTAAAAGGATAGAATCTTCAATCTATATACTTCTTAAAAATCATGAATACTGATAAAGCTATCGATCATTACTCACTTCACTTTACTCTTGCCTTTACTTTGCATTACATCCATAATACAATGCATTCAATCATTTTCATTTCCATTACAACCAGTCACTAAATGCCTTGTATTCATCCTACTTGACTAAGTATCTATTTAGAATAAATGCCTTAGATTCATCCTACTCGACTAAGTATCTATTTAGAATGAATGCCTTGTATTCATCCTACTCGACTAAGTATCTATTTAGAATGAATGCCTTGTATTCATCCTACTTGACTAAGTATCTATTTAGAATGACTGAAAGACTGAACAAAGATTCATTCTATTATCAATCCATCTGATTTCTGTTACTATACTAGATAGTTCCTCTGTGATCTCGAGACTGCACTGTGCCCCTCGACTTCGTGTCGGGGCACAGCTCAGTTTCCAGATCACCTTGGGCAATATAGTTTTAACCGTGCCCCTCAAAGCAGTCAATATATATGTTAAGTAGAAAATAACAAATAGGACTCATTATAAAAAGTTTATATAAATGAATGCCATATTTTTACACACATTGATATTTCAAATAGGTAAATAGCACTAAAATTATTTTTAAATGTCTCCCAGCATTTTAGAAGAATGCATTAAATGCCATTAAACCAGTAGCAATGTTTCCATTTTACAGGTCTAATTATATTTTCAATATTATGATTTATTTTCAAGCCATTAGAAATCTCTTCTTACATGTAGTTTTCAGAGGGCAGGAAGAAAGATGATTTTTTCGTTAAATGCACACAGATGAATTGTCTTACTTTGCTTACTTTGCTTCTTTGCTAACAACTGCTCGAGATGTTGCTTCTGAGCTTGTTGCTGCTGTTGCTGTTGTTGCTGCTGCTGCTGAGCCTCAAGTAACCTCTGTTGCTCCAGGAGTTGTTCTCTTTGCACATGCTGCATACAGATAAAACAATAAAAAACATGAACTATTGATTTGCAATTCTATAATTTATCAATATTTTCAGTACCAAATATAGTTACTATTTTTAACCTCTAAAGTCTCAACCTCATATGAAATGATCAGAGTTCTCTGTTATGGAGAGCATCCATTATTCTATATATTTGTACATCATTTGAGGAAACAGTCTGACTAATAAATGATTTGATTGATGAATAATGAACGTAGAATACAAATGTTTTGTGTATGATGTTCAATAGGGTCATAACACAAACCCTTCATTATGTAAAACTACCACATGTGAAGCTATCCTTTCACAAAGTTCTGCCTTGTTCAGTTTGCTTTCATCAGCAGATTTAATGACTACATCACATGTACATAACATACTTTGCGCTAGCTCATACAGGTAGAATGCAGGGGGTATATATCACTAACAAATACAAACATGCAGGGGGTGAATTTGAACCCTTCGTAAAACTATACTCCATTGGAACAGAAAATGAAGGTAGCAGCTACATCTGTGTTTGAGGTTTGGAAGATACTCTTCCAAAAACAATGGATATAGTTATATGTACTGCTGGATTTCCAGTATGAATTGCATAACTTCATAGTGTGGGGTAACCTTACTTGCATAGAGAATACCATTGTGATACGTGTATGTAGTTAGAAACAAAATAATTAACTAAAACATCTCTTTGTAAGATGGACAAGGTCTGAAAATGCCCTTTTCATTTTTGCACTTTATGGATAAATCTAACCCAAACACTAAGTACACTTGACATACATTTGTTTTCAGGGGACGGGGAATACACAAATTAGACAAGCTGGGAAATTGTGTAGAACTTATTTTGAATTTTATTAACAATGCAAACATGTAGAACAAAATGTGAAATTATTAACCTTTCTGAACTTGGGTTTTTGAATACTCTAAATATTGTGATGAATTCTCCATACCATGTACGCATGAAGATATATATTTTTTACCATAAATGAAGAATATGTAGATTTCTATATTTTACCATAAATATATGAAGGCCTACATTCTTACAGAATTTCAGTAAGTTTTGAGATACCTGGCTTACTTCAAAATAAAGTTCAATCTCAAAATCTTGGTATAAATCTATTATCCATATTTCCTCAATCTGGGCAAAACCATAGAACAACCATCAATGAAATAACCATTATCACTACTCAACACTTCATTTACTATGGCAATTAGAACAGGCAGCAAACATTGATCTCAAAAACAGAAATCCTGAGAAACTTATTTAGACCAAGTTTATTAGCAGTCCTCCCTTAAACCCAACTTCATATTACAGTTGTAGCTTGATTCTAGACTGGGTGAATTTCTTTCTCTATCTATATTACTAATACGCAAAATCGCCGCGGGGGGTCCAAACGGGTACAAAACGGTTCCTCAAAAACGTCTTTCCCCGACCCCGCCCGCCTCCGCCGTGGCGCGGGGAGGGCGGCACAATTCCACGAGGTCTGTCTCCCGTAACCCGCGTGCCACGTCGACCCCGCGATCGACGTCCACGCCGTTAAACGCGGTTTCGGGGTGCCGGGGAGGACGGGCGGACGAGAGCACGGCGGGCGTCGTGGATTGCGAGGAGGCGACGAACCCGCGAGAGCGAGTCGGCAAGGCGTGCACCCGCCCTCTGTCTAATTATCAAAGAGAGACGAAGAGACACACGATGGACGAGAATCCACTCACGTCAACGGGTGTAGCAAGTCTCATTGAAAAAGCTGCGGCGTATCCCGAGTAAGACCTCTTGCTATAGGGTTCGCTTTGTAGCATGTAAGAGAAATACACATCAACAGACGACTCACCCGGGTGAGGGGATGTAGCCAATATGTATCCTCAACGGGTTGAGCTTACCCGTGCTATGCGTCTTTCTATAGGATATGCTTTGTAGGCCAGGCGCCGACAGTGTACGTGTATTACACGCTCTCAGGTCACACACATGCACACACCACAGTCGATTCGAGTCGAGGCGATTGCGATAACTGGCGCAAACCATGGACCTATTTTCACGTAAAATCTTTACTCTGAAAATATTTTATACAAATTCTGTGATCTATGCCAACATAATCATAGTCCAAGCTTCTGTTTTATTGGTCTTTTCATGAAAACTACATCGAAATCACAACAAGAATAGCGCAAATAGACCTGTGATAGTACGCCTTCACGTGACAGTTCAGTTGCAAACTGCCTTGAGTCCACAGTGTATTGCCACGGCACTTGAGCTCTGCTGTCAGCGGTGCATGCTGTCGGAGCTGAGTGTGTGAGCATGGAGTAGCGGTGACCGGAGTAGCCAGGTCTGTCCGTGGTGTGAGGAGAGTCTAAACAACACTTTGAAATTGCTATTATTGCCCCGATTTCAATATAGTTTCGTGAATAGATGTATGAAACCTGGGCTTGGATTGTGATTATTCTGGCCATGTATAGTTGTATACTGAATTTCGATACTGAATTTCGATAACCATGCATTTTTCAAAGTAAAGTTTTCACAAGAAAATCAGACGGTCGTCATGGTCGTTTAAAAACATGATAGTACTTTTAGTATGATACAGTTCTTGCATCAAATCAATTTTTAAAGTATGGGGGGGGGGGTCAGGTAACTCAAAGCGATTTGAGTGCAGGCGTGGTGTCGTACAAAGGGCTGAACCCCCGAAAGCTCAGGGGTTTTAGGCATTTAATTATGGTCAGATGAGCATATTTTTAATGCCTTATTTGTGACACTGGCAGGTCGATCACTAATTGGCGTGGGGTCCATAGTAGAGTTACGTACCAACTACGCTGAGCTGAGAGTACGCTGGCCTACGTTACTATACCCTGAGGTACGCAAAAAAGTACGCAAGATGGACGCAAACAATTTAATGTGTTTAACAAAATTCGCGTACTTTCGGCGTAGAAACTTGACGCAGAAAGTACGCCTTTTTTACGTAACATTACGCTACTACACTAAACAAACTGCATCTTTAAATGAATTAATGAAAAATTAGCCAAAGAAAAATGAGCCCCCGAAAGATAAAAAAAGTAGCCCCAAAAAATTTTCCCAAAATTTGATATAGATCGAGTCCCCGAAAAAAAAATTTTCACTGGATTCTACGCTCACAGTCCCACACACAGTCGAGTCAATTTGTGCACAAACCGTCCGATTTTTCGCATAAAATCTTTACTTTGAAAATAATTATACATATTTTGTGAACAATGCCAACATAATCATAATCCAAGCCTCTGCATAATGTAGTCTTTTCATGAAACTACATTGAAATCACAACAATAATAATGCAAATAAATAGTAATTATTGAGATCCTATCTGACATAGTTTGTTTTTCGATGCGCCATTCATGGTCAAACAGCATATATTATAAAAATTCTCTATATAAAGATAATCTAATTTTTTTTGGATAGCACAAAGGCCTCTATCTATCTATCTATTTGGCCCCCTCCCCCTAGAATCCCGTGGATTTTCCACGGGTCCTGCTAGTTAATATTATAGGTGAAAATAACTTTGTATGTACTGTACATGTAGCCCTGCAGACTGTCCCTTTTCATAGGAGATGACATTTAAACATTTAACTAGAGATATCATTCAATCTATTGAAAGGGAAACAAATCTGGTATGGCTGTTGTACACAATACTACATGTACATGTACATTAGTTTATTCATCAGTTTGTATGAAGTCATCATATTAAGTCATATAACCCAATTAAATCACTGTGACTCCAGAAACTTGCCTGATTGGAACCTACATGTACCTCGTTCTACTGTCAGTCAAATACACTGTATCCCTCCCATCATTGGACTACGTATACAATAAACAATGAACAGAAATGTTTAAATGCTCTGACTCTTTAGGCAAAGACTATATTTCAAGCATCAAACACAAGTTTTAAGTTGTGTGCATTTACTGGTACATAGAAAACAAGTTACCCAATAAATGCCACTGTTTTTTTCTCACCAGTATTATACTGTGATCTCTTTGCATGTTTTCAAGATTAGTGTAGATTAATGCACAAAAAACACCCTAGAGAAGGCAAGACTTTAAAACATATATTATTCATTAATCATTATGGGATGTTTGAAAATACCAGGGTATTATGAAAATACATGTCTGTACATAAACACATGTTCAGCTTTAGAGTAGAGTATGAAGGAAGAGCTAGCTCAAAGTCCTTTGTGTAAAGTACATCATGAACATGAGAGAAAGCTTAGGCTGGGATATTGTCAAGTGGACATTTCCTGTGACAATCTATTTTGGGTTCTATCCCGGTTACAAACATAGAATAATACAGGACCTGGATGTTTTTCATCAAGGAAAATTAATATCATGAGAAACGACGGCTGAAAGTGCCCTATAATAATGAGATGCATGTGTTTCAGTTTCCATTTCATGTAGGCCTATTGGATTCAATTGATTGTATTCAAACAATCAATCAATGTATTTGAAATTATCACTTCCTGTTAAAGATATAAATCAAGACTGGGAAGACCATTACTGAATTCTTAGTAATGCTTCTTATGTGGAATAAATTAAGAAAATGTGGTAATTAGAAGTTTTAAAATATCTTTTAGCTTTGGACACGAGTCAGTTATATAAGTCCTACTTCTGCAATTAGAAAAGTATGATACATTTCATGTCCAAACAAAGTGATAGAATCACTCCAATTAACTAGGCCCATATGACCAATGATCTTGAGCAGCTGTGACAAAGTACTTTTCAAAACTTTCATACATATTCTTCTGTTCATCCTGGAATTACGATAACTCCCAATGTTTTTGTTGTTTTTTCTTTCCAATATCCATTTCTTCAGGATTCAACACCTGTATCTCCCATCGAAGCATTACAAAACAGCATATTCCTTGATTGAATTGAATCTATCTGGCATTCTTTATGAGATGGGGAAGGGGCTCTTTTCATTCTTATTTGATGTTTCCGATATAGGAGAGTATGATATGACTCAAAGCTCTGCAATACGACACAGGTGTATGGAGGAGGACTATAAACATAACAGATTGGGTCATAAGACGATCACAGACTAAAATAGCTTTATTGAGCAAAACAAGTCATCTGAATGACACATTAGCAGCCTTGAAGCAAGGTTGAAAGGGAGGAACAGTCAACTAATAACAAGATATTGGTTTGCAAGGCTGCCTTGGCCCTGGCTTTATCACGTATGTTAGCACACACAATGATTGCGTACAGTATGCTCTATACACTCTTATCATCAAAGTCATGTGCACAGCAAACCAGCCAACGCAGTGAATTCTACAGTCTGGCTCTCAAAAGTAATCACAATGCTATCAAAGAGAAGAATTCTTCATATTTCAACACACTCCACTGCCTAACATAACGATCCAGGAGATCACTCCAACATGAATGTTACTCTCACAGTATCATAGTACAATGAACTTTGACATAAATGTAGTTTTTATTGTGACCCTTCGCCTGTCAAGTCTCATTGCTTTAGTAAGCCAAACAGGTGGCGTGTCAGAGTGAGCCTATAGATGCATTCACAAAATGTCTACAGTTCTGTCTAGAAACCTATAATTGAGTTTGAACTGACATGGGAATGTATCCAACACTAGTAATTATAAACTTTGTACTGTGTGTACCTCAAGCCAAACAACTCTAAACCAATTAAACCAATTAATTTTTGGCCATTATAGGTTACATATTATTTTGTTTACTCTATTGTTAGTCTTGTGTCAGTCTTGTCAGTATGACTGCATTATGGAGCCAGCCTACTGTAACTGTAAGACTTTGAAGACGTCATTCTCAAACCTTGAATGAGAGATCTATCATGACAGATTACCATTGCTAAGAGTATTGTTTGAAGAACAGCACATGAATTGAGGAAGCTTTAGGGGAGCTCTTCTGCCAGCTTGTCCTAAGGTGTATTAGTAGAGCACCCACTCTATTGGTGTATACATAAAAAAAAAAAAGCACACATATGTTCATTGTCAATGCAACCAGAGTAATTATTCAAGAGTGCCCTCATCTGGAAATGAAAAATGAAAATGAAGCAATCAACTCTATGAATGGGATGAACCTCTTCAAGTATCAAAAGTGGTCTATCTCATTCATGTCTTTATGTACAGCAAAGCATCATTTCATCAATTGATCATCATCTTTAATAGTAAAGGCTTTTAACTTACGCGTACCATGATAAGCTCCTGTTGCTGTTTCTGGTGTTGTTTGACTAGTTGTGCCTGTCTCTCCTTGAACTGAGCAAGCAACATATGTTGCTGCCACTGTTGCTGTTGTTGTAGAGAAACCCATTCTTGTGGCACAACTCTTGGATCTGTTGCTACAGGATCAGCAGGGACCTGACTAGCAATACTGGCATTAGGCATCTGACCAGGAGCAGCATCACCTAAGATGTTCAGAGAAAAAAGATTACTTTCAAAGTATAGAATAACCAGACTCATGATTCATAAGTACCGTAAATCTCTGTGTATAAGGCACACCTGTGTATAAGGCGCACCTGTGTATAAGGCGCACCTGTGTATAAGGCGCACCTGTATATAAGGTGCACCCCTATCTTTGAGATTTAAAAAAAAAAAAAAAAAAAAAAGCCTTTTGGGTTGGCTTTTTTGCCGACACCAACTAAATCGGCTCTTATTTCAATTCAGCGTGCGCTCCCGTTCGGAAACCAAAGCCATGATGCAGGGAATTGGGAAGGACCTTTTATTTATTACGACTTTACAGTCAAAAAGTCAAAGTAAAAAAGAATAGTAACAATGTTGTTTTTAAAACTAAAGATGACAGTAAATTTTTCCTCCAGAGTCCAAAGTCCGAACCGAAATTTAAACAGGCTAGTTTTCGAGTGGTGATTCGATATCCCCAGTGTGAGTGTGCTGCATGATACAGGTGAGTGAGCTGGAGACACAGGAGAGCTTCAAATTAGGAACGTAGTTTAATTTCAAAAAGTAGATCCTATTCTTTATTTGCATTATGTAATTCATGTTGAGACACAGAGATCTACGGAAACCATTAAAAAGTAGCATTTTGAGAACTCAAAATATCCTGTACCTGTGTATTAAGCGCACCCCCGACTTTCGAGTTTTCCCGAACGGAAAAAAAGTGCGCCTTATACACGGAGATTTACGGTAAAACAAACTTATCAATTCCTGTGGTTTAAATAAAATTTGGTTTATATTCCCCCAAAAATGTACAAATCATGGTTGTTAATCAGCCAGTAAAATATTATATCATTTGTTAAACCTATGATAATTCTGCATAGTCATATGTGTAATCTCATACCTCATTTTATATTCCTTCACCTATTCACAGCACCCTTTTAAAATTCAATCAACATTTTAAAATGAAGTGTAAATATGAATTACCTTTAAGGTGCATGTTGCTGATCTGGCTTGTGATGTTGACTGCCTCAGAACCGGGACCAACAGCTTCTGTAAAATGACAAAATGAAATGAATTATATAAAAACCTGCTAATATCTGCCCTAAATATCAGGGCTGTATCTCTCATAATCAGACATTGATTCCGCTGTACCTGTGAAAGAAAAGGTTTACTCATTATTAATCATTTTTACATATTTGAATGTCATGCCACATCTGCATATATATGCAGACAAGTCACACCAGTTTGTGATCTTGACTAGAAAATCAACCCTATTAGTGTTACTCTGACCTTCATGATTTCATAGGAGTTGGATAAAATAAAACTAGGAAGGGCTCAGAATTCCATTTCAGTTTAAAGCCTGTAAAATGAACTTAATATATAGCTCCATCCTCCTCCTCCTCCTAACCCATTACAATGCCCCATCCTTGATTTGAACATGTTCTTTTTGTCATCATTCAGATAAAATGAAGATCTCATTATTAGCCATTCTTCAAGAAGATACTCCATCAAAGGTTGTCTCCTGGAATCTGATTCCTTTATCAATAAGATTCATTTCCTTCTCACAAAGCCTTTAATATGAAAATCAGAATTCAGGGCATTAATTGCTACTGCCTTTTCTTGTTGCCCCAACCTACTTCTACCATCATGATTTTATAGAATGTTTCATTTTGTGTATGACCCTTTCATCATATATGCCAATTGTATGTGTTCCTCTTTTTCCCACTGGTGTAAATGAACCATGACCCTCTTTGAATAAAAATTGCAATAGTGTAACCAATTGAGTGACCCCCCCCCCCCCCCTCTCTCTCTCTCTCTCTCTCTTATTCTTATCCCCATGTATCCTGGAACCCTTTTCCATTCAATACAATTCAATTCCCTTTCACAGAGCCTCAAGAAATAAAACACTGAACACCATGAGGTAAAGGGTGCTTCATTTCTGGGTCAAGGGCCTGTTACAAGACTTCTCCAGGAGGTGAGGACTGAACTCCATGCTAAGAATCCAAAACATACTACAGCCTTGCTTCCTGCTTCCAAACGGATTCAAACCTATTATTACTTCTCTCGGTAAAATGGTGATTCAAACTTCAGTCTAGATTTGATGCCAGTAATAACATCATAGAATGTCTTTTGTTTTTTTAGAATTTTATTAGAACTTTTTATTTTTATTTTTATATTTTAGTAGTAGTTTGTTTATCTGAATCATGCAGCTAGTTTCACCTCATTATTAGTGTTCATCTAATGAGTACTTTCTGAAAAGCACATTTTCTCCACATTATGCATTTAACAAACATACAATAGAAACAAGACACAGTCTATGCACATACATGTAGACCTGGCCAGGAAGCCAGCAAACATAAATGAGAAAAAAGGAACACATTATTTCTTGCAGCTTTTCCCAAAACTAATATACAAGTTAAAGTTAAGACAGTTGTATGCAAATTTCAGGTAAAGTTTCTTGCAGCTTAACCCAAAAGTAAATAAACAAGTTTAAGTTAAGACAGTTGTATGCAAATTTCAATTCAAGCATTTGATGTCTTTGAGTGGACTTTGGAGGGTAAATGACCTGTATAAACACCAAATACCAATTTCAAGTTGTACACAGTAAAAATGAAGTATTAGTTGTGTTTCTTGTAAGATTCCTATGCAAATCATGTGCTTGCAGTTTTAGGATTACCTAAACAAAAACAAAACCTTACTTACATGTATGCTTTCATTACATCTGTGTGTATTAGAACTAGAAAATACCATGTTCCTAAAAATCACAGGGGGTCCAAAAACAAAAGGCTACTCAAAACTGCAGGAAACATAGCAGTTAAGGTTGGTACTTTTTTGTATTTCTCCAGAGCACATTTACTTTCTCTTTCTATCTGCAAGCTTTCTCTCAAGCTAGATCAGTTTAAGCTTGACAGAGTCCAGCCACCTATTACCAGTCTGTCAGTGTCATTAAAGGGGAAATAGAGATCATTCACCATTATATTTCTGTAACTCAAGACATTGGTATCATACCAGCAACTATTCTGTAGAAGGTATCTGTTTCTCAAAGAGTATGAGACCACTGCCGGTATATCCTTCTTAGGTTAAAGTAATTAAAACAGGATTTTACAATTGTGCTTTTGTAAAGAGATTTCATGAATCAAGTTAATAAATTATGTAATTGTGAAGTCACATTGTTGTTCAATAAAAACAATGAAGTTATTTAAGATTTAGGAAGCAACATCACAGAAGATATATACAGAAGATCATGACAGATTTCTGTGTCTTCGAGTAGGCTATATAGTCCTCTTCCAGCTACTTTCATTCCAATACCATACATCTTTTCTAGTTGACAATGTACATGTACTTGTTATCATATTTAGCCGAAGAGTCTAATACAGCTACTGAATATTACCGGTATGTCTATCATATCGTATAAAGAAGGGCTATTGGTTGTTAAAGACTGTAATTATAATAAAGTCACTCAAACATCATTTTCAAAGCTCTTATCTAGCATTAAATTGCTGATCCTGTATTAAAAGAAACGTGTGCCAGAAAATCATTAAAATCTTGCTACATTGTACAGGAAGATTTCTAACTACAGGTTTGGGTGGCTTAGCAACACTAAACATGGGCTTTAATACCACTCTCCAGGGTGGCTAAATTCCCACACAACAAACTCACCACAAAGAATTCACTTGTTCTAAAATCCATTTCTATAAGATACAAGAGGCAAATTATTAAAGGTTGACTTTGTTTTCAGAATGATAAAGAAATTATATTTCTCAGACAGTTTTCCAAATTAAACTCTGATTTTGAAGAGATGAAATTATATCTATTCTCTAACCAAACAAATCAGACTTCATACTGTACAATACAGCCTATTAGATGAGCACTATTAAAGATAATAAGGAATGACTGGATAACGCCATCAATAAGATATTCAATCCAACATTTACATAGTATGTAGACATATTATATCAATGCAGACTATATCATGTGACTTCAGCAAGTAAGTGTGGTTCTACTGCTTTGATGAACTTTCAAGATATTTTCCTTAGAAATGCAGAAGTCCTTTAATATGGTTCAAGTGTATAAAGTGTATGGGCTGATGAAGAGAAAACATTTGGTGTAGCACAACACAACACAGTTCACAAGGTCAACACAAGGTCAACCAATCAGAGAGAGAGTGACAGAAAACACGCTGGCACTCGTAAGTCATTCCCTGCATGGTGACGTCAAAGCAAAACCAAACTCGTACAGTTTGGAAGAGGACCAAGTCAAGAAACTAAATATCTCAGACATGATCGAGCGAGCGAGAGAAAGCAAGAAAATGGGTCAATGGCGGGGCTGCTGATGGTTTACAATGATGCTGGTTGGTTCTCATACATGTACATGTACAGTATGTAACCTGTTTAATAACCTACATTACCTGAAGTTCTGAACCAAAATGCCCTGGGCAAGTAATAATCAAATATGTAGATGAGATCATGATCATGAAAATGTTTAAGGAGTATAACACCCACAGATTTTGAAAGCAAAATGGACTTTACAAACCGGAATTCATTGATAGATATTCATTGAAATATTTTCTTTCAATTTTATTGGTAAATGAAGTGAGGTATGATATTTCAACTCATGTAAAATGTGAAATTCAAGCCATCTTTCTGACCTGCCCAGTCAAGTTAACCAAAACAATTCATGCTTTTAATAGTATAGTCCTCAAGCCAGGGATGAATGCCAATGAATCTTGTAAACGAAGAGATAAGTCCAATCTGTACTGGAATGGTGGTTGGTTGGTTATTTTAGCTGACTGCTAAGAGAGCATGAATGCTTGTTAGTAAGCAACCAGAGGTCCGACGACTTAAGGTCCACTCCGAGGGACCAAGGTAATGAGGATTAATGTCTTACCAAAGGGCACTAGCGCATCGACTTGGTTTTGAACCCGGGTCACCTCATTACGAGACCACTGCTCTACCAACTGAGGTATCGCATATAATAATAGCTATGCTCACACTGACTCACACAAGAGTGTTCGTCCGTAGTTTTAAAATTCAAGTTTGCAAAACCTCAAAGTTATAACAATAATAATAGTAAATATTGGGTTCTCATATAGCGCTTGTTTCTGTTAGACTCGACACTCAAGGCCTCCTGATTCTTACCCTGGCTTTAGGAAGGCAGCCATTACGGTACTCTAGTATTTCAAGGAATTAATTCCTGCAAGGTAGTCATTTACATCACCTGGGTTGAGTGTTGCAAATGTAGATCAATGTCTTGCCAAAGGACATTAGTGCGGTGGCAGGACTGGAACCGCGGACCTTGCGATCGACAGTCCAGCGATGTATCCACCATAACCATAAACAATGATCAACTACCATCAACTAGGGATCACATGGGCCCAAAACAACGAGTATTGAAAGTGTTACACAACAAGCTTGGCGAGCAATCAATTCAACTACAAGTTGGCATGATCTCAAATTTATTTGCGTCTGCACATGTACATAACCTTGAACAAGTCCCCCTTCTCTTTCGGCTCTTTTCACATGAAGATCATGCTTTATGAACATCATGACTGGGCAGACATACATGTACATGTAGGCCAAATGGCCACTACGGCCACTACGGCCACTATGGCGGCAAATTCTTTTCATGACCGGGGGGACGAAATGCGAGGGAAAATCTGTATTCCATTGGTATCACGGTGATACCAACGAAATACAGATTTTCTACAACATTTACTTGTATGTTCTGAAGGATATTATGCGAGGGAGCGTAGGGGGCGTAGCAACCGAGCGAGAAGATTTTTGCATGAACGCTGCACTCTTGGGGCCTCCAGGGCCTAAAACTATGTTCCAGTCAGTATTTGCTATACTTTTTTTTTGTGCACTTTTTCAAATTTTCTGGGGGGAGAAGATTCCCCCCCCCCCCCCCTCCAGGATCGCCACCCCTGGCTGCATGTAATTTGCTCTTATACTGCCAATCTATTAGTTTCATTTCTCCAGAACTATTCAAAGTTATATATTTTCTGGACATGTAGTTTGGATTTGGGCTATATTCTTAGATGTACATGAAGTTTGTTCTCACAGATTCATATCATATATTGACCCACCCAAAATAAGTTTTAGCCTATCAGTATATAGGCACGCATATCTAGGCCTATCATTGCCTATACTGTAGCTCTAGACCACAAAACCTATTGATCGGGCCGGGTTGGTACAATGACAGACTTACCTGACATGCCTTGGCCCCATGATGCACCCCTAAACTTTGGGGATGAATAGAGAAGAGCAGACTTAGCTGCTGCAGTCATAGTTGATGATAGGGAGGATGACTGCGTTGGGTTCAATTCAGTGTCTGTTGGCATTTATAACAGCTTTGCTCAATTCCAATGACAAGAAGAAAATATCCCCAGAGATTTGAGATTTGCTTTTTAGAACGATGTAAGTCTCACAGAAAGTGTGCTGAAGTTTTACGCTCAGTTATTACTACACAAAGATGATTGAATCACAAGTTCACTGTGGCTCCAACAAACCTGACATCAGTGCTCAATCAAGTGACGTAGTTTGCAAGGCATCACAGTGAACTACCATCCGACTTGTGATAGTAACGATGCTCAATCAAGTGACGTAGTTTGCAAGGCATCACAGTGAACTACCATCCGACTTGTGATGATAGTAACGATGATGCAAAGTGAACATGACAGTCAATATCTCACTTTGGTTTGAATATGAAAAGTTGATACAAATCACATCAAAATCATGTGCAGTGATTTCAAGTGAAGGAAACATTCATTCACTTATCCATTGTTGAAAGAGGAAAACAAAAACAAAAAACAAAACACAGCTAGAGCGCCATATCATGTCATGTCATATGAAGAAATATATACCAAACAAATGAATTACGCATAACCCTGTTGCTCGTTGGAATGAAACGCAGTCTACTGAATGTATACATCAACAGAAAGTACCGCACAGGAGGCGGTGCACCTCCTTGCTTGCTACAAACCCAGCTAGCAGGGACTAAATGAGTTAGGTGATGTCGCTATCACCAGGCCTTATACTCGGTCTGTGACCAGCTTGCACTCCAACACACACACTGCATGCCAGCCAGCATGCATAACATCACAAGCCACACACACACACACACACACACACAAAGATGACATAAAAAGTTTGACGTCAGAGGGCTCTACTCACTCAGGAAAAAACACTCCAAAGTACAATCATAACTAAACAATGGCTTCAGGCATCCAGCACTACAATTGTGAACAATTCCTCCAGAATATTCCTTACTAAAATATGAGAACTATTATCTCACAAATTAGTTGGATACCAACCTGTAAATTAAATGGCCCCATGGCGGCTACAGGAAATACATTCAAAAGGAAATACATTCAAAAAGCAAATACATTCAAATTCAAATTAACCTGTCTCCGACTAATGACAACATAGACCCCATTCTCACTCACTTAATTGGACTGGTCTACGCTAGGTTGATCCAAAGGACAGCTCCAGAGGTATGGTTCATTTGTCTTTAAACTCATCCCAACTTTTACCAGGCTATGAGAGATCTGTGATGCCATAAAAAAACAGGAATTCTTCCCGTAGCTATGACAGCACAGGTCATTTTCAGTGGAATCCATTGTATGTATTGCAGGCCTGATTGTCATTGCTTTTTCTCATTGCAACTGCATCTAAACAAATCTTTTGTTGTGTTATCCTTTCCTTAGGCTATTTCCTTTCATTTTTCTCATTTTGCTTACTCTTTTTTTTCTTTTATTTCCTTTATCTTTATCCTTCTATAATCTTCTCTTTCTATTTGTCCTATGCTATTTTTTGTTTCTATCATGTTATCCTTTTCTGTCTATCTTTCCTCAAGTCATTTGGTCTCCTATCATTTTATCTCTCTTTCTTTCTTCTTGATAATCTTTGTTATCAATCCTCTTCTCCTTCTACTTTTCCTTGTGTTATTCTTCAATTTTTCTTCTATCATATTCTCTCATGTTGTTGTCATTCTATCATTCATGACATATATCATGGGAAAAAAGGGTATCACATAACGATACTGTAGTGTAATGAAACACATATCAAGTTCAAGAAAGTAGGGCGATTATGACATCACAATACAAACATCCTCTTTGAAAAGACCTGCATTGAAACACAAAGGAGAATGCGAGAAAGATCTCAGTCTTACCAGTAGTCTACTTCCCATGTAGGTTTATACACATGTTGACATGTATCAGAACTGGCAATATGCCAAACAACAATAGGGCACAAAACAAACTTCACCTTTATACAGTAGTGCCATATGAGTAAATAAGAAAAATAACGAGATGCTTGGCTTTTTTTTCAATAAGTTGCTTTTTCATAATTGGTTGGATTTCCCAAGCTTGTTTTGAGCTTACCAAAGCTTCATGGTATTGTGTTGGCTACATGTACATGTCAGTCCACACGTAATCTTTGTAGACCACGATAAAAGCAAATGTACATCTAGGCCTTTACATCGGTTATCATTACATTGCATTAATATGTCGGTCTTATTTCTAGATTTTCTGTGTATGGTATTAAAATGAAGGAATGGCCACCCTCTCCTGAAAAAAAAGCTATTGATTAATTTTCTTAGTCATGCATTGAGGTGATTGCTTGGGGGTTCATGGATCAAACCCTTTGACGTATGAGAGTCTATTTATAACCCCCTGCTAATGAAAGGATATGCGCTGTAAAGGAACAGGTCAGCTATTCACTACAAAACAATAGATAACAAAGTGGTGCTTTCAATAAACCCTCAAGCTATAGTGCTATTGTATGCATGTAAGTTAGTCAGGCCTAGTGCATGTATCTGATACACAATGAATTGGAGACATTGATCATACACCCTTCTCTCATCCATTGTAGCTCACTCATCAACTCTTTCCATTCAAAGAACTGGTTTCATTCAAAGTACAGGAACATTGGTCCAGTGATATAATATTGAATGAGTCGCTGAGTCTAGATAAATATATTTTAATAATGAAAACACTGAGGACATAGCTCTGCATTAAAGAAAATACTATACAAAGCAACCTATTCAATGCATGGGAAGCATATTTTGCCCCTTATGAGCTAGAGCTAAAAGTAGTTTTTATAAAGAAAATACATGTAAAAGGCCTAATCCTATCGAGTTGTCCTTTTCTATTTTCACAATTTAAAAACATATCTCACTCATGTCTTATTTCTCGAGGAAACTTTTTAAACAAGCTCATGATTCTATTAACCCTAAAATATTAGCTATCTTTCAGTTCCAAACTACAAGTAGTTCAGAGTTAGTTAAAGACATGTAGCACATGATAATAGTTTGTGTTTATAGAATACAATTTGCCTTCATATATATGTTAGTGTTAGTCAAGGACATTATTTGTCATAATAATGGTCATGGTCATGCATGCATGGATCGTCACCCTGACCTGCTTTGTACATGCATACTGTACATTAGTCTACATCAAAGAAGGGAGACAACAAAACCAGCATGTTTATTAATTTACTTTCAAAAAATGATATCCTGGGATTCCGAGCCTTAAAGGTAATACAAAGTTTGGGTGTGGGGTCATGAATTTGGTTCAAATGAACATATTGCAAGCATATGCAATCCTACAATATTCAGTTGTCGCGGTTGAAATGGAGTCTAAAGTAATGAAATTGTAAATAATAAACTCTTTGTATAGCTCCCTCTCAAGGTCAAGATATTAATTAAGCTATAAAACAATATTTCTTTACTAAAATTGACCGATTAGCTATTCCCGTTTGGAAATTATATATCACAACTACATATTCTGAGATTGTGTACCATCGTCTGGCCATAGGCGCTATTTGAAATTTATCAAAATTTACCAGTAGCTCTGGTAAATTTTTATATATTTAATTTTCCTCGAAAGCAAAAGTGTTTTAGGGGCTGAATTTTCTAGTGCTTATAATATATCCACAGGGGCATCCAAATATATCAAAATTGTAAAGAATCACTATCCACCCAATTTCCCAAATTCCCAAAACTTTATATTACCTTTAAACATCTACAATGTCTCAAGCACATACATTGAATGCCTGAGTAGTTGAGGAAAGAGCCTGTAGTTTTATCATGTTTCTGGTTCCTGCCTTTTAAGCACATAACTAAATGATTTTTTACTGATTTTAGAGATCTATAAATCACCTTTAATTACTAATCACTACAGGGATTACAATATGCCTTGGTTACCTGTTCTTACTTAACATGACACTTTCCTACATGTACCTGTTCATTTATAATCAGGTCCCATATCTGTTTAAATCTGTGTCATCAATATCAATCAGAAATTCAATTGATATGTACATTATGCAAGAACACTAATGGACAAGATGCTTCATCTATAATGCAGAATGAACATGGTTGCTTTTTTCACCAGTCAACATACAGTAGATGTACAGCATCACTGATCCTAACAGGATCCATGCAACACTTATAGTGGATGAGTAAAGGTCGCTTCAACCCTATCAATACACAGACTGGTATTACGTTAGCTTTACAGTGCTCACATATCAATATCAGGCAGGCAGGCAGGCAGGTGATTTCAGGAATAGAATTGGTTTGCATGAATAACTTTCTCAATATCCATACAGGTGATATAATCTGATATCAAGTACAAAGTAGGTTCTACTGTTTTTATTTTTTAATAACCACACACACACATACATGTACATGTACATGTAGTCAGGAACTACATTTCAAGAATTTAAATCCTTTGATCAAATGGAATAAAACATTAGTTTGACTATAATGACAAATTCTAGCTTTCATAGCTTTTCACTTGCTCGCAGGTACATTTAGCTCAAAGCTTAAGATATGAATGTCTACAATAGCTATACACTGTACTTCCTAAACTTCAATCGAGGGGGAAAAAATATGCTTTTTGAATAATAAAAAATTCATCAGAAAAAATAACAACTGTATCTTAAAAGAGAAACAAATTGATCTATATTCATGATATCTTACTCAAATATGCTTCATTCCATAATAAGAATAAACCAAAGACAATGAGCCCTCATAACATTAACAGAGAATGTTCTATGTTTATATAGAAAGCAGTCTTATCACAATGAATGATTGTCAAACCTGAGAAAAAAAAATTCCCTCATATCCCTTATCTTATGCTCCAAACATGCCAGCTCAATACAAGATAACAATCAGTGAATTGACAATCGAGCTAAAAATATACCCAATGACAGATAAAATCCTGTGTACAAAAAGCAGAGGCTTTGCTGTACAGTACATGAGGGATATTATAAACCATTGTTTTATAAGGCTTCCTCTCTGTAGTCTAGGGCTTCAGACTGTTTTCATTACAGTCAGATCCATAAGTTAATAACACATTATGAATCCCACTAATTCCAAGTAATTCTCTTTTTAAAACATTATGAAATATATAGTATTTCTGTAATGAAAAAAATATATATTAAGTATATGTATATTACTTCCTACATGTATTATGTAACTTGCTATGTACATGTACAGTTGTACACTTCCCATCACACCCACCTCATATTTTTAAAGTCAGTTATTCCTATAACTCTGCCTGTATGAAGGCCTACATTATTTCTTGAGTAGCAAAAGGAGAATGAACTAAAAGAACATCTAAAATGCCCATTGTTCAGTCTTTCTTAGAATATTGCCTCATACATCACATGTATGATTGTAAGCCTACTAATACACATCAGTACATAGAGCATCATATACATGGTGGTAATGAGGGACTTTCCCAAACTAAAGGGCTTTGATCCAAAGGTTATTGCAGTCTGAGAGGAACATTCAAGGTTGGGGACATTCACATGTACTAAGAATCTTTTGAAAAGGAAAGCATGTTCTGGAAAGCTTAAAGAATAAGCAGTATTCCTCATTTTATAGGATTGGTGGTATATCATTGAGAAAATATTTATATTCCCACAATCAGTAAAATGGATCTATTTTTCTCCTAATTTCTCTTTCTTTTGGTCAAATTATGAATACAGCAAAATCCTTTCACAAGAAAAAATACATGTATGTGTCATATCTAAGTACAGATTTTTTTTATCTCTCTTTTTCCACTCTCTTTTTGCCCTTCTCTTTGGGGGAGTGTATTTTTTTCTTCTCATTTTTGTCATTGTTTTTATATTATCATGATTATATCACATATTCTCCTTTGTTTACAGTATTCATTGTATGGATTTTTTTAATTGGCCATATTTCCTTGTCTGTTAAAGGTACTATGTCCCATTTGCAGGCCCCAAAAATGAAAAGGTTAAATTCCAACGGCATTTGAAAGACAATACTAATTTAGAACTTCCCTAAAAAAAGGGGGGGCTTTAATATGTCTTTAAGTGGGAAAATAACGACTTTATTAGTTGTCGAATCGACTTAGGAGCTATAGAGCCAGTAATTAATATTCTGATTTTTCAGACCATTGTACCAAATGGTCGTATGTTTTATGCTGCGCAAAGATTCAATCAGTTTAATTTTGGCCATTACAAGAAGTAACCCTACAATTCCCAAAGCCTTTCTGGCATTCAGCAAATATGAAAGATTCTGTTACTGCCCGGAAAAGGTGCTACACCAAATACTGGATTATATTGGAATCTATAGATAAATGATTTGATATGATCCTGTAGATTCTGAGAAAACTGTGTGAGAAAATACACATACGGTACATGTAGCTGAATAAAGCATGGAGGCATTCCAACTGTATAGCAATCACACTTTTTGATGAATTTTACAAATAAAGAAGGTGAAAGTTCCATTTCAGATGTTCTTGATGAAAAACTGCCAGTAAACATGTTTTTATACATCGATTTATATCAAATTGTCTGTTTGGAACCTGAAGGGTTTGAAACCTGAGTTCATGCCCTTCTGGCTCTATTATGCAATGTTTAATGCTGACTGAAATAACAAACTGTGCTACAATCAATACTACAGTTGGTGATTATGTAATGTAAAGTCTGAGGCCTCAATGAGTCAATTCACACAATTAATTTTGTTACAATCCCTCTTCACAATACAAGTAGGAGCTCCAGGAAAACACATAATTAGTTATTGATTCTAATTCATTAAGCTCAAAAAGTTTGAAAACACCAATGGAATATCACCATCTCATCCCATACAGATATACTGATGTAATCTTATCAAGAACAACAAAGGAAAGCTGGAAGACACATTGTACTTCATCAAAGAAGTTACTTCACTGCCTTTCTGGAATATGTCTCTCACTATAAACCCCTATACCATGATCTGTCTTTTCCTTTCATCTTTTCATTTTTCTTGTCGTTCTTTCTATGGCAATTTCTTATTTTTCCTTCATAAAATCCTAAATCACAAATGTTACAACAATTACAGCCCTACAAATGGCCGTCAAAAGGAAACAACAAAGACAATCTTGCCCCAATCTCCCCCCCCCCCCCGCCTCCCCTCCCCCCTCCCCCCCCCCCCCCCCCCCCCCCTCCCCCTCCCCTCCCCCTCCCCCTCCCCTCCCCCTTCCCTCCCCAATCACTGCCCCTTTCTACATGAAAGACAAATAGCACTGGTGTAGCTGGACTTTCAAAATATGAAGCCGTGTGAAAACATGTCACTTCTTCAGTCTTCACGTCACTGTTCATACTAAAACCACTCAAAATACACATATGATGCGCTTAATACAGAAAGACATTATATTTTGTTGTGCTTTTGTTTTGTTTTTTGTTGAGTAGAGCCTTGCCTACATGTAAAAGTACCTTCATGTACATGTAGCTGCATGAATCTTGATTAACTACAGTGCTACAAACCTAAATGTAATGTACAATGGGTAAATGTGTGTCAAAGCTATGGAGCATCAACACAAATGCACTTTGAAATAGTGCAGATAGATCTTGGACAAGGTCCAGGTGCCTTAATTCTCCTCTTCCCATCTGTTTGCTTTGTAACATGACA